ACACACACACACACACACACACACACACACACATACACAATTCAACTTTTATTTGACAACTTATTGGATAACTATACTTTACAATAAATTACAAATTACGTATATGTATTGTGCAATCAACACTCATTATCACTCCCACATCATTATTGTGCATTCAACAATCATTAACGCTCTCACATCATCATCATCATCATCATCATCATCACCATCCTCTTCATCATCATCATCATCATCATCATCATCATCAGCATCATTAACATCTGACATTAACTACAACAACATGTAATCCGTAACGATACAAATGTCAATAATACATAAATAGACATTTATATAAATTATATTGATGTGCATGTTTACGTCACCCGTGCCTTATTTATGATCAACAAGTTCGTCAACATTCAATACATATGGATCTGTACAATTGTCAATCATTTCAGTAATATCCTTTACTAAATCATCATCAATATTATTAATGTAATCATGTGTTTTCTCTGTTTTCCATTGGTTAATTCTTTCTCCAGATTGTGGGATTTGGTTATTTGTTACACATGTGTTTAAACTGTTATACATCACAGTGTGGATAGTCGGTGTAACAGTGTCTCGGGTTGGCTATAATATAATCGCTATAGGTAACGGCTTTAGTCTTTCCGTCGGGACGAGTTCGACAAGATACGTTTATTCAGAAATTTAAGAAAGAGTCGCATCCAAAATAGTACAAGTAAACGCCCTAGAACGAATTACTTGTGTTATCAGGAAAATGCATGCATATTATATATGAACACGTAATTCTCCGATTTGTGCACGTTTCCTTACCTACCTGTAACACTCTCTACTGCCCAAGTGTGTTAAGGTAATAGGATTGTGTCACCATTTCTCAGTAGATTTTTTTTTTAAATTGTAGTTATATTGCTTTGAAGTTTTAAAAAAATCTGCCACAAAAAAATATAGATTGTCACAATTTTAAGGATTTTTAAGTACGTAAAAGGGAGTGAATTTTGAAGAAAAATATTAAAGACACAATTTTTGCAAAACAATGTCAATAACAATGATACTGACATAGATAAGTATTGCATTAATGTATATAAATTTAATAAATGCTGATTTTTTTAATATATGGAACTATTATTCGGTATGTTGTAAAATACTTTTACTATAAGATTGTCACTTAAAGAATATTAATTGTAGAAGCAATGCACTTATAACGTTGTGAAATGTGTGTGTTTTGTTTTTGTAATGTACCTCTTTACACCAATGTTTAATTCAGAATGCTTGTATTTTTCAACAAATGACGTTTGTCATATTGCAAAAAAACTACACGTTTTACTTAAACAAAAGCTAGCCCCGCAAAGCGCATATCTGTTATAAACATTCTTTCTAATGTCGATGATCAAACGTGTCTAGCATTCCAACCAATATAGTTTTTGAGTAGCTCGGAAAATGTTTGAAATTTACTTAACATGATTATGAATACCTCATTGTTTTTAATTAACTGATGTTTAATAATAAAAACTAGCGGTGATTTGAATTACTTTTTAGATGTAAAATAAGGAGGCGAATATCTCACTTAAGTATAAACCCTACCCTGTCGTCGAAAAACTACCCTGCCTCGATACCTGCCCGAAAACATGGGTCCCTCCGGACACTCCGGTTTCCTCCAATATTAGAACCCTCTGTGAGCTTTCATACGGGTCATCTGGAGTGATTTATATAAGTTGGTAATTTTTTTTTTTATAATTGAATCAAAATTAAGCTTAATTAATAAGTTATCTTCATTCGTTCTCTCCAAACAGATTTGTTGGTATTTGTTTTGCAAAATAAAATGTATTTAGTCGTTTAATTAATCATTTACCTCCTTCGTTTTCTTCTTTAAGTAGATTTCTGTTGTTCTGTAATTAAAAATGGGAGGAATTGAAAACCTCTCAGTATTAAGTTCGATCAGTACCTGAACACAGAATCAGCTAGGTCTGACACCAGACATCGACACGACAGGTTAACGAGATCCCTGCTGCCGAGGGATCTCGTAAAAACCTTTACGGATTACGCAACGGCATTCCGGACAGACAAGATGACCGGGAGTGGCCGGACTCATCTAACCATGTTAGTGGTCAGCTGAATAGCCAAGGCGATTAGATCGGTCCTCTGATGGTTCCTGACTTTAGACTGAATGATTACGGTTATTTGTTCGAACGTTTTAACAAAAAGCTGTCAAGTTTAAGAAACCTTTTACCGGAATCCATACCTACGTAAATATGAAAGCTGCACTAGCGATTGTGCTGTGTTTTGTCTGTTTAATACAGGTTTCCGTTGGACAGAGGTTTGTGATGCGGGTGAGTACATTCGACAGACATTGTGTTTGAAAAGAAAATCATTCGTTTGGATTTTTCTTTTCTTTCTTCTTTCACTATTAATTCTTAAAATTATTTACCTACATATTCTATAGTCCAGCAGCTTAACATTGGTTACATTGGTACATTTATTTTAAATCCGCCTTGCCGATATATGATCTATCTCTCTATATTGTCTATACTGTTAAAATTACTTCCTTGTGCCTTATACAAATTCTAATTAATTCCGATCCAGTGTTATTTTGGAAGCTACCGCTGATTTTACTTCTTTGACCCGTATCTATCTATCTTTCTATCTATCTATCTATCTATCTATCTCTATCTATCTATCTATCTATCTATCTATCTATCTATCTTTCTATCGATCTATCTATCTATCTATCTATCTATCTATCTTTCTATCTTTCTGTTTATCTATCTATCTTCATATCTATCTATCTATCTCTATCTATCTATTTATCTATGAAAGTATGCATGTTTTATTCCAGGTTCAACAAACATTTTAATAACTTTAATAAATGCACATCAACCAATTTCCATCGAACACTACCCAATTATATGTAACGTTCTATATTATAATTATATTAATGTCAGTTTAAGTGTAAGTCGTAGTAATTACAACAAGACAATTTACGTAATCAGATCTGTATTCAGACTGATTTCTTTTCCTACCTCTTTTGTAATTTTTCACAGTAGTATACGATATCGTTTATTTTCCATTAAACAACTCTAAATTCAAGAAGTATCTTTGAATTTGCTCGAACGTGTTTATTACAATGAAACTGTTCATAGCGCAATAAGGTGCGTCCATATTGAAACAGGACGATATAGAAATATTGTAAGGAATGAACGCTATTGTAAAATATGTAATTCTGTAGATAAAGAGGACGAATATCATTTTTTGCTTATTTGTCCTATAAACCAAGAGCTCGGATCAAAGTGTTTAAAATGTATTACTGGAGAAAACCATCTGTTCTTAAGTTAACACAATTACTGTGCTCAACAAATGTAAAAGAACTAACCAGGTTTAGCAAATATATATATATATGATGCCACTAAATTGAGGAAGACTATGATATAATGACATTTAAATGTGTCAAATCTTTTGTCCATTCTCCACTGCGTTTTGCAGTGTCTGCCAATGTATTTATACTGTTACATGTACACTGACGAGCTGGAAAGCTTAAATTTAACAAAGAATAGAATAGTATCAGCATCACAAGCGCAAACAGACGATATTCCTTGCAGTTAGTTATAACAAATAGAAACTTATCCGAGCAGAACACCATAGAAAACTCTTAGTTCCATACTTTTTGATTGGGTAGGGATTGTAAATACATTTGTTACATTTGAAATCGAACTAATTATTACTCCGCTAGTATTTAATGGAGCCGCGTACGTCAAAGCCTGTGATAGGGGAGCTAACTCAAGTTGGCCTTGTGTGTTGTAAGGTATGATTTATGCGGGTCGTATAGCCTCATATCACCCGTCTCCATCGTTTCTCACTGTTCGGCACAGTGAATATGATATTTAGACAATATCATACGAGTTCATAGTACGTGCATATCACTTATATATTACTATATAACGCTACGGAATAAACGTTTACCGTGTATTACTTTGTAATCCTTCTTTGGAATATGTACAGGGAGCATTCCTTTGTAAATTAACCGTATAACAATGCAGAGTAAAATAAACTACAGCATCGTGTTTACTCTATATTTCACGTATCTCCTGGAGTCAATTATTGCGCCACTGAAATGAATTTCGACACCTTGAAAGCCATTTTTTTTTTTATGACAATCTTTTCAAATTTTTTTCGGTGGAATGATTTGCCGAATATGGTGAGATATTCTCGGAAATATCATTTCACTGCCAAATGGCCTAGTAAAACCGATTTCATCGATACCTCAAAAACAAGTCAACACAAATATATTTAAAAACTGCAGATTATTATAGAGTAATCATTTAGTACACGAAATTGTATTTCAGTAGCGCTTTAATAAGTCTCAGAGAAGAATTTATAGGGGGGACAAAGGAAAATCCATGATATTTAGAACAAGTTTTTTGAACCGCGAATACTTTTGGCGCGATGCTTTAGATTGTCCTATCCGTAGCCATTTGTTGTACAGAATACAATGTTTATTATATATATTTGGCTTTACCTGGCCCTTCTGCATTATGCGATAAATTTGCACTTAAAATTAATGGACATTTCTCTTGCACTAATCTCAGGTAATGTTCGGAAACATTTTACCTTAGAATGGTAAAATCTATAGTACTTGTTTGTAACATATGCTCTAGGGCCGTTTTTGTTTATCGCGATCCAAACGGTTGGACCGGATGGAGCGGTTGGACCTGAGTTGTTCGATTATGAAATAAGGTTACACCTAGTAATCTGATGCTGTTTTGTCAAGGCTCGCCTTAAAGCAGCATAAGATTACTATGGCATGGCCTGTACCAGAAAATGTAACATTTAAAAACAGACGTACCGTTTTTTTCCGTATAAACGAACAGGCCCGTCTGTGTCGTAAAACCATCTTTAAACGCCTTGCTTATATTGTATTTCTTGTTGATCTTATTTTGTAGAACCACGAGTCCCGGTTTGACCCGCGATTTAGACGTCCAGCTCCCTCCTCAATCCAGGTATGTACTAAAGTTGTGCGGGGNTGGGATAACAATGTGTACTTATTATACATCACAACGCAACTAAGATATTTTTAGAAAGTAGAATTCTATATTATTATACACCAATCTTGGTAGGCGTGCAATATATCAACTGATCGAATTCACCCGACTTTCCCCTATGGCACCGATCCGAACGGATGTAATATCACACCTACTTAACTAAAGTATAACCGAAAATATGAAAATTCGCCGACCATATGTAGAGCATGGTCTTCAGACAAAATTAAGTGTAATCGTAACACGTTAAAATCCGGATTATTTTTCCTCCCTCTCTTCGTGTTATGTAAAAACAAATGTAGATGCTATGTCCTTCATTAAAGTAACATTAAATAGAAAATGTGGTATATGTATATTTATTACAGTATTGGGTGTGTGTTTCTACAAAATATATTGTACTATACGTCTTTATCATGTACAATGTGTGTTTAAGGCCATGTGACACTTAGAACATGTTTAAAAGTTAACGTAATGTAGAACGACTTGTGTTTACATTTCATGTTATATAGAATGTGTTGTACGTCTTAGTAATAATTATAAAAAATATGAAAAGCCAAAAAGATATAAATAGATTATTTAGATAGCATACATATGAGTTAATATTTACATTCTGTGTTGCATTTGCCTATATGTTGTTAGTAAACCAAATTCCAGTATATGACACTGTATACTGCAATTTACAGTGATTCGGTCAGTGTAGGAATACAGCTCCAGATGTCCTAGGTAAACAAACATGGCCACCAGATACTTTCGGTATCAACAGGCCCATAGTCAGAGAACGTTCTGGGTTCGTTTGCATTTAGCACTGTAGGTCATCGCAAAAATTAAGCAACTTGACAGGTACCACAAAATATTGTAAGCGCTATTCTAGATACGAAATAACCAAGTTTGTCAACGTCATCACACAGGGGCTCGGTTTCGAGATTTTGAGAACATAAAACCTTGTAAAAGTCGAAGGTATCGACAAGGTTTTAGAATGTGTATCTTCAGTGATGTCATCCATTACTCAAAGTCACGAAACCGAGCCCCTGTGAACGTCGTCTGCTAGCGATGCTAATCTGACCGATTAGACATGAACTATATTTCAAACGAAATGTCCTTGGAATCGTTATAACCTGCTGAAAGGACCACTTTAATTAAAAATTCCGAGTATATATGCTTCTGAAAATAACGTATTATTCCAGTCGATGGAAACATAGCGTTTCCGAGGAAACAACCGAGTCCGTTCAGCGCTGCATCACTTCCAAATACATCTAATCTATCAATGCGCAAAAAACAGTTTTAATTTTAAAAAAGCAGAAGTTATGCAATCATTAACAGTTTTTCAACATATACACACTCATATGAAATAAATAATAAAGTTAAAATATACGTTTTAATCATGGGATCTATTTCTTTACAGGGAAGTGCATTGGGAATGAATGAATGGGGCGATCCGTTCTCCAACCTCCGAAGCGGTCTGAGTAGGGAAGATCGACAAATGCTGCGGCTTCTTGACCTTGGTTCCCTTGGGGACAGGGTTATTAGCAGAAACCGAAATGCAGGACCCGGAAGTAGGTCATGGGGTCGTGGATCGCAAATCGCCATAGAATTTGACAGTAGAGGGCGTTCACAGTCACGCAGTAGTTCTCGGGGTTCCACGAGATTTGCTGATTCTGGATTACGGGGTGACTCACGCAGTTTCAGAACTTCCGGTGGACAGTCCTCATCAAGATCATCTTTCGATAGCTTCAGTTCGAGGTCTTCTCCAGATATAATTATGATCAGTTCCCGTTTGCCGTCATCTGATAGGCGAGGGAGAACAGACAACGTGGGTCACTTTAACGATATCGGAATGCCAAGTTCCTCACAACCGGTCGTCGTTCGAGCACGTGACCAAGTTTTGTCTCGATCCGAGTTCATACGTAGTTCCCGTCCTTCCCAGGATGCTCGCTTGAATACCGACCCTGTCAGTTCTTCGTCACGAAACATAGCTCCAAGTGCAAGTTGGCAGGAAATGACTGTTCCACAACTGAACGTAGGAGTCGATTCTTTTAGCAACAACCACACACCAACTACCTCCATCTTTAGAGACCAAAACCCACCCACAAATACAGGCACACGTTCACCGGATATACTTATCCAAACATCTGCGCATGTCAATCCAGGCGGAAGTAATACCATGGTAAGCCAGAGTACCACTAGTACAAATGTTGCAGACAGGGGGTCGCACACTTCAGTTTCAAACAGCCACATAGTTAGTGCGCAGTCGCCAGCAAGTTCCGCCCTTCAGGACATTTTAATGTCGCTCGCGGAGTCCATTGATATTCGTGATCCCAGGTTTCCCCGCCCAACAGAGGAACCTCTTGAACTGGAGGAAATGCTCATGCGCAAATTGATGGCGAGAGTTTGATAGGTCAGTGGTTTATGACGTCATAACTCTGAGTTGTAATATCGTGAAACTGAAAAAAAATCGGTTTCAGGGTTACGTACTACCAAACACGTGGTTCCTATGGAACCAATTAAATTGAATGCTTCATGTTTACCTCAGAATTACCAATGCGTGCATGCTGGCCAGTTATCAAAGCATGGTTAGCTTCACACAAATTTGATAGAAATATTTTACTTCACATTTCTAAAATAATATTTGAACCAATGATAAGATTTTTTATGTATTGAAAAATGGGACTCGTTTGAGAAGTTTGGCAAGAAGTATTAAAATATTTCAAAATATTCAAGAAATTCGTGAATTTTCAATTTTAGAATTTAAGGTTTATGACCAAGAAAGCTTGGCAAGCTTTCAACAAATAGGCCAAAGACGAATAGTTAAAAAAAATATTCGAGAAAATCTACGACCATTTTTAAATTCTTTGGCATTAGATGGTCAAAAATATTTCTTATTCAACTTAAGTTTTGAATTTCAATATTTTTGGAAAATGCATTGGTTTAGAATTTTGCGTTAAGCTGACCTTAGTTTGAACAACTTGTCACATCTGTTCTTTTATTTCATACATCCTCTGATTAACGATGTGTAAATTACCGGAGTATTCTCAAGGTAGAATTCTTTTAAAATGGAGGTGACTTCAAGGTACAAGGTACCGTACAGCTTTAAATGTTCGTTTGATTATGGATGTTTCATGTTTGAGTAAAATAGAAATATTTGTTTTTACAGTTATTGATTAAAATGATGTAAACATATATAGGTGTGAACGGGTCGAAGTGCTAGTTGGTAGAATTATTTATTTTTCTTGAAAACGGCAAAAAACCTACAGTGTATTTATTGAATACATTATATGTGGGTAGATTACCTAAAAAGATATAAATGGTAAACAAATATTTAAACCTAGAAATTGAAGCTCGTAGCATATTCTCAAGCTTCCAATACTTGGGATTTGTCTTTTTTTATTATTATTAGAAATCTCTATCAAAGTAACAGCCTGCGAGACTATCAGTCATGATTTTTAAAAAAATGAATAAATATGAATTAATCAACATCCTTGTGAGATTTGACTGTGATCTTACTCCAAGGCATTATTCCGTCTTCTCGTATCGCAGAGGTATTTGCTCTTGTGAGCAGGTATTGATTGTTCCGTCATTTGTTTGTGAGAGTTACGTCATCAATTTTTGAGAAAACGACGTAATTATCAAACACAAACTAATGACGTAACAATCAATACCTGCTCACAAGAAAAGATAACTCTGCAATACACAAAGACGGAATAACGACGCTACGTGTATCGGTAATGTGTTTGGCGACTTTCACGTTATTCGCTTTATCTTCTGTGTTTCAAACATTGCTGTTTGTCTATAAATAAAAGCCAATAAATGACATAGCCGAGTTTGTCTTATGTGTGTTAATTTTGATGTAAAACTTAAAATGGACCCGTGTGGAAAATGGAACGTGGGCTAGTGTGCATGGCTGCAAATGAACTGGTTAGCGATTGAAAATGGAAATTTGATTTCAAAATTATTTTTTTATGCATCCGTTGAAAATGGATTCCGTTGAAAAAGTAAACCGAATGAAAATATGCTTTACGAGGAATTGGTATTGGGTAGAAAGAATAACCTAGATTTAATCCAGTAATGTCATTGTGACTTACATTGACCTTCATTTTCAAACATTGTTATCGGGTTAAAAAAAATACATAGAACTGTTGTTTGACCAAATTTGATCACCGTGACCTACTTTTTCAAAGTTGACCGACCACCACAAAAATTATCATCGGGTTTAAAATTAACCAAGACCTGCCGTCTGACCTAATTGGGTCGTCGTGATATACTTTTCAAAATAGAAGTATATTTTTTAAAATATATATGATAGGCCTATCAGGTTCAGTAAATTAGCATAGCACTGTTGAACTAAGAACAAATCGTATGAATTTAACATTGAAAAACAACGCTTCAAGAAACGCGACGAAAAATGAGGACCAATTGATACATTGCCGTTTGAAAACTGAGCTGTAGAAACCAAAAGGTAAAACATGGGTATCCTTTTACGTCTCTGATTCAAATATATACTATATTTTGCACGAAGAAAGGTTAAAAACCAACCTTGATTTACACACGCACATAAACTCTGGGGCGTCCGCCACCCACAGGCTGCACATATCAGTTAGCGGATATAAGGAGATTGTCAAATAGTAATCTCTACGTGTCAAACACCAAACCGTATACCTATCAATACTTTCAACCAGTTAAACATCTAGGGATAGCATTCCGGAAAGTGCAACGAGCCAACAATCTCTGAGTAAATGTCAAAGATTCAACAACTCCACAACAAAATGAAGAAAGAAGAAAAAAATAACCACCATAAAATACCGTAAGAAATATTAATCTGAACCGTTGGTAGGGTGGTGCAGTGGATAGCGCACTTGCCTTCACGAAGGCGGCCCAGGGTTCGATTCCCCGTCGGTTCCCCGATCGGACGTAAAAAGGTATGGGGTCACCTGCCCGACCACGTGGGTATCCGGGCCAACAAAAGTGATTAATTTAAGTTTTAAACCAGAGATTATGTCTGTCTAAACCAAGATATTTCATAAACAATATAAAAGCTTAATATGCTGTTATGATGCTCCCATAATTACAGTAATAAAAACTGTTCCTACTTCATTCGATAAAATGTCGTGTTTGTTTCTTACGATATGTTATCTGCTTCGCCATGGGTCGGGTATAGATAGACCTACAATTTAGTACAGTGTTCAGGTCAAACCGGAAACACTACACTCGCTTCGTGCTACTAATTCGACAACTGCATCGTTTACTTCCGGTTGAAACTGACACACGTGTTGTGTCATTTTCCAAAATGTCCAGCTCTAAATTCGCTCTACAACAGCTCTCTAAACATGGCTGGAAGGAAGGTATACTAGGAATGATTAGCTTATATGATAAATCATCGTTTTTTGTTGTTAACTATTGAGTAGTTTGATATCAGACAAAAGGGAAACAACAAAAATGTAGCCCGAGAAACGGTGGAAGTCAGGAACGTCTACATGTACATATCAAACGAGCTCGGGTCTACAGGGCGATACTGAGGTTACCGAACCGTAACAAAGTTTCATGTTAATGTTATAGTGTAAAACCTGACGACCCCCAAAACATAACAACAAAACAGGAAACTGCTGCATTAGAATAATCAGTTTATTGATGGTGGCCGCGTAATGGTAGATATTAAACTCCGATAATGAGAAACAATGTGTTGGTTACAGAACGGGTTCGTTACAAATGTCTGAGATACAAATATGATATACTGATGAAGTAGGGTTAAGGGCAATGACACAAGAGGATGTCGCCTCAACTTGCGTTGTGTTCTCAGTCAAATGTTGACAAACAGGCGACACCCAGTTATGTTCGCTCCTACTACGCCAGGTTCATTGTGCCAATGGCATAGAGTGAAAAGATCACCAAAAGAGGTTAAATTTCAACAATTTAATATATATATAAACGATGATATTTACAATGAAATAATATGTACTAGTCCTGTAGGCATAGCCTATAAGATGGACATTATAAAGAAATGGGTCAAAATGAACCCTAAAGTTTACTGTAAATTCATCTATCAAATTGCTTAAATGTTGTGTAAATCTGAGATGAAATTCCAGCTAAAGCTGGTAACATAGCAAAAATATAACGCTATGGGATAAGTTTGACAACTGGTGTGCCCCAGGGAAATAGCTACTGGACTAGTGTCCCCAAATATACATACAACCGAGGAGTATTATACAAGAGTACTAAATGTAAGTCAACAAGCCCTAATGATATAAGAATATATCTAGAAACCACTGTAAAGTTGTTTCCACTACATTACTCAGCAGAGGTTACGTGTATGCTTAAGACCACCCGGACTGCTATAAAAATATCTAACTCCCTACATAATTTCGCCCAACCCCTTTAACTAATTAGACTACAGGAACTCTAGGTGAAAGTAAGGTCAGAATATCCTGCTGTCAGGACGCTTCTAGTGAGACACTAATAAAATATCAGAGAGTATATCCCGCTGACAGGACGGAATTAGCGAGATAGATTAGGTAAAACAGAACATCCTGCTGACAGGATGGGTAATAGAGAGGCTAACCTCACCTGTAGAAAGGCCTAACAACGTTGGCGACTGACTAGAAGTACATAGCTCGAACACCCCAAAACTACCGGCTTTTATACATGTTCAGCAGACAAAAAATAGTCTCTAAAACAGGAGATTCCACTAACAAAATCCTACGAAGCAAACGATTGGCTCAACCCGGAATGGGTGACCAATCAAAAAGCTGTTAACATAATTGAACCACTTCCGCCAACATGGCGAAGAAATAGGACAACAAACACTGTACAAAGTACTCTGTACAAAATACAGGCATTATGAGCTTCCCCAATAATGCACAGTATTACAAAATGGAATCTATAACGGTGAAAACTATTCCAGCTAGCCCAGTGACACTGTGTCACAGTATGCAAAGGTGCATATAACCATAAAACTTGTACGACAATAATCCGACTCCACCACACTTATATGGGTCACAGCACCATGTTTATTGTGACCCGTATCGGTATAGCATATGTGTATTTCAGACATTTGTAACAAACCCCCGAGGTTACAGGCTTGTTTAGGGTCGTGCCCTACCATAAGAACATTTAGTTAAAAATTAAAATGTTATTGAAACCAAATTTGTACCGTGATAAAAGGGTGCATTCATGGTTAAAGGGATTCTAATGAAACACTTTTACATAAACATACAACTATTTGATAGTACTGTTGGATTTAACTGAAATTTAACCAGCTAACACACACACACACCCTTCTCCATCACTCTCCTTGTTCCAGAATGGGGAGTGTTATACTGGTTACTGTGTCAATTCAATAGGGTATACATAGGATTAGGGTAAGATACTTTATATACAAGCCAGATGAAAATGACTGCAGAACTTCTTCAAGTAAGCTATATACATGTACATTGTAGCTAGCACCAAATCCAGAAGCTTGTAAAAAAGTGTTGTGGACATCAACCCCTGAATCACCAGTAAGACTCAGGTGCCACCTCATGTGAGATTGGGATTTAGATTGGGAAATTATTCCATAGCTGTCGGCAACCTACTCGTCATGAAGGAGCATACATCAATTTTATCAAAGTTGACACACACAAAATCTAGTTGAACAGATTCTCTGCAAATCCTACATCAATGTAACTAGTCCATTAGGAAAACATCTCCATCTCGAAACAAAAAGTAATTGACTGTAGGGGACATAAAATAAATACTGCCATAAATTGGTGTTTAATTTATTGGAAAATTTGGACAAATATAAGACTATGTATCTGTATTTTAAGCAGTTTTCCAAAACAAATATCTTTTATTCTATAACATTTCTATCAAATTATATTGGGATTACATATTTTTTTCACAGTCCAAAGGACGAGGTAATTAAGTTTCGGTGATTAACTAGTGGTAGCTACAATCTACTAGTCCCAGGACTAGAGGACTAATGCTAGTATCAAATCCTGGGTATATCAACTTATAAAACCAGTCAAGTTCTCAATTAGTTCTGGACATTTGGATCTATACTGGGCCATCGATCATACATGATCTATTCTGGGCCATCGATCATACATGATCTATTCTGGGCCATCTATTCTGGGCCTTCGATCATACATGCTCTATTCTGGGCCATCGATCATACGTGATCTATTCTGGGCCATCAATCATACATGATCTATTCTGGGCCATCGATCATACATGATCTATTCTGGGCCATCGATCATACATGATCTATTCTGGGCCATCCATACAAATCTTTGTTTGCAGTTTCTCTTTTCATATTTTCTATTGTGGGTACTGCAGTTAGGGATATATTTCAATTCCAGAAATATCATATTTCTATAAAGCACTAGTTTTCAGTGATTTTTCACAAAAGAAAAAAAAAGTTCCCAAAATAAGTGAGACAGTAATTGCAATTTCTTTTATGGATGGCCCTAGTTTAATTAACATCATTTGAAACATCATGGTCATCACCCCTCTGGTATATTTAACTGATTTGTTACAGGTTCTGGACTCGGAAAGAGTGAGGATGGTATTACAGAAGCAATTAAAGTGAAACTCAAACATGATTCACACGGGGTAAGATATCAAATATGTAAATATGATAAAGGATCCAGAAACAAGTTATAAAATTAATTTTAAACTACTTATTATAATACAATCAAACATGATTCACATGGGATAAGATATTAAATATGTAAATATGATAAAGGCTCCAGAAACAAGTTATAAAATTTATGTCAAACTGTTTCCTTACAATACAGAGATAATGCTCAATGCTTTAACACTGAACAGAATGCTTAGTGACAGAGGCTATTAATTGGGTAATGTTTCCAATATCGGCACATTATGTTTTAACACTTACCGATATTGTACAAACTGTGTTTTCAGATTACAGTTTCCAGCAACTTGTCCATGCATGAATCATAAATTGGGGAAATATTAAATATTTTGTTGAAAAAGAATTTTGATAAATTTTTCCCGAATTTGTCATCATTTGGCTAAAATAAGGCATGTTTTGACCTTGAGAATGTATCTGTAATTGATAGTAAAACAATGCAGCCAGAAAATTGTTAATTAGGAATGAACTGGGAATTGTTGAAAATCTATATAAAGTTGAAAAGATAAACTGCAGAGTATGTGGGTTTGAGTCTGACATAGCTGTGTACTTAACATTCCTAACCCTTTCACCACTGTAGACCATAATGAACTCATCCAGATTAGTGCATGGTAGAGTCTTCTGAAGTTACATAGGGATGTAAGGGTTAAATGACTCTACCGAAAAGCTAGGGTGCTATGATCTCGAGTTCTGCTCTTTCAGGTTGGACATAAGAAAGGAGACGAGTTTGCCTTCCACTGGTGGGACCATGTGTTCAACAAGGCAGCGAGTAACATCAGTGTTAGTTCCACAGAGGTAAAAATTACACCCTACTCGTTCTTTAGTCTCGCTGAAACCCATTATTTGAATCAAAGATAGCCACCTTGTGATTGGCTGAGACTTTTCAACTTTCACTCGGAAAATTCTGCCAAAAATTATCCTGACCAAGTATTATTAGCTCACCTGGCCAGAAGGACCAAGTGAGCTTATCCCATGGCGCAGCATCCGTCGTCCGTCTTCCTTTAAAATGCTTCTAGTCCTGAACGGCTCAAAGGATTTTGACCAAATTTGGTCTGGAGCATCATTGGCCAAAGGGTTCTCAGTTTTGTATAAACGGAGGGTATGGTCCACCTGGGGGCAGAGGTGCGGGGCCAAATAGGCGGAAAATAGGTAAATCTTTAAAAATATTTTTCTCAACCAATAGAAGGATTTTGACCAAATTTGTCCTAGAGCATCTTTGGACAAAGGAGACTCAAGTTTGTATAAACGGAGGGTGTGGCCCCTCTGGGGGCATAGGGGTGGAGCCCAATAGGGGAAATAGAGGATTTTTTTCTCCTACCATACAAGTGAAGGGATTTAAACCAAATGCAGTCTGAAGCATGCTTAGGAACAGAAGAATAAATTTTGTTTAAACTGAGGTGTGTGGACCCCCTTCTTTGGGGCAGATGGGTGGGGCCCATTAGGGGAAATAGAGGAAAACATTAAAGATCCTTCTCTTTCTGTACCGTTGAAGGGATTTTAACCAAACTTATTCTAGAGAATCTTTGGGCAAAGGGAATTGAGTATTTTTTATGTCACTTGACCCAGGATGTTTCACCTATGGATAGCGATACACACTGACAAACTGGGGGAGGGGCTAGTTCAACACCCTACATGTAGCCTTTACGATGTAGTATGTATATGCTCTCTACCGATAGGCGAAACATCCAGGGTTGAGTGACTGATGAATCTTATTGGAAGATACTGTCAGAGACATGGTTCTATAGTTGCCAGATATAAGTGAGTTTATTTTGTCTTTTGTTCTGTAGGACGGTGTCGAGCTGAGTAAAATGAAGGACAGTAATAAGGTATCCACCACTACCTCGAAAACCTACGACAACAAGGCCATGCTGTACGGCAAATTTCTCAAGGTATGTCAGAGCAACAAGGCCATGTTGTACGGCAAATTTCTCAAGGTATGTCAGAGCAACAAGGCCATGCTGTACGGCAAATTTCTCAAGGTATGTCAGAGCAACAAGGCCATGCTGTACGGCAAATTTCTCAAGGTATGTCGGGGCAATGAACGAGTGATATTTGTTATATCAGATGAACACAAATACACGGTTATAAAAAATCCCAAAGGACCCTTTAAACCAGTTTGTTATAAAGGTAGTTTGAATTATGTGTACCAAATTTTGATTTTTTTTACTACAGTGTTAAAATAACACTGAATTTCACCTGAGGGGATAGCTGGGCCCGTATTCATGAAACCATTCTCATGCTCAAGCATGGATTCTGTGCTCAAGCCTAAATTCTTGTTCTTGTTGTAACTTAATAAATAGATCTTGTTTTCTCAATGATTTGGAAACATTTTGAAGAGACTTGAAGCTAAATGCTGTTTCAATGTTTACATTTTACTTTTTGATCATTTGAAATGATTTAAGTGAGTTACAAGAAAGTTGGTTTGAGCACAGAATACATGCTTGAGCATGAGAACGGTTTCATAAATATGGGCCCATGATCTGCTTCGATTCTTAATAGACAATAATTCCCTATGTGAAATTAGCAATATGATCCTATACCTACATACAAGTAGAAGTAAGAGGGAGATGGGCTTGGGAATCCGAATCAATTCACAATACACACGAAATGGCAATAAGTGTGTTTGTACAAAATGCGTTTTACTGTAGTTGAACTAGACCTCAAGACTATTTGGTTAGAAGGTCAGTCAAGAACTTGAGGTTGTGGGTTCAAATCCAAGCCTTGGTCCCATTCTCACTCTCCTATTAAAAACAGTAAGGATACATAGTAACATAGTAGTACATAGATATTCATATTATTACAAACCCATGATTGTTTGTCGTATGGACAGTATAGTGCCTCTGATGCTGTCCTGTTTCTATATTATCGGCTAGTTTGGTCATAAACATGTTTGTTTCTGTATAGGGAGCAACACTATCCGGTGGAAATTATGAGGCGACCAATGAGGGGGATTCTGATGATGAAGAGGAACATCAAGAGGATACAAAACCTGCAAGGTTAGAAGAACAGAATTCATATCTTTGTAAATATTTTCTTACCTCATTTACCCTTGAAATTTCATAATGAGCTATTCCAACCTTTGAATTGGAAGAGTTCAAATGTGTCTTCAGGGGTATATGATTTAAGGTAAATTAGAAAATATTAGAATACAAGAAGTTAAAGATACTTTGCCGCTAACCTTTGATCTTTTTTTATAAACAGGATAAAACTGTTTTTTTAGCCCACCATCATCAGCTGGTGGGCTATTAAGATCCCACTTCATTCGTTGTCTATCCTTTGTCCTTTATTATACATGTTTAATTTTGAGACTGATGGAATAATCAAAATGGCCGACAGGTGGCCATCCTGGATTTTGACATTTAAGGTTTGTTATTGCAATTCTCTAAGACAGCACAGGTTGGATCTTCCTCAAATTAGTTTTGTATGTTCCCTTTGGTCCTTAGTTGTGCATGTTAACTTTTGAGACTGATCAGAGGAACAAGATGGCTTCTTGCTGCATCCAACTTGGATTTTAAGGATTTTAAAAAAATGTGTTTTTCTTTATTTAGGATTCAAGACTTAGATGATGCTGTTCTTCTGAAGGCATGTGGTGGAATGACTGGGCACAAGTAAGTAGACTGACTGTTAACCCTTTCACCACTGTAGACCATAATGGACTCATCCATATCAATGTATGGCAGAGTCTACTAAAGTTACATAGGGGTGAAATGGTTAACATGTAGCATCGGTGTCAACCTCTGAAACTTCCAATGAGGGAAATCTCCCTCCGTCTACATTTCCAATGAGAGAGAAAGTGTGTGAAACGCGACTGAAACTGCTTAGCTCAATTTATCTTTCCCTTCTTATGTATCAAAATAACTCAGAAAAAAAGCATTAATTTGATTCACACACACCTGTTATGGTCATTAGACACACCCTGAAGTAACTAGGAGATCATTTGACCACAGGATGTAGATTTAGATTTTGTGTGAGTCTGGATTTGAATGAGAGAGTTTCGAGGGAGATTGGTAAATTTTGGTCAAAATGAGGGAGGATTGACAGCTATGATGTAGAATGTTCAGAGAGTGAAAAGTTTAGCCTAGATAGATTCAACACAAATGTCATGGATTCAACACTAGTGTCATAGATTCAACACTAGTGTCATAGATTCAACACTAGTGTCAAAGATTCAACACTAGTGTCAAAGATTCAACACTAGTGTCATGGATTCAACACTAGTGCCATAGATTCAACACTAGAGTCATAGGATTCAACACTAGTGTGATAGATTCAACACTAGTGTCGTAGATTCAACACTAGTGTCTGTGCCATGAATATGTCACCTATCGTTAACTTATTTTGTATTGTGTGATACTTAACTATGCCATGTATATGCGAGACACAAGCCTATACATGGCATGGTTAAGTATCACACAATACAAAATAAGTTAACTATAGGTGACATATTCATGGCACAGACACTAGTGTTGAATCAATGACAATAGTGTTGAATCCATGACCCTAGTGTTGAATCTATGTCACTAGTGTTGAATCTACGACACTAGTGTTGAATCTACGACACTAGTGTTGAATCCATGACACTTGTGTTGAATCTATGACAATAGTGTTGAATCCATGACACTAGAGTTGAATCTATGACACTTGTGTTGAATCTATGACACGAGTGTTGAATCCTATGACTCTAGTGTTGAATCCATGCCACTAGTGTTGAATCTTTGACACTAGTGTCATGGATCCAACACTAGTGTCATAGAGTCAAAACTAGTGTCATGGATTCAACACTCGTGTCATAGATTCAACAGTAGTGTCATGGATTCAACACTAGTGTCATGGATTCAACACTAGTGTCTTTGCCATGAATATGTCACCTATCGTTAACTTATTTTGTATTGTGTGATACTTAACCATGCCATGTATATGCGAGACACAAGCCTATACTACAGCCCCATCAGACAGTAACCTGTATCACTCAAATGACAAGTAAAATACTTATTATTGTTATAATTTTACAGACCAAGTGTGCATCAAACTAGTCTAGAACTTTAACAGTACTAGTGTGTTGACAAAGTTGTGTATCCCACATTCTATTAAAGCAAACTATTTCTGAGCATTTTCATAGTTTCGAATTTTCACACATCTTACAAAACCCAGTTATGAGTTTTCATATATAATACAAGGGAAATGCCCTAAAATCACAATACTTTTTCCATTGAATGAAATCTGTACTAAGCACTCAGCCCATTGATGTGTATATTTGTATATAAGCTCTCTGCCCATTGATGCGGATATTTGGATATAAGCTATCTTCCCATTGATGTGTATATTTGGTTATAAGCGCTCTGCCCATTGATGTGTATATTTTTATATAAGCACTCTGCCCATTGATGGTTTGTATATAAGCACTCTGCCCATTGATGGTTTGTATATAAGCACTCTGCCCATTGATGGTTTGTATATAAGCACTCTGCCCATTGATGTGTATATTTGTATATAATCACTCTGCCCATTGATGTGTATATTTTTATATAAGCACTCTGCCCATTGATGTGTATATTTTTATATAAGCACTCTGCCCATTGATGTGTATATTTGTATATAAACTCTCTGCCCATTGATGTGTATATTTTTATATAAGCACTCTGCCCATTGATGGTTTGTATATAAGCACTCTGCCCATTGATGCGTATATTTGCATATAAGCACTCTGCCCATTGATGGTTTGTATATAAGCACTCTGCCCATTGATGTGTATATTTGTTTATAAGCTCTCTGCCCATTGATGCGGATATTTGGATATAAGCTATCTTCCCATTGATGTGTATATTTGGTTATAAGCGCTCTGCCCATTGATGTGTATATTTTTATATAAGCACTCTGCCCATTGATGTGTATATTTGTTTATAAGCTCTCTGCCCATTGATGCGGATATTTGGATATAAGCTATCTTCCCATTGATGTGTATATTTGTATATAATCACTCTGCCCATTGATGTGTATATTTGTATATAAACTCTCTGCCCATTGATGTGTATATTTGTTTATAAGCTCTCTGCCCATTGATGCGGATATTTGGTTATAAGCTCTCTTACCATTGATGTGTATATTTGGTTATAAGCGCTCTGCCCATTGATGTGTATATTTGTATATAATCACTCTGCCCATTGATGTGTATATTTGTTTATAAGCTCTCTGCCCATTGATGCGGATATTTGGTTATAAGCTCTCTTCCCGTTGATGTGTATATTTGGTTATAAGCGCTCTGCCCATTGATGTGTATATTTGTTTATAAGCTCTCTGCCCATTGATGGGTATATTTGTATATAAGCTCTCTACCCATTGATGTGTATATTTGTATATAAACTCTCTGCCCATTGATGTGTATATTTGTTTATAAGCTCTCTGCCCATTGATGGGTATATTTGTATATAAGCTCTCTACCCATTGATGTGTATATTTGTATATAAGCCCTCTGCCCATTGATGTGTATATTTTTATATAAGCACTCTGCCCATTGATGTGTATATTTGTATATAAGCACTCTGCCCATTGATGATTTGTATATAAGCACTCTGCCCACTGATGATTTGTATATTACAGGGCTGCCCGGCACGGTCACAAGCTGAATGGTAAACTAGCACGAATTCAGGAACAAGAGGCTTTACTTCTTGCTAAATACAAATCCCAGAAAACAGTCATAAAAGATCAGAACAAGGTTACTGAACAAGGAAATCCTTTGGTTAAACAAAACGAGAAAGGTGATGACATTTTACAAACTGATGATACTGCCGACATAAAGGAAAAGAGAAAAGAAAAGAAAAAAGACAAATCCGAAAGGAAAAAACGAAAGAGGGAAATGGAAGAATCACAGTGTAACAAAGAAGAAGATACCATAGATACGGATAACATTGGTATACCTACAAAACATAGGTGTGAGGAGAGTTCCGAGTCTGAGGGGCAAGATACATACACAACAAAAAAGAAAAGGAAAGAAAAGAAGCGGAAAAATAAAGAAAAATCTGAAAATGTGCCAGAAGACATCGTTTGTGATGAGGAGTCAAATAGAAAGAAGAAGAAAAACAAAAAACGAAAGAGTGAAGTGTTAACAACAGATAGTGTTAGTAGTGTGACAGATTCAAAAAAGAAGAAAAGGAAAGACAAATTAAAAACACATCCTTGTGATGATAGCGAGACATCATTATCAAAACACAGTGATGAATGTGCAGTGCAGGATAGCGGAGCGACAAAAAAGAAGAAAAGCAAAAAACAAAAGAAAGAAAAATCATGTGATTGATATGAGACAATGAAATTAATATTGAAATAAATTGCTGAATTATTGTCGAATGATATTCATTGTACATAGATTATGCCAAAATATTTATAACAATGGATTTAATAAAGAAATGTTTCCTGTCTTTTCCATATTTATCTTTTGTATAGTGAAACATTCTTTTGTAATTGTTAACCAACCATCATAGTCCGAGACATTATAACCTTGGGTTAGTAAAGTTGTATATTTATATTATGTACTAATATTTGCAGTTCCATTGTAATTGTGAGAGCCATTAATATCAACTTACACAGAAGTAATAACCATTTGAAGTGACTTTATATCTTGTTGCTGTATCTGGCAGTGACTGATATTATGTTGCTGTATCAGCCAGTAACTGAAAAAAGGATCCTGTATCGGGCAGTGACTAATGACATTGCCGTATCAGGCAGTGACTAGCAACGTTACTGTATCAGGCAGTGACTAGTAACGTTACTGTATCAGGCAGTGCCTAGTAACGTTACTGTATCGGGTAGTGACTAGTAACGTTTCTGTATCAGGCAGTGACTAGTAACGTTACTGTAGCAGGCAGTGACTAGTAACGTTACTGTATCGGGCAGTGACTAGGAACGTTACTGTATCAGACAGTGACTAGCAACGTTACTGTATCGGACAGTGACCAGTGACGTTACTGTATCAGGGAGTGACTAGTAACGTTACTGTATCAGATAGTGACTAGTAACGTTACTGTATCAGACAGTGACTAATGATATTGCTGTATCAGGCAGTGACTAGCAACGTTACTGTATCAGGCAGTGACTAGTAAAGTTACTGTATCAGGCAGTGACTAGTAACGTTACTGTATCAAGCAGGGACTAGTAACGTTACTGTATCAGGGAGTGACTAGTAACGTTACTGTATCAGATAGTGACTAGTAACGTTACTGTATCAGACAGAGACTAGATACGTTACTGTATCAGACAGTGACTAGCAACGTTACTGTATCGGACAGTGACCAGTGACGTTACTGTATCAGGTAGTGACCAGTAACGTTACTGTATCAGGCAGTGACTAGTAGCGTTACTGTATCAGGCAGTGACTAGTAACGTTACTATATCAGGCAGTGACTAGTAACGTTACTGTAGCAGGCAGTGACTAGTAACGTTACTGTATCGGGCAGTGACTAGGAACGTTACTGTATCAGACAGTGACTAGCAACGTTACTGTATCAGACAGTGACTAGTGACGTTACTGTATCAGACAGTGACTAGTAACGTTACTGTATCAGACAGTGACTAGTTACGTTACTGTATCAGACAGTGACTAGCAACGTTACTGTATCAGACAGTGACCAGTGACGTTACTGTATCAGGTAGTGACTAGTAACGTTACTGTATCAGATAGTGACTAGTAACGTTACTGTATCAGACAGTGACTAATGATATTGCTCTATCAGGTAGTGACTAGCAACGTTACAGTATCAGGCAGTGACTAGTAACGTGACTGTATCAGGCAGTGACTAGCAACGTTACTGTATGAGACAGTGACTCATAACTTTACTGTATCGGGCAGTGACTAGCAACGTATCAGGCAGTGACTAGTAACGTTACTATATCAGGCAGTGACTAGTAACGTTACTGTAGCAGACAGTGACTAGTAACGTTACTGTATCAAGCAGTAACTAGTAACGTTACTGTATCAGGTAGTGACTAGTAACGTTACTGTATCGGGCAGTGCCTAGTAAACGTTACTGTATCAGGTAGTGACTATTAACGTTACTGTATCAGGCAGTGACTAGTAACATTACTGTATAGGGCAGTGACTAGTAACGTTACTGTATCGGGCAGTGCCTAGTAAACGTTACTGTATCAGGTAGTGACTATTAACGTTACTGTATCAGGCAGTGATTAGTAACGTTACCGTATCAGACAGTGACTAGTAACGTTACTGTACCAGGCAGTGATTAGTAACGTTACTGTATCAGACAATGACTAGTAACGTTACTGTATCAGGCAGTGGTTAGTAACGTTACTGTATCAGACAGTGACTAGTGACGTTACTGTATCGGGCAGTGACTAGTAACGTTACTGTATCAGACAGTGAGTAGCAACGGTACTGTATCAGACAGTGACTAGTGACGTTACTGTATCGGGCAGTGACTAGTTACGTTACTGTATCAGACAGTGACTAGCAACGTTACTGTATCAAACAGTGACCAGTGACGTTACTGTATCAGGCAGTGACTAGTAAAGTTACTGTATCAGACAGTGACTAATGATATTGCTCTATCAGGTAGTGACTAGCAACGTTACAGTATCAGGCAGTGACTAGTAACGTTACTATATCAGGCAGTGACTCGTAACGTTACTGTATCAGACAGTGACTAGTTACGTTACTGTATCAGACAGTGACTAGCAACGTTACTGTATCAGACAGTGACCAGTGACGTTGCTGTATCAGGTAGTGACTAGTAACGTTACTGTATCGGGCAGTGCCTAGTAAACGTTACTGTATCAGGTAGTGACTATTAACGTTACTGTATCAGGCAGTGACTAGTAAAGTTACTGTATCAGACAGTGACTAATGATATTGCTCTATCAGGTAGTGACTAGCAACGTTACAGTATCAGGCAGTGACTAGTAACGTTACTGTAGCAGGCAGTGACTAGTAAAGTTACTGTATCAGACAGTGACTAATGATATTGCTCTATCAGGTAGTGACTAGCAACGTTACAGTATCAGGCAGTGACTAGTAACGTTACTGTTTCAGGCAGTGACTAGGAACGTTACTGTATCAGTCAGTGACTAGTAACGTTACTGTATCAGGCAATGATTAGTAACGTTACTGTATCAGACAGTGACTAGTAACGCTACTGTTTCAGGCAGTGACTAGTAATGTTACTGTATCAGGAAGTGACTAGCAACGGTACTGTATGAGACAGTGACTCATAACGTTACTGTATCGGGCAGTGACTAGTAACGTTACTGTATCAGTCAGTGACTAGTAACGTTACTGTATCAGGCAATGATTAGTAACGTTACTGTATCAGACAGTGGCTAGTAACGTTACTGTATCAGGCAGTGACTAGCAACGTTACTGTATGAGACAGTGACTAATAACGTTACTTATCAGACAGTGACCAGTGACGTTACTGTATAAGGTAGTGACTAGTAACGTTACTGTATCAGATAGAGACTAGTAACGTTACTGTATCAGTCAGTGATTAGTAACGTTACTGTATCAGACGGTGACTAGTAACGTTACTGTATCAGGCAGGGATTAGTAACGTTACGGTATCAGACACTGACTAGTAACGTTACTGTATCAGGCAGTGACTAGCAACGTTACTGTATGAGACAGTGACTAATAACGTTACTTATCAGACAGTGACCAGTGACGTTACTGTATAAGGTAGTGACTAGTAACGTTACTGTATCAGATAGAGACTAGTAACGTTACTGTATCAGTCAGTGACTAGTAACGTTACTGTATCGGGCAGGGAGTAGTAACGTTACTGTTTCAGGCAGTGACTAGTAACGTTACTGTATCAGGAAGTGACTAGCAACGTTACTGTATGAGACAGTGACTCATAACGTTACTGTATCGGGCAGTGACTAGCAACGTTATCGTATCAGGCAGTGACTAGCAACGTTGCTGTATCAGATAGTGATTAATAACGTTATTGTATTAGACAGTGACTAGTAACGTTACTGTATCAGGCAGTGACTAGTAACGTGACTGTATCAGGCAGTGACTAGCAACGTTACTGTATCAGACAGTGACTAGTAACGCTACTGTTTCAGGCAGTGACTAGTAATGTTACTGTATCAGACAGTGACTAATAACGTTACTGTATCGGGCAGTGACTAGCAACGTTATCGTATCAGGCAGTGACTAGCAACGTTGCTGTATCAGATAGTGATTAATAACATTATTGTATTAGACAGTGACTAGTAACGTTACTGTATCAGGCAGTGACTTATGACATTGCTGTATCAGGCAGTGACTAGTGACATTGCTGTATCAGGCAGTGACTAGTAACGTTACTGTATCAGGCAATGGCTAGTGACATTGCTGTATCAGGCAGTGACTAGTAACATTACTGTATCAGGCAGTGACTAATGATATTGCTGTATCAGGCAGTGACTAGTAACGTTACTGTATCGGGCAGTGACTAGTTATGTTACTGTATCAGGCAGTGACTAGTAACGTTACTGTATCAGGCAGTGACTAGTAACGTTTGTATCAAGCAGTAACTAATGACATTGCTGTATCAGGCAGTGATTATTAACGTAACTGATTCAGATAGTGATAAGTAACGAAGCTGTATCAGGCAGAACTAATCACGTTTCGGTATAGGGCAGTGACTAATGACTTATTTTTTCACACAGTAACTGAAAATCATTTTGGAGCAACTTGATGTATGGATATTGTACTCTTGATTCATTTGATCCTGATCTCTGATCCTCCATTGTGCATGTATTTGCTGCAAACGGTGCATGTTTCAGTTAAGTAAACCAGTATTCCATGCTACCAATTCCTTTTCAAAATAATAAATGAATTAATTGAAAAAGACACAAAAATCAACATGAGCTCCAAAAGGTGTGTTGATGCCCACCGTTATAAGCTCTACACAAGTTTGATATTTGATGTCTTTTTCAAAAACCAAACCGGTGCTACCTGTTACATGTATTTCCTGTTTTGAGGAAGCTGATTGAAAAGTAAAGGTATTATAAATAAATGGTTGATAGTGGTTGTATTTCGGGCAAAGTCATTCTAGTAAAATATGTCCCAGTTTTAGCCATTATTTTCCAGGGATTGTCATGATGGGTGTCGTCAAGATGAAGCAGTATATGTTTACTCTTCAGGAACATCTGGTCTTATTCTACTTTTAGTCCTTCGGGCGTCTCTAATATAATCAAGTGTCAATATTTGGCCTAAATCCATCGATTTGCGTTTAAAGTATGATTTGGTATTTTGTTCTTTTCTTTGTCCAACCGTAATCAGTCACACTAGACAAGCTGTTCGTCTTAATACACGAGGATAAAATGCAACTATAACAAACGTTTAGGCATGCTGGTCGTGAAAGACTTTGTAGACACATGTAAATGACCTAGGAAGAGGGATACATAATACACGTGCTTACTACGTCATGACAAAGGGCACAATTTAAATTCAGAATTGCTATAAACAGAGATACCAAAAACGAAAAGGAATATATATAATATGAACCTGTGCTAAAATAATGAAACCGGCACTTGTGGAATGTACAGCTTTTAACATCCTTTCCCAAGGCTAAAGCCATATGACGACGTATGCCTAAGGCGATACCATTGTTACAGGAAAGAGGAAATGTCCTTCCACCTTGGATCGAACCCGCGATCCCTAGGTTCCTAGTCGAACGCTCTACCACTGAGCTAAAGGGAAATTCCCTCTAGCTCGAAGCTAGAAGGCGACCTTAATCCTATGTGCAATTAAAACCTGCCACACTTTAAATAGGAAACGGCGATGAAAGAAAAAACAGACATCCAAAATCAGTGTTATAATTGTGGCATTGGACCAATTTTGATTTCCTCTCACGCTCAAGCATAAATTCTGTGCTCAAACCAGCTTTCTTTTAGCACTTTGTAAACAGACTTCAGCTTTTAGTCTCTTAATTTTTTTCCTGATCATTGAGAAAAAATAAGATCTTTGTAATTAATTTATAACTGAAACAAGAAATTAGTTTGGTTTGGTTTAGTATTGTTTACCGTCCTATCAACAGGTATGGTCATTTAAGGACGGCCTCCCCTGTGTGTAAGATGCATGCGTGCTGTGGGAGGCTGCGATATGTTCGTGTTTGTCTCCTTGTGATAGCGCGGAACTGATGCCGAGTTTATAATGCTTCCTCAAGAAATTAGACTTGAGCACAAAATCAATGATTGAGCACGGTTTCATGAAAACGGGCTCTGGACTATTCTTTCCCCAAATGGCACATTAATGTGAATTACGTCCCTTGATGTAGATCTTCTGTTAAAAAAAAACGGAAAAAAACAAGCCAGTCGTACATTTTATGTATGTTCTACATTTGAAAGCAAATGGCGGGTTGTGTTTTTCCCCTTTTTTTTAAACAGAAGAGCCACATCAAGGGACGTAATTCAAATAGATGGTCACAGACCAATGTCATTATTACAGCACAGGTTACATTTGGAAGAATAATCGCTTTCAGGACCACTTGTGGCACCCGTGGTGAACACAAATCTAAGAAGCGTTCTTATAAGTAATGTCATAAGTAATAGACATTTGTAGATAGGTGTCATATAATGGTCTTATGTTCTGAGTGGTTGAATGATAGAATAAAACAGAAGACAACGAAACCAAGTATATAAAACTATTTATATTTCGTGTTTTCAGACACTAAATAATGTATTTCTAGTAACTGATATCGCTGTGACAAGTGATACTGATACCGAGCTTCTGGATTCTGAAATAATGAAGTAACATTATATAAATAAAGTATTCAGGTCATCTGTTGAAAACAAACAGGAAATATATTTCAATCTGTGAATAGCTGTCAAACTGTTGTTATTCTTTAGATCCAAGAACATACGTATAATCGTTCTTCTACAGTTACTAGTGTGTGAATGCTTGTCACGTTCTTGTTCTGTAGTTGAACGTGTATAAATACCTGTCAACCTCCTTTTCTATAGTTAGAAGTATAAATACCTGTCAACCTCCTTTTCTATAGTTAGAAGTATAAAATACCTGTCAAACTCCTGTTGTTCTATAGCGTCACATACGCGGTCTGGACAAGAATAGGGCCCCCGTTTCTTATTACAGTAATAACAACAAAACATCTTCACATCTCGGTCTGTGTCGTCACAGATATGGACTTGTTGGTCTAGATAACGGCACTGGCACTCACTGATGGGGTCGTGACAAGTGGGAGCTGTGGAAGAGAATCAGTATTGTGTAGCTGATGTTGAATGTTAAGAATCACCGGCGGACAAAAACAAACGAAACGAAAATTTTATGTAGCACAATACAACAACTATTTCCCTAAAGCATTAACATGTAGCAAGAGCAAACTTCTATCACAAATTTCCTATAAAGGACGTAATACAATCAATATTATCAGTAACTCCTGTCCCAAGCATTCTGGCCTGGCCTTCCATCAGTGAATGAATGGTCCCAACTCTTAGGTCACATCCAGGGTTAATTCCTGATGAAGGGCAGAGTCCGAAAGCTTGAACCAAGGGTGACTTGTTATTTATTTACCAAGACTCTCTCCTACAGTAAGTTTAGTTACTGTGCTGTGTCACCTGTTACACTGTTCTTACTACAAAACCCACAGTCAAATTGGAAAACGTTTCTCGATAAAGAATATATATATAATGACATGCTCATCTAGTTTATACAAAACATAGATACTTTTTGTGCTACTGATTTACATCGCTAACTACAGTCAGGCATGTCTTCCAAAACACATTAATTGAGTGATAAGTCAGTGCGTATGAACATAATTAGGTAAAAATAGCACCAACATTTTTAGTGGTAGAATAACATAATTACATAGGTTACATAACTGACGACTCGCATTGTATTTGAACATCATCCGATGGACAGTAAAAGCTGACAGTGCAAGATAAAAAGCTTTCAATGAAGGTATTCTGTTTAAAGTTTATGTTTTTCTGGTTTAGAGATCTTCCCCATCTCTTCCTTTTACCGTTTCTAAGGAAGTGCCGACATTTTAGTTTGTCCTTGCTTGTAACGAGTATGGGTCTCGCTGGGTATAAAAAGCGCATTACCTGTCAGACCGGATATAATTTGTTTAATATGTGCACAAGGTGACGTTACTTACTATATACGTCTCCGATAGAACACTTTCACGCACGATTTATACCAACATTTGGTATCAGATCAGTTGAACAAAATTGAAATGGAACACATCAAAGATAACATTTATCTAAGAAAAGATGAAATAGTAGTAAAATACAACCAATTAAAATATCTAATGCATAAACCCTGCCATGCCCCCCTCCCAAAACAATTGCCCTGAAAGAAGCAAACATACGACGAACGCTAATTATTACCTTTTATATATCCAAATAACCTCCTGGGTGAAAACAATACTTATTCTAATAATTTCCACGAGAACGGTTCAATTATCAAATTTCACATTGTTGACTACACACCTGGGGATGTCGCATTTTGCACGTGTTTTGCTAGTAAAGTGTCTACACGAAATAGACTAAGAGTTCGTAATAAAGTGTTTGTGTGTTGGTGCAATTCTATGCACGAGAAAGACCGATGTTATATATATAATTTATGGTAGTATGTTTACTAATGTACCTTTTATTTTGGATACACAATTTTCAAGAATGTGCCATAAGTAACAACCAGCTTGGTAGTGTTTCAAAGTCTTCAGGTGAGTGTGTTTGATTTTTGATATCGGTTGCCGATCAGGGTGCGCGGTGCATTAACTCGCAAGTCAGTTGTAGAATGATAACCGGTGTGACAGGCTATGCGCTTTTTATACCAAACAAGGAAAACAAATATAATGTCAGCACTTCCTTAGAAATGATAGTCGGAAGAGATGGGGCAGATCTCAAAATCAGAAAAAAAAACTTTAAAAAAAAAATCTCAATTGAAAGTTTTTTTACTTGCACTGTCAGCTTTAACATCGTTTAACGATAGCCGGTATCAATCGGGAATCGTCGGCACTTTCTGTAAACGAGAACGGAAAGTGCCGACGGCTCCCGATTGTAGTGCCCCCCCCNNNCCGGGTATATAAATAGAAATCTGCAGTCACTGTGTCGTCAAAGACTGGATGAAAAAAAGGATAGAAAATGTACTTACCTGGCGGTGCCGTAGTACCTGTTGAAATGATAAGCAGCAATGTTACCACGTTTGAATAATGTCAAATACATATTTACCAGATTTAAGCAAATCGATTTACATAAAGTAAACGTCTATCACAAATTTCTACCAGGAATGTAATAAAATGAACAGCACCAGTTACTCCTATTCCAAGCAGTCAGGCCTAGCCTTTCATCAGTGACTGAATAGTTATAACCCTTAAGTCTCATCCAGGGTGGGGAACATTTAATTCCTGATGAAAGGCAGAGCCCGAAAGCTTGAACAAAGGGTGACTTGCTATCTATTTACCAAGACTCTCTCCTCACATCCAGGGTGAGGAACATTTAGTCATTCATGACAAAGCCTTAAGCTGGATCAAGGGTGACTTGCTATCAATTAACCAATACTCTCTCGTGCACTTAACTTACTACCACGTGCGCACGGTCAAATTATCCAGGTTCTTAGTCGGACGCTCTAGGGAAATTTCCTCTAGCTCGAAGCTAAGTTACATGAGTTACTTAATTACTATAAGAAAACTTCCCTACTTAAGCAAGTAGCTTGCGCCTCGAAATAAAGTCGGATGAAAGGAATGAACGTGTTTATACAAGTACCTAAAGCATCACATACCTCCCCCACACAGTCCACATGTCTTTTGGCAGAGTTGCGGTTGTATGTTACATATCAGACTAGTGGTACCTGCATCAACAGCACAGCGGTCGCCGGAGTCCACACACCCTGAACCTGGTAAGTAGCATAAACATGTGTACTACATCACAACAGTCAACATAGTCCACACACAAACCTGAACCTGGAAAGTAGCATAAACATGTGTACTACATCACAACGGTAAAAATAGTCCACACACGAACCTGAACCTGGTAAGTAACATAAACATGTGTACTACATCACAACGGGCAACATAGTTCACACACGAACCTAGTAAGTAGCATAAACATGTGTACTACATCACAACGGTCAACATAGGCCACACACAAACCTGAACATGGTAAGTAGCATAAACATGTGTACTACATCACAACTGTCAACATAGTCCACACACGAACCTGAACCTGGTAAGTAACATAAACATGTGTACTACATCACAATGGTAAACATAGTTCACACACGAACCTAGTAAGTAGCATAAACATGTGTACTACATCACAACTGTCAACATAGTCCACACACGAACCTGAACCTGGTAAGTAACATAAACATGTGTACTACATCACAATGGTAAACATAGTTCACACACGAACCTAGTAAGTAGCATAAACATGCGTACTACATCACAACGGTCAACATAGTCCACCCACAAACCTGAACCTGGTAAGTAGCATAAACATATGTACTACATCACAACGGTCAACATAGTCCACCCACAAACCTGAACCTGGTAAGTAGCATAAACATGTGTACTACATCACAACGGTAAACATAGTCCACACACGAACCAAGTAAGTAGCATAAACATGTGTACTACATCACAACGGTCAACATAGTTCACACACGAACCTAGTAAGTAGCATAAACATGCGTACTACATCACAACGGTCAACATAGTCCACACACGAACCTAGTAAGTAGCATAAACATGCGTACTACATCACAACGGTCAACATAGTCCACACACGAACCTGGTAAGTAACATAAACATGTGTACTACATCACAACGGTAAACATAGTCCACACTCAAACCTGGTAAGTAACATAAACATGTGTACTACATCACAACGGTAAAAATAGTCCACACACGAACCTGGTAAGTAGCATAAACATGTGTACTTCATCACAACGGTCAACATAGTCCACACTCGAACCTAGTAAGTAGCATAAACATGTGTACTACAACACAACGGTCAACATAGTCCACACTCGAACCTGGTAAGTAGCATAAACATGAGTACTACATCACAACGGTCAAAATAGTCCACACCCTGGTAAGTAGCATAAACATGTGTACTTCATCACAACGGTCAACATAGTCCACACACAAACCTGAACCTGGTAAGTAGCATAAACATGTGTACTACATCACAACGGTCAAAATAGTCCACACACGAGCCTGGTAAGTAACATAAACATGTGTACTACATCACAACGGTAAATATAGTCCACACACGAGCCTAGTAAGTAAAAGACACATAAATATACTACACCAGTCACAGCTATACACTATACACGCACTAACATAGAAAGGAAAGACAGCGCATTTAATATATCAGTTGATCTATCTTTTCTCATAGGAAGCTAGTAAGTAAAATAAACACATTAGTATACTACACCTAGTTACACGGGAAACACATGGAAACATTAGTCTAGTAAGAACAGGAACCCTTAAACTGTCTCACACCGGTCACTGCCATCCGCTCAAGAGTCTAATAACCACAAGAAACTACAGGAAACACATGTTTAACACCTCACCGGTCACCGGTATCATACCACTAGCTTAGTACGAACTGGTATCCAAACACTAGTTTAGTACGAACTGGTATCCAACCATTAGTTTAGTACGAACTGGTACCCAACCACTAACTTAGAACAAACTGGTATCCAACCATTATCGCAATTAATACGAACTGGTATCCAACCACTTGCTTGTTAAGAAGTGGTATCAAACCACTAGCTTAGTACGAACTGGTATCTAACCGATTGCTTAGATAAAACTGTTATCCAACCACTAGTTTATAACGAACTCGTATCCAAACATTTGCTTGGTACGAACTGGTATCCAACCACTAGCTAAGTACAAACTGGTAGTACAAACTAGTATCCAACCACCAGCTTAGTGAGAACTAGTATTCTATCACTTGCTTGTTAAAAACTGGTATCCAACCACTAGCTAAGTACAAACTGGTAGTACAAACTAGTATCCAACCACCAGCTTAGTGAGAACTAGTATTCTATCACTTGCTTGTTAAAAACTGGTATCCAACCACCAGCTTAGTACGAACTGGTATCCAACCACCAGCTTAGTACGAACTGGTATCCAACCAATTGCATATTTCAAACTGGTATCCAACCACTAGTTTATTACGAACTCGTATCCAACCACTAGCTTAGTACGAACTCGTATCCAACCACCATCTTAGTACGAACTGGTATCCAACCACTTGCTTAGTACAAACTGGTATCCAACCACTAGCTTAGTACGAACTGGTATCCAACCAATATCTTAGTAAGAACTGGTATCCAACCACTAGCTAAATACGAACTGGTATCCAACCACTAGTTTATTACGAACTGGTATCCAACCACTAGTTTAGTACGAACTGGTATCCAACCACTAGTTTAGTACGAACTGGTATCCAACCAATATCTTAGTACGAACTGGTATCCAACCACTAGCTTAATACGAACTGGTATCCAACCACTAGCTTAGTACGAACTGGTATCTAACCACTAGTTTATTACGAACTGGTATCCAACCGCTAGCTTGTTAAGAACTTGTATCCAACCACTAGCTTAGTACGAACTGGTATCCAACCAATATCTTAGTACGAACTGGTATCCAACCACTAGCTTAATACGAATTGGTATCCAACCACTAGCTTAGTACGAACTGGTATCAAACCAATAGCTTAGTACGAACTGGTATCCAACCACTAGCTTAGTACGAACTGGTATCCAACCACTAGCTTAGTACGAACTGTTATCCAACCACTAGCTTAGTACGAACTGGTATCCAACCACTAGCTTAGTACGAACTGGTATCCAACCACTAGCTTAGTTCGAACTGGTATCACACCAATAGCTTAGTACGAACTGGTATCCAACCACTAGTTTAGTACGAACTGGTATCAAACCAATAGCTTAATACGAACTGGTATCCAACCACTAGCTTAATACGAACTGGTATCCACCCACTAGCTTAGTACGAACTGGTATCCAACCACTAGCTTAGTACGAACTGGTATCCAACCACTAGCTTAGTACGAACTAGTATTATTCCACTAGCTTAGTACGAACTGGTATCCAACCACTAGCTTAGTACGAACTGGTATCCAACCTCATCCTGGCCAAGAAGAGTGATTAAAATAAGTTGAAATAACTTGTTTCATAATTATTGTTAAGTAAATAAAGTTTATATATTTAATGGAGAATGATATTGCACATAACCTTGAGAAGTCTAACTGTAAGAAAGGTATAAAATATATAAAACGGATACGCTCTCTGCAATCAAACCGACCCGACTCAATATTAGAGGAAAAGGCAGTTTACCTGATTAAACTTGGACTTCAAAGGAAGCTAGAATATCGAAATAAATGCCAGGGCCCAGTTGTTCAAAAGGTGGTTAGCTAAATCACTGTTTAACGAAATTTTTCAACCTTTAATAATTTCGTCAGTATACAAGGTCTAACAATTCACTCTACAAAATATTTGATAACTGATTAAACTGTCATTGAATGAAAGCATATTATATAAACCTCATTTGTTTTACAACAAATATGAAAAAAGTTTTTACACCTGTTATTAAACACTCTTGTTGGCCCGGATATAAGCGCTCTAGGGGGTCTTAATGTTGGAGGAAACCGGAGTACCCGGAGAAAACCCACGTGGCAGGTGACCCTATACCTTTTCAAGTCCGATCAGGTAATCGAACCCCGGCCGCCTTGGTGAACGGCAAGTGCGCAATCCACTGCGCAACCCGACCACTCAATATAATGCGATTACAAGAGGAAATATTACAATCATGGTAAACAGGTAATAGCCAGGGTTGGATCAACCTTCATGCCGAGGTACAAATCACTGAAAATCTCCAATATGAATTGGAAAATTAGTTAAAAACCCTGTTTATAGATTCAAAGGGATTTCGACTGGAATAGCAATAGAGCTGATTGTGTCATACAATGATTGATCTATCGTAGACTTCTGTGTTATAGTGTAGGTTAAGCTGAATATTAGAAACCTTTTTTTTTTAGATATCAGAGGCCCTTTACATGGAATCTGTTACCTAGTCATATTAGACATTTTTAGAATTAAGGAGATCTGCAAAGCAATTTTACTTTAAATGATATATGATTTTTCTCCCTTGTCCTATATTTTATACATGAATATTTCTTAAAGCTGTAAATATTCTACATTTTATCGTTCATTGTATCTTGACCATATGTAAGATGAGCTTCATGCTCAATATGTTATCAAGAATGAATAAAGCCTTTATTATTGTTATTATTATTATTCCATATAACGTGTCAGGAAGCATTGCAGATTTACAATCCTTCTCTCGGTAGTCTCAACGTGGTCCTTCACCTCTCAGTAGACGAGGAAAGCCCTGCGTTTTTCGAGGAACGATCGACTTTTATACTTGTGGTCAGCTCCCAAGAACAGCACTGATGCTACATCCTCTTTTTAACCAACTAGGGCCTGCGCTTACTTATTTACTTTCCTAAATTTTTTCGTCAACGAGACAATTCAAGCTCATTTTTGCATATTTGTACAGTCTGAAACATAACAAATGTTCGCTATGTATAAACATTCACAAAATATAAAAATCGCTTCCTACAGTCATGGTTTCGTAGTTGCTATGGAAACATTTACAAAAAAAAACCAGGACGAATTTATTTGATGATCTTGACTACTATTGGTTTACATGGGGTATCCGTGAATTGTTTTTTACAACGAAACGACTAGAATAACTTAAATCCACGAACAAAAAATATCACGAAAATTGTTTTGTTATGCAGTATTAAACGAGAGATACTTTACCAGGTTTCGATGTGGCTAAAGTTACTTGTGGTATCACTGAAAAATAAAAACAAACATAACTATACATCAGTAATAACTAACAGATATTTTCACCGTTATGTTATATTGTGGAGATGAATACTAATATGTCCTGCCCTTAAGAACAAGATCTTTAATATAATCTCGCCCTACCTGGACACTCTTACAATCAATATACAATGTCTTCTTAAACGTTATATTAAACCCAACTATTAATGACATCTGACATTTCCAATGAAATTATAGAATTCTTTTCTTCAAACAGACATCCCGCCCTTGCAGTGCGTTGGAATAGACCTACCGTTATTATACATCGTAGGGAAGTGATAGAGAACAAGTGAGAGTAGGAGACATATTTACCGATGCTTTATATGTCATTTACAATGAACAATAATCTACACTACTATGGAGACCAGATCAGAATATTTCATATCCTCTTTATAAGTAGAGGATGTTTGCATGTAACTGTAGTATAAAAATATCAAGAAATGAATAAACTTTTTTTTACACTTTCTGCCTTGCCATAGTTTTTCGACCATTCAGAAACTTAATAAAATCTCTCTACTTATGATTTTCCAAAGAGAAACCATTATTAAAGTTTTTTAACTCGAGGTGGTGAGAAGTATACCCTCCGCGTTCACGTAAATTGTATAATGACAAAGAGAATGTCATTCTTTATATGTTCTGGTTTTTATTTTCAATCCCATATTTTTTATATATATTTTTTGGTGTTTACCCGCTGAACTATCAATTTTATCTTTTTCGTCTAGAGTACATTTTCCCGCCATTTACTCGTAAAGAAAGAGGCAATGGGATCACAGTCACATATACGCTTCAGTTTCTAGGCTAATTCAAAACAACGAGAAATTGCGATCACGATATTTTAACAAAAAACGTGGAAACGGACAGACATTTTCAGAATCGGCAGTAATAAGACAAAATCATACAGCGAATAGGCGAAATTGAAACGCGTATTTTGTATGTCAAAATCGTATTGATTAGGCTAAAAAAGGCAGGGTTGGCACCTCTCCTTGGTACTGCAACTACACAAAAAGTTTCAAAGAAATCTATTGAAAAAAATAACAGATGCATAGCCGGGCAGCGTTTTGTCAATTTTTTATGTAAAAGGGCAGAACTGTCCGAAACGCAAACTTATTTCAGGGGGCACAACTATATATGGTACAAAAGGTTTCAAAGAAATCTATTAAAAAATTAGCAATTGCATAGCTGGACAAAATTTTGTCCTTTTTGTTTACGTTAAGGGGCATAACTCTCTAAAAAAAAAGGTCCTGAACGCCAAATTGTTTCAGGGGACACAACTAAATATGATATTGTCACTACAGAAACACATTCTAAGACATCTATTGAAAAATGAGCGAATGCATAGCCGGACAAAGTTTGTCTCCGGACAGACGGTCAAGTTGATCCCAGTTTACACCCCCCCCCCCCCCCCCCCCCCCCCCCCCCCCCCCCCCNACTTAAGATTTTTCCTGAACTCCAATAATCGTAACGTTTGTGAAAATTGGCTCAAATGTCCGGATTCCTCATGACACTGCATACTTACGCGTAGATCCAACACTTATCCCTGGACCGCCTCCAGCTGAAACAACACATGATCAATAGTGAAACGTTTTGTCAAATATCATATAATTGTACCCTACCCACAATTATTAATCAGACGACATCTTTACAAGATTTAAAATACGCAAAACAAAAATAGCAGGCCTGAATATACGACAGAATCAGTAGCAGATTTCTTCCCTAACAATGTGCCAAAGAAACACGTCGTCATATCACCTATTTAAATTCCTGGGCTCATTTGTTCAAAAGTTAGTTAGCTTAATCACTGTTTTACGACATTTGTTAACGTTTAATAATTTCATCAATACACAAGGTAAACTCTCACAAACATTTGATATCTAGAAAGTTGTTACTTATTCGATGGTTGTGTTTTATAGATACACAAAAATTCAAATCTTCACTAATCACTGATAAAGTTAATCGTCTTTTGAACATTCAGAGAGGAACCAAAAAACACACTCACTTTTTTTAAATTATTTATCTATCTAGAACAATCTTGAATACATTGCTTGGAATCATTTTGCTCTTGAACAAGTACAGACTTACTGCATGTTCCGCACGTCCGCGGACACAGCATGTTCTTAATTTTTCTGTCAAAGCACGGCGCGGGATCGTCAGCAATCAGCAGACGGCAGGCTACCTCATCGTAGTCAAAACACAACAAGAGTGCCGGCGGGATCAGCAGGTCGGTCCCACTGCTACCTGTAGTTAATGTTAATATTCAATCTATATGAATGATCCTTTGGATTTAAGAGCCGCTGACAAACTGTTGAGTCTGTTAAAAGTCAAACCTTATGCAGTCGTCAGAAAATAAACGAAACTCACGATCTGTTTCTGCTTTGTCATCTCCTATTCCGTCTTTGCATATTGCAGAGTTATATTCTCTTGGGAGCAGGTGTTGATTGTTACGTCATTGGTTTGTGTGAGAAAATTACGTCGTTTTCTCAAAAATTGATGACGTTACTCTCACAAACAAGTGATGTAACAATCAATACCTGCTCCCAAGAGAAGATAACTCTACAATACGCAAAAACGGAATTGGCTTTGAGCTTTGAGTGGTCGCTTCAGAAACTGCATATAAATGTGGCAACATCTATAGATATACGTCACATGGGAGATAACTCGACGCGACAATTTCTGTGGCACATTTAGTATTTGACTTACTTCCATTACAGAGAGCTCTGTTACAGTTCTCGCCCGAGCAACACTCGGCACAGTAGGACGTTGTTAATGGAAGCGAGTTGGAAGGTATCTGACGAACCGACACACCGCTACGTTTGCCGACGAGTGTGGGAGGTGGTGATCTGCAGCTCTGAAAAACATGAAAACCGTGTTAACTCATTCATCACTGAAGACACATTTGAACCATTCCAATTAAAAAGTTGGAATAGTTCATTCAGATATGTCAGGGGTGAATGAGTTAAGCACTAGTACGAACCGGATAAAACGGATACTTAAATACTTACCAATTACATTCATCATTATGCACGATGTAGACCGGTATGTAAAACTTTTAACTTATTAAACTGGGGCTTTTACGAGGTTAACACATTTAAATCTTTTCTCCCACCACAGTTATAGGTTTCATCATGCCTGACTCATTGGATAAGCCTGCTTGGAGTTGGTGACCACTTTTTGACAACTCACCAGTGGGTAACATCCGGGACGTTACTCCATTGGTCATTTTTCAATTATGATGTCAAGTAACAATGCTTTCCGACGTCATCTTTCATTGTGACGTCAAAATCAATAGCAATCATTTCCCTGATCGAAAAAAAGAATAATGTATTCCAAAGAGAAACATATGGTTTTCTAGATACAACGTCTGAACGTTGTGGGAGAAAAAGGTTCCCAAACTCGTGATGGTTGATCATCGTGTTTATCTAAGACTCGATAGTAAATTTTCAAATTGAAAAAGACGCGCGGTAAACTTCGTGTCTTGATACAATTTTAAAATTAACTTACTCGAGTTAGATAAACATGAGTACCAACCATCACTCGTAGGGAACTTGTATATGTTGACGTTTTTTTTGTACGCATCATAATTCTAACTGTTAAAACAATGCTGTCATCTGTACACGCTTTGCTATAATAATGTGGTAACTCTGTATAAAGTAATGTGGCTTGATTATGCATCTTATTGTGATATGAAAGTTTACAAATCAGCACATGTCCTAGAGCATATAGTCTTACTGTTGTTCTTGTGCATCCCATACGAAACCGTTTCTCAGCGTTAACGTTGTATACTTCTTCCGTGTAGCATGTCTATAACAATAACACGAAATATATTTACTCATCATCTGTTACAGTCTGTTATCATGTTGTATCTCAATACATTTTACAGTGTTTCGATATCAATAAAACATCTCGTAAATATAGCATACATGCACATATAAAGTGAGTATCTGTTTACATGCTACATCAATTAAAACACCTCGTAAATATCACATCCATACAAATTTAAATTTTAATACAACACCTTCGTAAATATAACATACATGCATATATAAAATGAATAACTGTTTACGTACTACATCAATACAAAGCCCTTGTAAATCTAGCATATATGTACCTATACATTCATAAACTGTTTACCTGCTATATCAAACCGCTTGTAAATATAACAAGCATGTACTTGCAATATAAATGCAAACTTCTACTAACAATCCATACAAATACCAAACAAAATGTTTCGCATTTTTCCAGGATATACACCTACCAATTACTGAACGTCGATGGTGTTGCTACTCATTCGTCAACAGAGCACAAATTCTAGGATTCCAGACAACAGAGAAAAAAATCATATACAGGGAACATTGTCCCTGTATGTGTTGACAGATCTTAGACTTATTCATAGCAAGACATGAGTGACGAACGAGTGTAGGCGTTATCGTCGTGTTCGTTTTTGTGTGTCACAATGGAACCGATCAGATAGCGTCTAGTTATATTCTGTAACTGTGGACATTTTCGCGTGTGTGCATTTTCGCGATGTGAGTCTTTTAACTGACTTATGGCCGTGTTGACACTTTTGGATTAGCAATGTCCATGACATGTATGTGTTCGATATATATAAAATCTACATTTATATGTGGATATAGAAGAGTTTTTCTTTTAGGTGTCTGTTTGTCATATCCTCCGCATCTGTTTATTATATCAACCAATAACACGTTTTTTTCGCAATAAAAACATAGCTCTCAAATAGCTCTGTGACGTCAGGTTATTGTTACCGCACCTATTAACCTTAATTACACTTGCATGTCCTCCGTATTTATCTGTAATGCACGCTTTATTTACCTCATCATCATCACACTGTCTCGACAGGTCACAGTCCGTTGGACTTATCACATAGTCACAAGCCAGACATCTGTGCTTTAGTTCTGCAACCGGAAACAAAATATAAAAATTGTACATTGAAGTATAGACACAGAATCGCATGTCCATCAGGTAATCGACTAACGTTATCTAATTTTGTCTTTAACAAACCAGATATGAAGTAATTTGTGAAAGCCTTCAAAAACTGGCTGATACAGTGTTTTTTTTAAATACTCATTTATGGTATATCGAATAATGACGATGTAAGAATTAACGTGTAATATTATTTTATCAAAATTGAACTAAGATCACTTATCTTTGGATATGGTTAATAAAACCATACTTCTATGTGACAATTAGCAGAAATTTAACGGTATTCATGTTCTAATTAACAGTGATAATCGTTGATTTATTTTTATATTTTGTTTTACGTTATTACTGACTGAACATTCGAAAATTTCATATCCTGCTTATTGATTGATTTGAAAAGCTACTGATATTTCATATCTTGTTGACCGCTTGGAAGATAAATGATATTTCATGTCTTGCCTATCCTTCCGGAACACCTGGTCTCATTCTCCTTGTATTTTTCCAGGACCCCCATGTTCATCATTCCTTTGTTCATATTTTGCCCTAGCTTTATCGATTCTGATTTCGAATTTTTGTTTTATTTACCCTTCAATATTTCAATTGCGTTTTTGAGAATTTGCTCAAATAAAACCTGACATGGGTTTGGATTAAATAAAAGGTAAATAAAATTAAATATCTTGCTAACTTGTTGACTCGTGAACAAGATGACTTTTTTCTGATCTCGCTTACTTATTGGCTGGTCACAAGTCTGTATGTTACAGAAGTCTGATGTACAACATGAGCTACACAGTGTTCGATCATCACGCTTTCCCACGCCGCATGTCTACAACATCAATGGACATTTAATTATCTTAATATCCACAAAGATGATTCATAAACAATTGAATTGAGTGCATGCTATAGCTTGTAAATTTTCTCTGTGTAAGAGATATACAGTAGACACCTGATCAGAACTTCAAATGCCGATCTCATAACAATAATTTTATTCCCAAGTGAATCATTTAATCAAAGCAATATTTAACTGCAAGGTTTAGTTTCACCTGCCTTATATTCCGTCTTTGCGTATTGCAGAGTTATCTTATCTTGTGAGCAGGGATTGATTGTTACGTCATTGGTTTGTGTGAGAAAATTTAGTCGTTTTCTCAAAAATTGATGACGTTACTCTCACAAACAAATGACGTAACAAGCAATACCTGCTCACAAGAGCAGATAACTCTGCAATACGAAAAGACGGAATATGACTGTAGTAAATTGTAATATTCATCTGTAATTGTGTTACGTGTTAATGTGTTAAAACATTTCATCAAACGCACAATAAGTTGAACGAAACAAACTCAGATGATTTCACCTTTAAATAATGAAAGTGGAAACAGTTATGCTTAACATGAATTACACAGCATCATGTAGCTGTTTCGACTCATCGGTAAGTTCGCACTGTTCCCTACGCGATTCACACTGTTGTTATGGCTTGTATTACGTTTGAATCTACTAGATGAGGGTTTCAAACGGTTATAATGAATGTGTTCGATAGTATTGTCGAGGCTTTCAGTTGACCCTGAACATTAAGCATATATGTGAAATCAACTTTCTCTGAAACCTAATAGGACGAATACACGTCAAATACACATGTTCTTTCAAATTGAACAGTAAAATATTGATAACGTCGTTCACCAAAATGATGTTGTAATTCTAAATTCTGATTGAGTGATGTTGCACTACAATTTAATAACGACACAATGTGCTGTTTTGTGCAAATTTTATTTTAGAGAGACAAAAAATACTCTCAATGGTTTACTGAAAGCCCTGATACCTGTACTATGTTGGTTTTAAATTACACTTGACTGGCTATAACTAGTATTCTTAATTTGAGTCAACGGCGCATTATCTTTGTACCCACCGATGTATCCTTACAGCCCGACCTGTAGAAGATGTGGGAATCTGTGGTGACGTATTTCATCCCGTAGCAACTCTGCAACAAGTGAAAGCAAGTAGTATAAAAACAAAGACAAATCGATTAAATATGTTTTAACCTTGCCTGTTTCCATAATGATTCATTTTCAGGCTGTATCGTATAACCTATTTTACCGTATAACCCGAAAACAATATTTTTTTAGCTATTATATGTTTTTGTTTTTTTTCGCAATGGCTGCTGGCGAACGCGTCGCCGCCGTTACACTTGAATATGTTTTTCGAAAGACTTCTCGACGATAAAGTTGCTGTTACCACTAAAAGGCCTACGAACACGCAGTGCGTGTCCTCCATGCTTATCTTTAGGATTACCTTGACGATGTCTTCGAAAGCTAAAATGCCGAACTGATAGATTCAACCAAGGCTTATTCAGGAAACACCAATATTGGTAAGATCTACGGGACAGCTGTATCTGACTAAAGCAAGATGAAGAATTTACCTCGTGACTTCCGCATCGTACAATTTTCCCACAATCTCGCTGATGGGGCATGTGGTCACACTCGTAACATAGAGGGCCAAGCGCTACCAACACATAATGATTTTAATAATTGTGTAATAAAATCATACACATTAATACACAAGAAAATGCAAACCGACAATGCGTCATGAAATTACATACGGGTACACTTGTATTTGAGATAAAAGTTTCTTTGTAAGGAGAATTTGTTCGTATTTCATTTGCTGTTTTGGAAACTGGTTTCTTTGTTTAGGTGTTAATGAAATTCGTTTGAGATAATTTGTTTGCACCATTGCACTGTCGTATATTTTGAATTTTAATAATTCGCTTAAAAAAAGATAACGGAACTAAGTATTGATAGAAATTAGTTGAATACATTTGAGTAATGAACAAAAATGTGATGGATTTAAAGGAAATTAAGTGATGCAGGAAAAAATAGTTCAGTAATATGTAGTGAAATGGGTGATGTTTAATAAATTCACTGATGGAAAGTAGATTAAGTATAGTTGATTAACTGTATACCGTGCAACTTTCGCCTACCAAAATATTCGCATTTCAGTTGTCAAATAAATATTCGCCGAGTGTTAGTTTCGCCCTGCACGCGTTATTACTATTTATAGTATGTTGTAATCTTATATTCACCTTCGTGATAAATGAGCCCTAATTGCAGAAGGCAAACACAAGGAGAAAATTAACCACGGCGAAAATGTCTGGGTATACTGTATTAATTTGGAATCGGTAAGGTAATGTGCAGTGAACAGGACATTTAGTCAGTAACAATGTGCACTGAGACACATGTTAGTAAGGATGTACGGTGTCAGGTCTTTAATCGCCCTAAGTAGATGTTTTGCTTTTACATACCTGCACTGACATAATAGACGTACTGTAAACCAACCAGACACAAAATCAGGAGTCGGCCTGCAAAACAAAACATATGGTAAAGACGAACGCCGTATTATATATTTGGAATATTGAATACCTGGATTATCTTGGTGTAACTGAGAATCATGGTTTAATGTATTGTTATTCTATCTCTAATGTCCCGTTCACATTACAGGCATGTCAGGGTCAAACAAGGTAAACATGTTTATACATGCTTTGCGTACTGAAGTCCTGAAAATGGTAGTTGTTATTCCCCGCTTAATGTTCAGCATTTACAGTAATGGCAACAACTGGTTCACCCGTTGTCAGTATAATGTAACCAGGTGAAATACTGTGCTGGGTGACTTCGGCATGGTGTTTTAGTGACGTAGCACTATAAAGTCGGCATCAGATCCGCGCTATCACAAGGAGGCAAGTACGCCAACATACCCTGTACTTACACAACACAAGTGGAAGCACGTCCTTAAATGACCTTAGTTGTCGATAGCATGATAAACATTTCAAAATCAAATTAGCCAATCCTTTGTTAATTCGGGTTCATTCTGGCCCAAGTTGTTCTTATTATGTAAAAAAAAATGAAATTATGAATTAAAATATTACAATAGATACTCAAATCTTGCTTTGAACTACCGGGCCGTGAATCTATCTGTTTGAAGCCTGGTTAGTTTCAAGTAATATTTTCGGGAATCTCTTGTTGTATACCTTCACAAAATATTGAATTTCGGAATAAAATTTGCATGTATATAAATCCACAACTTCAACTGTTCATCGACTTTTAATGAAACCATGATATAATTAAAGCTTGTTAATTTCAGCTTTTTTTAAAAAAAAAAAATGACATTTTAAAAATTACAGTTAATGACTCGTCAAGCTAAGCTAACGAGGTTAAATAATTTATAAAATAAACGGTAGTTTAGATCACCATGTTGGTTTCTATTTCATAGTATACGGACTACATAAGGTACACATTTAACAAGAAAAAAACACATATGGTTCTTGGTGAATATGTGGTTTTCCACACACACCAAATGAGCATCATGCTTTAGCATTACTAATTCGTTTTAACGATTAACTATCAACCTTAAGGGTTCCCGTATCACTGTCAAAACTTAATAAGCAAATATTTTACTTGCATGTGATAGATTTAGTACTGTGTACGTAGTTGCTAATATTCACGAGGATCTTAATTTCGCGAATTTCGCGAATTTTAACAGAAACACAAGTGAATATTTTGAGATCGTCGCCTTAACATTCTCGTTTCATTTGAGCCGTGACTACTAGGAAAAAATATCAATAGAATAATGATAAAAAGATATGACAACACTGTTCTAAGCGTAGATTACAAGCTAATCAGGCCAGGTCAAATCCTTAACCTTTTATCACAATATCTCTCGCTCTTACCAACTAAATTCCATTATAAGCCATTATATATCAATTACGAAATTAAGAGGATTTTACTGTGTGTATGAAAACTGCAGTGGAATTTGTATGTGTTTAGCCCGCTATGGTCAGTGGTCCTTAAATGTTTATAGAAATATGATATTATCTGTGCCATGTCCCAGCCATTGTTAACTCCATGGCAATTCATTCTACACGTGTTGACGATAATAATACCAATAGTTGTACTGCAGTTACCAGACGACCACAAAATATATTATTTATTAAACAATGATTTATACGAATATCAATTCTTGACTTGATAAAATACCTGAATGCTTGGTGTATGTCTCTTCCAGAAAGGCCATATTGTCTTAAAATGGCAACCGTTATCGACGAAAGGGTCAAGAGTTAGTCTTATCTCATTCTGATTGTGTAAGTTGATTGGTAACCCTGTCGCTGACATACATATATATGGATCGAAGTCACGAATTTAAAACAAGTCATGACATCATTAAAAAAAGTAAAATATTGACCATATAAGCCATACAATTAAACATACGCCAACATGTTTGTTTTATTTTTACTCTAGGGACATATGATAGGAACATGATCATCCACCTTTCTTATAATATTTGTAATATACTACATTGTTTCATGTAGCAGAACAATATATAAAATATTTCGTGTTAAGGGTGGTTGAAAGTCACTGTAATTTGCGGAGAGATTTATTTGTTTGTTCTTTATGATTCCTGTCTATGTTCATACATCTGTTGGCATTGACCTGATGGATAACTACTACTGTATCGGTGACCCTTTAAAATCACTACCGATTGACACGAGATCGCTTATATGTTTGTTAAACCATTTCAATCAAACCTGTGAATAGTCCCATTAGTGCATTAAAGTGATCAACCCTATCAGTAAACTAAGTGAATAACCATATCAGTAAAGTCGGTGAATAGTCCAATCAGTATATTAAGTAAATAACCCAATCTGTTAAGTCAGTGAAGAACCCTATCAGTACACTAAGCTGTTCCACCCTATCCGTAATCTCTGTGAATATTCCCTTCAGTACTTCGAGTGAATAACCCTATCAGTTAACTCTGTGAATAGTCCCGTCTGTACATCAAGTGAATAACCCTATCAGTTATCTCTGTGAATAGTCCCGTCAGTACATCAAGTGAATAACCCTATCAGTTATCTCTGTGAATAGTCCCGTCTGTACATCAAGTCAATAACCCTATCAGTTAACTCTGTGAATAGTCCCGTCTGTACATCAAGTGAATAACCCTATCAGTTATCTCTGTGGATAGTCTCGTCAGTACATCAAGTGAATAACCCTATCAGTTAACTCTGTGAATAGTCCCGTCAGTACATCATGTGAATAACCCTATCAGTATCTCTGCGACGAGCCTCGTCAGTACTTTAATTGATAAACCCCAAAAGCATAGTCTGTAAATAATCCCAGTAGAAGACTAAGTACATAACCCTATTAGTTAAGTGTGTGACGAACCCTATCAGTACACTAAGCTGATCCACTCTACCAGGAAAGCCTGTTTTCAACACAAGTTAATTAAGTGAATAACCCTAACAGTTAAGTCTGTGAAGAGCACCATCAGTACATAAGGGTGATTAACCCTTCCTGTTTGTTTTATATTTGTCAATATATTCGAGTGAATAATATTTTGAATACGATAAGCTTGCAGTTTGAATTTTGAAGATTTGGTTTTTAACTGAACCCCCACCTTACTGTTTAACCGGCGGGGCCGCGGTGGCCATGTGGTTCAGGCGTCTGACATTCTGCTACCACTAGCCCTCCACCACTGGGTCGCGGGTTCGAGGCCTACGTGAGGCAGTCGCCAGGTACTGGACGCAGGTTGGTGGGGTTTTTCCGGGGAACTCCGGCTTTCCTCCGCCACGAAAACATGGCACGTCCTTAAATGACCATAGCTGATAATAGGACGTAACACACAAACAAATCAAACCAAACCAAGTATAACCGGCAAAATCTAGGGGTGTATCATTCACTCTACGACCGGAGCTGTGGTGAGGGTATCAGGGTACGACTTTTGGTTTACTGCTGTAACACCATCCATAACTTATTATTTAATACTAGTCCCTATGGTTTTTTCCTGCTTATATAATAATAATAGTTATATACAACATTTATATATCGCCCTATATAATTTGTAAAATTACTCTAAAGCGCTTTACAACATATGGATAATAGTAATGGTTATAATTGGGAAAACAAAAAACAAAAGGCTTACAGTCACTTTTATACATTTAAACAAGCAATGTACATGACGTCCTTGCAAGGATTCTAAAATGCAGACGTGAAGAGGTGAGTTTGGATGTCCCTCTCGAACTTGATGTCCCTTTTGATGTCCCTCTTGAACTTTGCCAATCATTAACAATAATGTCTCATATTTGGTGGACACTTAACCTTAATTGAATGGAAAAGTTGGGAGACATCGAGCAACATATAGGCGTCTCGTGCTTGTGTGCTGATCACACTGGCCATTGTACCTATATAAGTTCTTTATTCGTGTCTCCGTCATCTACATTCGTTATTGTGTGTCCTATATCCTAGTAAATACCTTCTTAAATGTAAACAGTTGCCAAAGGACGTTCATTCGTACCCCTATAAAAGGTTCCAAAGCACCTTTTCAATCTCGTCATTCTCTGCATACATTTCGAAACACGTTGGATATTGATTCCCCATTCGTTTGACATTTCGTTCCACTAATGAGCAGAAGATGGACGAGATTACCAATGGGTGCAGTATAATGTTAACTTTGTGTTGCTTTCTGCATGAACGTCCTCGAATTTAAAAAGCTATTTTCTGTGTAGTTGTACTGATGATCTTTCTAACAGTAGGCGCCTTTAAATAGTTACTTCTATAAAAAAAAAAAAACATGATAGTGAAGATAAGACTCGAGTGCCGGTGTACGGATTTTACGTTTTAAATTAACAAGTACGTCATTTTGTTGTAATTGTCAGCGGAAGTGACGAACATGTTTGTGCCACGAAGCACCGTCTGCCATACATTCAGTCACGAATTTAATAATGGGAGCCTTCTTTCCAAAAAAAGCGAAACGCGATTTAAATACATGACAGTAAATTATTTCGGAGCATATTTTGTGAATAGCACATCAAAGACCAAAATAAAATATAATGAGGATAAAGTTGTGAGTATCATTTATGTCCTGTTTGACAATATTTTTTCTCGAGTTCGGTGGCAAGATCTTCAGACAGTAAACATTCTATGGGAACAAACCTTCTTTTGACCGATTTGTTTGAGACTGAATTTATTGATGAGGTTTTTAGGACTGTAAACAAAATCCAGCCGAACCCTTCAATTTCACATGAAGATATGTCGATGATTTTGCAGTCTATGAATAAGAAGAAATTTATTGTCAACATTGATCGTATATATTCTCGTGAGCTTGAAATCTAGAACACTACAATATCATCTTCCTTGGCTGCTTTCCTCGATCTTGTTGCAGTCGATTCGGATTCAAGAGCGTACTCTGAAGATCACGACTTTCGTGACGGACGTGGGATGCTGACTGACAAACTCACATCACAGGTAGATGAAAACTATGAATAAGTGTTGTGGTCGCCATCATTACCTCATAGAGAGCTATGGTATTTCTTTGTGTGATACGAAGGTCGATGGTTTTCATTATGCTCAACAGTTTGCCTTGTAGGTTTGTTGTCACTGCTCGTGTTTGCGGTGTGAGGACGTGACATTACCTAGAATTGACATATATTTAATTAATGGGTGTCGTCGATGAAGTAGAACCCACTGACCCTTCCGGAAGAGCAGGTCTTCTTGAGAATTCGAGGGTTATCCATGTAAGTCTTTTCATTTCCTTTTTACCTAAGCACAATTGCCTTTTTCAATTTTGAGTAGCAATTATTATTTTGTTGACACTCCGGTATTCTCATGTTGTTTTATAGTGGATAGAAACACGTGTTGGTTTGTAATAATCTTGAAATAATAAGTCACAAAAATATCAAATATTGAATTTATATTGGTCTTTATATTATATTTTTTCTTGTATGCGCCAATGATACCATATCATATCATGAACTTGTCATTACCCGAATGGGAGTAACGATTGTATTTTCTCTGTTGAAAGGGTGTTGATACTGTATTTATCATTCCGAAATGAGGTCGTAAAGACCCGGTATTGTACATATTTCTGTAATTGGTGATTACCTAATGTTGTACTTTCTGTTTATTGTTGAGGATGTTAGGGTGTCCCGATATTTTACTATCTCTGGTTAATCAGTTAAACGTTTCTACTGCTGATGTTATGACATGTAAGTAGACAAGTAAGAATTATCGTCAGAATGTAAAAAAATACTTTATTTTCCCGCGTATCAACATATTTGACCGATATAGCCAAAGACACAGACACTTACCTGGGTACTATTGTGAATATTTTTTTATGTAAATTGGCACTTAAAGGGTATAGTGTGAACAAAAAAACCAGTTAGTTTCTCTAACGCTAGTTTTTATATTTTTCATAAAATATGATGATAATTCAGCTCACACAGGCCAGATATTTTCTTATTATGAAATTGATGAAAGACAATTACGACAACACCTTTGTGACAAATAATTTATTGGAAGGATGTACAGAACTTTGGACAAAGAACATAATGTATGCATTAACCTTTGATCGAAATTAACTTTAGGTATTAGCAAATTTAGTATTTGAACAATCCACGGCTATACACAAGCCTGAACAGTACTCCGGACATAGTGGTCGTAGGATAGGGTCAGCACACAAGCCGATAGCACAATCAATCACCTGACAACGTTGCAGTTCGAACTTTGGCGGACATTGGCCGCTTGGTGTCGCTGTCGTTTTCGGTTGGACTGCAGTGGTTGCTTGACACAAAGAAAAAATATAATATTATAGAATGTTAGATATTTCGTTTCACCATTAATAGTAAATAGTAAGTTTTATCTATTAATACCATTGTAAATATTAAACATTTGTATCGTCCCCGAACTAACGGTTCCAACTATAAGTAGGCTTAGTTTTTATTTCAGGAATTACCATATGTTTTCTTAGGGGGTAGGTTGAGAGAAAGAGAGGTTATAGAGCATATATTGGAAGGAACTGTAAATAACTGTTTGTCGGTCCTTATAATTAATTGTAAAATCAGAAACGCCAACTAAACGCACCGTTAATCATTATTGTCCATTTTTGACAATATATACAAGAGTTGTTTTATAATAGCATAGTTTGTTTATTCAAAATAAATTCGAATGAGTTAGGTTACACACAGGTAATTTTGTTTAAAGAATATTGTCTTATTGACTTCCGTGATACATCGTTTGACACCGAGAAAACCTGCATGTGAAATATAACGTCATAGAAAATAGGATTAAAGTTAAACAAATCCTAATCAGTACGAGTCATGATCAACTGTTAACTATTATTCTGTTCCAGTTTATTTTTGAAAGACTTAATCACATTAATCCTTATTAAACTGGTAAATGAAAATATACCGCGCTTAGCAACATCTGCCATTCAAAGATGAAAACCATTAAGTTATTAAAATGAAAATAATATACAAACAAATAAAATACAGAGCAGTAATCAGCTACTTACCCTGGTTTCCAGGGATACCTCCGGCTCCCGCTAAGACGTAAAGTGAACATCAAGGTTACCATGTGTCATGGAAGTATAGTACAACATAAAGAGGCATACAGTCCCGATACATTTAAATGTTTAGAACTAGTTTTCTATGATCAAGTTTAGCCACAATTACAATATATCGCATCCTGGTGTTTTTTTCTTTTTTCATCCGATATAGTTATTGTTGTCAAACATAATGATTACTTATTTTTGATATATATTTTTCATTTTTTATCATGATTGATTGCGAAAAAAATAATGTTAATCTGCACAATTCTTGTAATGTTTTGGTAAACTAGACTTTCATAGTAGAATTGTAATGTCTAACATTCACGGCCAAAAAAATAGATAAGATCAATTTTCTTTCATTTTATTTGTCTTCACTCCCCAAATCTGTTAATTTGACAAAAATGCTAAAGTGGTTAACTTGGCATTTTTGGTGGAAGGAACTTACAACAGACGCTACAGCTCCTAGGACACATGAGATAGCGGACCGTACGCTCGTTACATGCCAACGGGTCAGACGCTATCAGACCTGCGCAGTAAGAACTGTCGTAGTCGAAACAGTTCTGTAGAGGAGGTGGCATCAACAGGTCATATCCGACGGCACCTAATGGGAAGTCAAATCGATAAACATTACATAAAACTAACAAAAAGTAATACAGCCGAAAGTGGTTTATCAGTAATATGTTAACTAGAATCTATTTCAATAACGTTGAATAATAATAATAATACAATCAATTATTTAGACAGGGTAATATATTTAGATTTACATTTAATTTACAATATGGCCCGATTTTAGCTTTATAAGCCAAACTAGTTTGCATACCAGATTTGCAGCTGGTTACATTTTATGAAGTACAATAGTACTATATAAAGGAAAACACACTAGGTTCACAACCTTAAAAAGTAACATTTCATATAAAATAGATATGTTCCAAGTTAAGGATTAGTTAAGAAGTCGTAACAGCCATAAATGTCAGCGGATATGCAAATAATGGAACTTAATGTGCGGAAAAAGAGGAGCAAATTAGCAAAATAGCATTATTAAGGACGGGTCATGGGATATCAAATTGATGTTAAATTATGAAACTTTACTTATAAACTCAAATATGGTCATACCTATATGTTATGGTAAACTTAATAACTTAATATGTATTTTTTGTTTTTTTGGGAATAAAACACTGTCACGTTAATCATTCGCTGGTCCAACGTGCATGGCAACAGATCGATATGACGGTTGTTATATTCTAAAAATGTAGTGGTTGCCGTCGATTTCTCATGATCGCAACTTATATGTTTGAGAGAGAAAAAAATCCGAATACCAACAAATGCATGTCGTATAATCAAAAGCCACCCATAACAAATCCATGTTTGTGTAAATATGTCTTTAAGATATTAATTATAATAGCAAAAATGAAAGGAACAATTATTAAAGACAAAGTAGCAAATTTATCGATTACTCCATTGTTCATTAAGGGATTGTATGAAGTATACAAATGCATATTGGTGGTTATACTAGTTACCTGAAGAGAAGTTATTTACATTGATATTGGTATCACATATAAAGATGAACAATACGAACCTGTGCGACACAGATCACGGTTACAGTTTTTCCCAGTGTCGCAGCACTGTCCACAGTATGACGTAGTCGCCCGTGAGTGGCTCGAACCCGTCACGTGTCGCCGGCCAATTTGTGGAGCACCGAAATATCCACAACTCTAAAGTGATGTGTACTGTTAGTCACAAAGACATACACCAGCAATAGTCATGTATATATATATGGCTTAGGGAATATCCCTATATGACTTAGGGAATATCCCTTAAGGATAATCCCTATATGACTTGAGGATAATCCCGATATGACTTGAGAATAATCCCGATATGACTGAGGGAATATCCCTATATGACGTAAAGATAACCCGTATATGACTTGGGAATAACTCCTTTATGACGAAGTGTAAACACTATATGATTAAGGGATAATCCCTAAGTAACGATACTCTCCATCCGACTAGTCCACTTTCATTGGATGAAACGCACCTTTTTCCCCCACACTTTCAAATTGAAACGAAAGCCGATAAAGAAGCACATGGTGTCCAACTCGCTATCTTAAATATTAATACACATACTGTTAACATATGTTGAAATAATGTACGTATTTAAATATAGTATTCCACTTTCAATAAGTCTTATAAACACTTTAATTTGCAGATTTGATTTTCCGGGATAGATGCATCTTGTTAAATTCTTCAAGTCTAAGTGGAATAACATACATTTGTAGTTACCAGGAAACATAATCTCTTCTTTCATTTTCATATTAATCCACATATGATGCAGCAAGACAGTTACGTGTTTCCTTTTCTTGTGAGATTTAAAAAAACAGTTTAAGCATGTTTCATTAGGCTAGGCTAGCCGTTATGAGAGCTAAACTAATCATGAAATGTTTTATAAATATCATAAGAAAAGGAAACAAATTCGAAACACTTTTACATTCCATGATCAAAATTGTCCTTGTACTTATCGCCATTATTGTAATCAGTTATATAATAGGGACGTCTGGACGTCATTTTCATTGTATGACATCACAGATGGAGAGTTAAATTTATACGCAAAATATGTTACACCGGTGAACTCGCTGAATAACAAAGTAAGGATATCATATGGAAAACGAATTCATTCAATAAGTCAAATGTACAGGAATTAGTCAATCAACTCTAGTTTAATTATATCTGTTATGTCATATGCTTGCAGAATGCCCTGAACAACAGGTTGATACGTTACCAATTTCGGTGCACAGCCTAGACGATAGCGCTTCTCTTTGTTAACATTGTAAATCTCTTCTGCGTAACACATCTACAACAGAATAAGAATATCAATACCAAATTTGTTTTCAAAATACATGTACTTTTACCATTGAAGCCATTGAATAGTAGGTATAGTCTATTTGATCATTTATATATACATAGGCTTTGTGATCGACAATTTTACACAAATAAAGCACAAATACAGACATATTTGCAATGAGTGTGTTTTTCAGTTAAATATCAATTCTGAAAACCGAGCGTCCGGAAAGCATACATACAGACGATTGTTGATTAAAAACTTCAAACTTCAAAACAAGACCATTTATATCATACCTGATCGGCATCACATTGTATGTCACGTGTACACATTCGTGGATCAATGACGTCATCACATGCAAGACACCTTTTACCCAACTCTAGAAATGATAACATCATGAAGATTGTCTGTAGTATTTATTTATTAGCAAACACGTGAGCGAGCACATATGTAGAGTCATTATATTTATTATCTATTAGTAGGAGTAGTAAGTTGAATTTACACGTGGGTCTTTAACATACTCATAATATATACAAAACAATTGTTATCTATGTAAACTGGCAGTAATCTTTGTCAAATCATCTACTTTATTACTGAGCACACTGCTAGATACAATGGAAAACCTTTCCTTGTTATTGTTTTCCTTTTAACAATCCTTTAATTTTGTGCGTTCTCTTACCAACACTATTTACAAGACCAAACAACAAAAGAAGTTTCAGGTCTTCTTCAAGGGAAATTCTCATTTCTACTGATTTCTAAATATGATAACAGAATCATTTTACTGTTCATATTTTCTTATATTGATCGGCTATGTTTTATCTTTGGTGTTGACGCTGTAGTTTGTTTCGATCTTGTTAACGCTGTGGTACATTTTGTTGTTATATTAACGCTGTAGTATATTTTCCCTTGTGTGTTGACGCTATGGTCAATTTTGTCCTTGTGTTTAAACACTGCATTATAGTTTGACCTTGTGTTTTGATGCTGTGGTATATTTTGATCGTATGTGTTGACACCGTGGTAAAATTGGTCCTGATGTATTGACTGACGTTGTAGTATATTTTGACCGTGTGTGTTGACGCTGTAGTATATTTTATTTTCACGTCACATATATTGTATACCCGGAAATTTTCGCCCATTCTAAATTTTCGCCCATGAAATCAGTTTTCGACCAGTGTAGATTTCGTCCTTCAATAAATAGTTTATGCTGTTTATTTAAATTCGCTGTACTGATAAGTTCACCTTCATTACGGAGGGCAAAAAAGGCAAAAATTAAAATGCATCGCAATTTTCCGGATATACAGTATATATTCTGTTTTGCTTCATAAACCAGTTCAATAGCGTCAATGTTCCCCTATACATACGTATTGGTCTGTCGCAGAGTTGTATGTTACAGTAGTCACGTGTACAACACGACGTGCACAGAGTTGATTCCGACTTTTTCTTTTTCCTGGAACAGTGCTGTGTGGTAGAACACAATGTTTATCACATAACTGATACATATAACTATGTCATACAGCCATGTCACAAATGTGGTAATACGCATGTTAAATAAGATCTAAAAGTTTGCGATTGGTCGAAACCTTGGGAACAAATTACTACGCCATATTAGGTAGTACTTTTATTAACTATACTACATTATACAGTTACTGTTACTTTAAATGTGTTTGAAATGTTCATTTTGTCAACATTATTTTCATTACATTTAAAGATATTCATTATTATAAACCAATTTAAACTACTTCACACTGCGCGGAACTAAAATACTATGATCTAAGTACTTTGGTTTTACCTATATAAAGTCGGCTGATAACACATTTATGTGTTCTCTTTTTCAAATTATGAATGGTATGTGATAAATAGAATCTTACATTTGTGTCCATGTTACATTGAATTTATTAAACTCGTTCAATTAGTTGATATTACATGATACTGAGTGTAAGATCATTAATTTATATCATTAATGGCAATTTGGTTTATTGAAATGCTGTTGTAAGCATGAGAAAATAGAAATATAACAATATGTAAATTATTGTACTGATGTTGTGTCAGTAGAATCGCTCTTTTGATATATAGACCAATATTTACAGCCGTATCCTTGCATCCTGAACGGAACATCTGGACTGCACCGGAAGTGACGTAATGTTCGCCATAACACCTCTGGAATAAAACAAAAGCATTTGATGTTTTTTATTGTGTTTTGTAGCTTGAAGGTAACAATATCAACCCCATCCTCACACACAATATCCTCTGATATGGCTATTTGTATCATTCTTCTATACCATGGTGGCATTTTATTTGTTAACTCTATAACTGTGGAAACTCTGTTAATCAAAACTACATTGTACTCCTTCATAATTACATATGTTTTTTAAGAACATTTCTCTCATTTGATATATCTTTTTCCGATACGGCCGATGTAATAATAGGATATTCTCCAAAATATTAAGAACATTCTAATCGTTTAAATTTGATCATATTTTATACATGTATTCCTTGCGTGTATAAAATTGTTTTCTTTGTGACGTTTATAAGTCTCACCTCATTTGGTCCACACTGGACAATAGTATTGCAGTCACGTTGTTTGGGAAGTCTGTCACAATTATAGCACAATGGGCCACCTATGATAAAAGAACGGAAATTTACTTACAGTAGTGGACATTTTTGTTACACAACACACGGAACAACACACGTAGATTTTCCCCTCCCGAAACAATAATACTAGATGTACAATATGGCAATGACAGTTACCCCTGTCTGTTTTGGGGAGTTAACGCTCTCCCGTTCCTGTCTCTATGTCATCAATGACGGACCTGGTCGCCACTAGATGAAAAAGCGCTTTAACAATATCTACAATTCCACATCCCCCGTCAAAGCGTTGCTCCCTATTTATACCCACTATCTTACATGATATAGGATGGTTCGATTCTTTATCATTAATTATCTATTGTACTGACCATTTTGTTACAAAGTGCATAGCACACAATAATGATTTTATAATATGGCTATGAGAATGACAATGAATTTTACAAATATATTGTACCTGGTATTTCTAGATCTGGTTAAAACATAAATGATACATATAGTAGAAGAAATACAACTGGTATAGCATATCAAAGTTTGACCCATGGACCCCTCTGTTAAAAGGAATTAAAATACGTGACATTTCCCTATATACATGTCAGATCAACACGTATATCACAGTACAGCTACCACTGATAGGAAGATAAATTTCACCTTCTCGTGAGAAAGTATCAGATATGTACGTTGATAGTTACAGCACGTCAGCCTATGGGAGGAAGAAGAAAATTGTCTGTGAGAAAATCCACAAAGCAGGCATACGACAATTGCAGACAGTTCTTCGAAATGTCAGGGGTCGTGCTCACTTACGCTCTCTGCACTCCGGGAATGTGGAATATCAAAAGTGACGGCAGGCGGCTACCAATTTGATTGGTCACATATAAAAGAAAACTGACAAACAGCTAGGCTGACAATGTTCTTTGAAGATTACAGAGGAGTAACACCCGACAACGTCAGTCAATTCTACCGTTACATGGCCGCGGGATTCTGTTGATGTACCACAAAGCATCAAACTAGTATTCTTGTCTCATCGACAAGGTAGCGTACACTGAGCCTTTGATGTTTTCATGACATATTCCAAGGGTGCAGAGAACGTATGTGAGTATAACCTCTGGATATCGGTAAGGTCATATGTCTAATTAAGTTATACTCACTTTGTGCTGCAACAAATGCAATAAATATAGACGCCCATGCTGTAAATAAAAACGGGAATATATGAAACAGAAGCCAAAAAATATATTTCTGTATACCATTACCAGCAATATGCGGAAAGAATGTTCCCTACTGTGGAGTATTACTAGCTATAGCATGTGTTGTCAACGTATTTTGTCTGCAATGTCATTAAATACATACATGTATATTACTCAGCCATCTTCAAAATTGGCCTGGACATAGGAAGTATACAACCAAACATCAAACCTGCTATCAACCCATACAATAACAGGAACTCTATATTACGGAAAGACAAGGATGTTGGTATAGCTAATTGGATATTCCTAGACTGAATCCACCGAAATTTTAGGCAAGTCATTGTCTTTAATGCATAGGCTAACCGCAACTGAGGAAGTATAAAGTAACCCATGATCGCTAGCTCATATTCGATCGTGATTGGAGCATGTTTATTATATGAACACATAAGTTTCATCTAATCCGTTCATAACTATTATTATTGTCCGGAAAGCATTGCCTTATCATGAGCTGAGAAAGTATCATCACCAAATGAAATATGCACGGCTTCCGTTCATCTCCTAAAATAGCCTTATCACTATCATTTAAGGGTTTTTGCCATGATTTTTTACATCTCGTAAAAAAAAGCGAAACCTGTAATATTCTTAAATAAATAACGAATCATCCATCAACGCGCGTTCAGAAGTGTCCCGTTATCTAGATATAGGCAATCAAATGTGACCGCTCCGTTACAGGTCACGTGGTACTTGCATTGTGACGTCAAAGTGGCACGTTTTTGGTCACTGGTCCACAGTAGCTAGGGTTCAGGAGCTGCACCCCTTCTGTATATTTATGATTTGTTTCAATGGACACGTCTGACAGTGTGATTATTAACATTAACTACATTCTTAATACAATTCTCTACCAATTTAGGTTTGAGAAAGGACGAAGACAAATCACAATTTACGTAAAAAATTACATCGGAGGACGATTCTGATATGGCAGGGACGTAAGACGTATATATGATACGCATATAGCACAGCGGTTACACAGAATGAAAACTCAATATATTACTTGATTTAAAACAAATCAATGTGACGTAAGAGCCAGTTTAATCATGTGACTTTTTAGACTCATATATTTGCAATGTAATCTACTGTCATGTTCTAAAAATATGCTAATAAATCGTGTGTTTTCCTCCTATATATGTATACATGTATACTTAATACCATATGTAACGTTACTTATCCACATATTAACGTCTAAAAGTGAAAGTTTTACTAAACAGCTTTTATTTAGATCTGAGTTTGGTGTAGTATTAGAGCACGTCGACGGAACACATAAACTTTCATTCAATTTGGTTTTGTCATAATCGCGAACGTTGATCACTTGAAAAGTAAAAACACCGGACAGTATAGCTTAATTGTATATCCACGGGTATACGTGAACAACCATTTTATGTCTAGTGTCAATCAGACTGTCACAATTAAATATAAATAATATGATAGTTTAAAATATTTGTTTCGTTGAAATATCGCTTTAGATGTCAGCTGAAATCAGGATACGAAAATGAAAATGGCCCTTCCCCACTTCATGAATTTCACTAAAACCAGCAAGTGTTTCTCTCTCTAATGGGTATTGAAATATACATATAAAAAGTGAACCGTATTGGGGCAGTTTTTGCCTACTCCGTTCAACAACAATTAAGATCAGTTTTTTTTACAACATCTTTATAAATAATTAAACAGATTCGTCACTCAAGTGTGGCTTGAAGTAATAACCCAAACCCCGAACACAAACAAATATTATATTGCTTGATATTCTATGCATGTATCTCACAAGTCAAACTCATGGCTGGATGTCAATATATGTTAATACAATTTCTTATGTTTTTATGACTTCGAATGTATAGTATACACCTGTAATATTGACATGTGACAGATTAATAAAATATATTGTATTGTATTGTGTATTATTTGCATATTTTTTTCAGAAAAGAAACAGGTTCCAAAATGTCGACTCATCGCTAGCTTCAAATTATACGTGAAATTCAAACTCGAAATAGAAAAGAATATCTGCCGGGCTCGCTCTAGTTGGTGGTATTCAATTCAACTAGGCTCCACAACATTGGTTTTACGTTTGTTTTAAAGATCACTTTTCATAAACAAGAACTGGATTAGTTTGGATTTGTGCTAATATTGGAAGGTTTATTCTGAAATAGTTTGCCACAAGTAAACTCATCACGAGTTCCTGAACGTACATTTTTGTTAAAAAGCTGCTAAACAAATGTTAATGTTGGTATTTTAAACTATTCAATAACTGTTGTTGTTTAACAAAGCCCTTAACTTCTAGTATCAAACAATCATTGAGTAATTGAGCATGCAAACACACTGTCTTAATATTGAGTCAGGACGTTACAATGCCGTCCCTAGAGGCCAAAGAATATGTACTGTCTGTAACAAAAATGATGTAGAAGATGAGATGCATTTTATACTACTTTGTCCAGCATATTCTGAGTTGAGAAATACATATTTAAAACAATATTATTATCGACATCCTAGTGTCTATAAATTGATTGAATTATTTGCATATAAAAATGTCAAAACTTTAAGTAAACTTGGTAAATATTTATTGTATGTAACCGCCAAAAGAAAACCCTTGTGGGCCAGTAAAATGTATATGTTAAATGTGAACCATGAATTATCCTCCGCCATCTTGTATATTGTACTTTATTACGAACCATGCGTGATTAACTTTATAACCTATATGCTGTATTGCATTTGGTAAATAAAAAGCTTGAACTTGGGCATAAAGAAACGCGCCGGCACACCATTCTACCTGTGATAGTTGGAGGATCGGTTAGAAATGACATTACGCCATGACATTCACAGCCTCAGGTAACACATGTTAGAGAGCTATCCAATTTAGGAAAATATTTATATTAAGCATTTAAGAGGCGTTAATTCAAGGTTTATGTATTGTGGTGTTTCATAACTGTAATAGTTAATGGTTAATTAAGTATTGTTATATGCACATTATTGAACGGTGGTTTATGTATACTGTGATGTCACTCTCCTGTCTATTCTAATTATGTTTATAGAATGTTATATGCATATATGTATGTACCTATAAGCATTAGGGCTTTTGGCTAATAAAGAACCTCTGAGGTAGTTAGTTCACCTGTAAATTCACAGGTAGGTATCGTAAATGACCCTTGGCTATAGTATTAAGTGGGTAAGAACTACAGGTAAATAACATACCTTTTGATACACATGTAAGATATTAGGGTGTAAACTGTGTTTTACCATCTCTCGGCTAAAAGGTACAGTGTACATTGAATGTAGTTGATGCAGATACGGAATTAGATTTTCGTGATTCAGACTCGAATGTATAACTTCTCTTTCGGAGAATTGATGTCTTTATTTGCTGATTGATGATTTTACCGATACAACATCATTATTATATTGGTTGCTGTCATTACTTTAACTGTTTTGCAGATAATATATAAATAGGGGTCTTGTCAGAATGGGTACACGTAGTGCGTGTCGTATAATTCGTGCCACTGTGACGTCACAGATCATGTGACCTCTACCGCGTTCAAAATATGCATATTCACTACAGGCTGATATAGATGAGGCGTTACCTGGCCTGTCTATCATCTGAGTACCGAGAGAGACGGGGTCTCGATCACTACACATATTATTGCATCAAATGACATTAAAATATGAAATTATGAAAAATCGTGGCCAATACTGTGGGGAAATACTGTCCGTAAAATATCTAATAGTGCCATTTAACAATAAGAATAAAGTACAAATTCTTACCCTAACGACATACATTCTGGTTCACCTACAGGTGCGTGAAAAAAACACCGTTAAAAGTCTTTGATCCTGATCAATTACAAGTAAAATGAAATTTAGATAACGTTACCTTGATAATAATATATAACGGTGATATCCATGACTTGTTTAACGTTGGTTGGTAGACATATATAGACAATAGTGTGTACAGGAATGTCCAGACATTCTTATCAGAGGTGATCAAGATAAGGGCAGTGAGTACGGAACAGCTATAAGTCCACATATAGTAGGAGACACTACACTCCCTGTTCTACGTCTGCTGGTTACGATGTAACAATGTAAAAATAGAAATATATCCAGCAAGAACCATCTTTTTGTACTTGAAATAATGATAAAATATTCCTAGTGAAATTCATCTTTACTCGACTTTTATTTCCAATACATAAAACAAACAGCAATGGGGGAATGACTAAATGATAAATTATTTATCATTTGTCTTATGAACAGCATGACGTCACATGGTCTCATTTGAACTTACCCATCAGTATTGTTCTCGGCAAAACAATCTTTGTCATGATTAACGATCGATTTAAATTATTTTCTCATAATTGGTATTGCGGAGGAAATGTACAATTTAAAACACCCAGAATGATTATCACTAGTGTTATTTCATTATTCTTTATTTTGGGGTAATCTAGACCTTTCGACGTTCAGATTGACACAATGTCGTCTCATTTAAAGATTTATCATCACGATTTTGGCGCAACTGAAATCATATGTGCGTCAAATACAGCCTTTGGGGCAAATTATTTTTAAACGAATTCAAAATCAAAACGAAATAAAACGTTGTTATCATTCTAATTTTATTTCGTTCGTTGAACAACCAGTTATGATCATTTTCATTCGAGAACATTGCTGGTGTCAAATGTATTTCTTACACTGTTATATAGGCAACTATGTAGGTTTCCTCTCTATTTAAATATCTTTTATAGTCCATTAAGCCTACCTCTCTCTTTCCTAATACCAACCACTTTTCAATTGCCGGTGATGTTTGGTAGTATTTCTTATAAGATGTCTAGCCAAAGTTTTATGATAGTATATAAGTTGTCTCCATAGGAGAAAGCATTTTTATCTGAGTTGCGCAAAAATCATAGTATAGGAAATAACCTTCAGTCGAGATAAAGCTTTACCATGGTAAATCTGATTTATCGGAAAAGAATCTCTCCTAATTTCATAGACATGACAAAAGAGGACATGACATTTATTTAGAAGTTCGTACCATATCATTGAACATGTAATTTGGTATGTAACGGGAACGGGATGATAAATAATTATAACTTCTCAGTCAAAAATATATATTCTCACTCCTAAATTATTTCGGCATTTGATACAGAAGGAAACGTAGTGATTTATAAGAGAAAATATTCCTTCCATATACTATATAACGGATGTTTTCGCCCAGTCAAACTTTCACCCTTCGCCTGTGAAATCCAAATTCGCTCAGTGTGAATTTCGCTTTTCATATTTAATCACTATGTATATTATGTAGTTGATTAATGTTCGCTGTAATGATAAATTCTCCCCCATTCCAGATGGCGAAAAAAGCGAAAATAAGACTGCAGCGAAAATGTTCCGGTATACAGAAGTGTAAGCATCTTGGAAAGACATTATAGAGGAAACCATTACATCACATTAGTGTTCAACCAATGTAATAAATATATCAAAGACGAAAGACAAACGACATATTTTGGTTTTATTCTCTAAGGGGCAAAGCTCGCTTCTCACATTTCCGAGAGCACTATACGTTATAACAACAACATACATGTAATACACACTGTTTAACATCAAAATATTCAAACAATGACTGACAATACAGGAATGAAACAGGAACAATATAACTTTTCTGATACCGACTTATAATTACTTAATGTTACACAATGACAGTCTGTGACGGAGGCGGATCGATGGGGTTTTGAAAGCATTATCAGACCACCTCTCACTACACACGTTGCCAATTTCTATAAACAAGAATTCCACGGAAGTGGATGTGTCGCCTGCGCAGGAAGCTGGGAGATTGTGCTTAGCACTGCATGAAGTTTGAGTTTGATCAGCCCAAGGAAACTCATGTTATCGCAGGAAAACAAATTTTCTATTTATAGTAACAGTGACCTTGACCTTTGACCTTCGGACCTGAAAAGGAATCCCAAGCAAACACTTTTGGTAAGGAAGAACTGCATGAAGTTTGAGTTTGATCGGCCCAAGGAAACTCAAGTTATCGCACGAAAACCTCTGTGCGGACGACTACACCGACGCCGACATAGCAATACCTATGTGTCACCAGCTTTTCGCAGGCGACACAAAAACGACGTATTTTTTGCATGTTTTGGCATTAAAAAGAAACAAAACATCCCACTGTCCCTGTATCCAACAATGCCTCTGTTACCACAACAAGCATAAACAAACGATATAAAACGATATAAAATAGTTAGAAACAATATTGAAGAAACATATCTGATGTGACAATGAATAGGGCAAAGCAAAATCAAAGAAATATACTATTTCTCTAACAGGATTAAATAAACTTACAATATTTCTCTTCAAATTCTAAGAAACATACTATTTCTCTCACAGAGTCCAAGAAACATACTATTTCTCTCACAGAGTCCAAGAAACATACTATTTCTCTCACTAAGTCAAAGAAATATACCTTTTCTCTCACAGAATCCAAGAAACATAGTTCATATACTATTTCTCTTTGAGAGTCCAAGAAACATATAAATATTTAACAGAGTCAAAGAAACATATACTATTTCTCTCACAGAGTCAAAGAGACATTCTATTTCATTCACAGAGTTCTTGCACAGTAAAAGAGTATTTTCAGAATTGACATTAACTCTTTCATCCCTAGGTAACTTGAGTAGACTCTATCATATATTCATCTAGAAGAGTCCATTATGGTCTACAGTGGTGAAAGGGTTAATGAATAATACAAACTACATAACCATGTAAGGTATATGTCAATGTACATGTTGTCAGCCTCTCCTTACCAACTTTGACCATAATGAATTTACATCATTCACAGTCGTAAAGAGGCAGCAGATTAGAAAGAATATTCGGTGGTTTCGTTAATAACTATTTTGAATTGTAATAAAGTTATTTTGTGCTTCAATATATTGCTCTATTTAACATGACACACACTGCAGTTCTTCTACTTTAAATAACTATTTAACATATGAAAACATTTGCGGATAAGAACATTATCTATAAACTTTGACACTGTAAGTCCTTATAGCCCAACAATATGTATCTTTAGGGATATACCTAAAAGAAAAGTATGGCCGGTAAGGGCCCACTTGTATAAAACATCTCAAAGTTAAGGAAAATTTCAAGCAATGCATTGTCTATGGGAAATCTTAGACTTGAGGAAATCTCAAGTGTTGTGATGTTTTATACCAGTGGCCCAAGGTCTCTTTATATATATATTTTTCAATCATATCTGACATTGGTTTTTTTACCATAATGATAACAGTTGCTTAAAAACAAATAACTTTTTAATATCAATTATGGCAAATGTTGGAAAAGATATATCAATTTGATGATAAAAACATGAACACTACATGTATATAATCATGAATACTGTTATCCTTCCAGAAACCAATAAAAAGGTAAGGATCAGCATCTAGGGCGAGGAATTCCAGGATAGGAAACCCTGAAGAACATTATTTTTGGCCTAGTGCTTAAACGTGACAATAGTCAGTCTTGATAATGGTAAATATGAAAGAACAAATATGCCCTAATTGACTTTTTATTAACAGGTATTGCACAACTGCACACCAGACAGAACTGGCCTTGAAAGTATAATACATTTACATGTGAAAACATGGTAGAGGTCGATCATGGGATTTAATGGTAATGTGAAATTAATTATTTAAAATACAATGAAATATGTACGCAAGTATTATTTTACTGTATAAAATGAAGTAGTTATGGCTATTTATATGGAAAGTTGACCAGGCTTTCAATACTTGGCCAAGAATAATGATAATAGCTAACAGATCAATGTATCCTGAAAGTACTAGATCAAGTATGATGAGTTATATGCCATCATTTGATTACACTTTTTTGGTGTTTTTTTTTTAAGAAATCATCTTCCCGATATTTGTAGAATAATTAACATTTTGAATCTAAATACACCGAATAACTATTTTTTAACTGCATTGCCTTAATAGATTTATGAAACCAATTTGACTTCCATGTGTTATTTAACTAATGGACATTTATACAATTTCTTACAGACAGCAGGATCATGGAACGAATCTAGACTGAAGTCTAACTTACGTCCAGCAAAATTAGCTTAACGAGAAGTAAGTTTTCATAATATGGTTTTGGAGAAAATACGAAAATTGTTTTAAATTTTAGAAAGTTCTTAAATGTCTTGTATTTCCCTTGTTCAAATGATAACTTTACAAAGTGGCACAGCACATGCGCAAACCTCGTAAACATCCGATACTGCGATATCTTAGAAAAAAAAAAGAGTATATTTCTTTAGCAACTGAAATTTGGACTAAGGTCTGAAACTGTTTGAGAATCCAAATCCTTAGCCCTCAACATTTTCAATCTATCTTAGATAAATTTTATTTAATTAAATATATAACTGGTCCACATTTAAAGAAATAAATAATTGTTTGTATAGAGTAAGTATACTAGAACAATAACAGATCTCTCTCTAACATCGATTCACTTCCCATGGAACTCTCCAACTGTTTCTGTTGTATCATCCCGATCTGAACTTTCACCTCAAGACAAATCATCCTCTCTTCATGAATTTGGGAACACATTTTCGAATTTTGCTTCTGAAATGAGAAGACAGGCATGAATCAATATCGAGGAAAATAAATACAAGTACTCCCTGATAGTGCTCTGATGTTTTGTCATAATTTGAAGGATACATTTTACATACAATTGTACATTCTTCAGTTCTATTTCTACCTTTTTAATGGAAAATTTTCATTTTATTACATAAAAACTGATCGTCTCATTCTGTGCAAATGAAATACCAGTCAATTTTAAATGATAGTAATTACATGAAGGTTTATCAAAACCTTACATCAGACTCCTTGGTTGTTTTTAGATAAAGACAGTTGCCTGGGCTGTAACTAGAGTATAGATATTATGTAAGCATTTGGAAAATAGGTTTGTAAACCAACGTCTTAAATGTACGAATTGATATGGTGGGGAGTGTAAGGGGTGAGCAGTGTCCCCGTTTTCAGGCATCCTTGAAACTCCAGGGTTTACGATCACTTTCACTCTCTGCACTCCTGGAACATGTCATGACAAGATTGAAAGCTCAGTGTGTGCCACCTTGTGGATGAGAACAGAAAAGAAGTTTGATCCTTTGACGTACATCAAAAGAATCTCTCTCTCGGCCACGTAACAGTAAAATTGACTAGCTTTGAAGTTGTGTGTCGCTCCACTGTATCTTCCAAGAACAGCCTAGCCTAGCGACTGGTCAGGTGTTTTTTACCCGAGACCAATCACATAGCTAGTCACTTGCCTTCAGTTTTGCTATGACTTATTCCAGGCGTACAGCGAGTGAAAGTGAGCATTACCCCTAGCGTATCAAGGATAGCTTTTTGGAGGATCAGGAGGCCACCACAGGCCGTATGGGGATCAGGAGGCAGGCCACCACAGGCCATTGGGGGATCAGGAGGCCACAACAGGCCATTGGTGGATCAAGAGGCCACCACAGGTCATTGGAGGAACAGGAGGCCCCCACAGGCCATTGGGGGATCATGTTGCAGATCTTAGTTATCCACATTTTAATGTTTTGATTGCAAAAGATCATTCCCTGCAATTGAACTATTTTTAATATAATTGAAGTTTTCTTTTAGTTCAAGAATGTCATTCAACATGTCATTAAAAATATTGACTGCTGTGATCGATACTCGTCCTTTTTATAATTAAACATGTATGAGGATGTCATGAAGCTCTGACTTACCTCACATACATTTTTGTCAAGATAAAATGGCTGAGGACGTCATGTAGGTTGTAACACCTTAATATCCTCGTTTTCAGAGTGGAGGTAATTTAGATATCCATCAGTCAGGACAAATAACCTCTAGGTCCACATTTCAATAAGTCTTAACAACTTACCTCAAGCTCATCGTTGTCTAATCGGAGTTAATTTAGAATTGCCATCCATCACAACTACATAATTAAAGCTCCTCAATTTCTGGATGGAGTGGATTTGAATGTCCATTAGTCCTAGCAACTTACCTAAAGCTTTTTGTTTTCTGAGTGGAGTTCATTAGTCTAACAAATGTCCCAAAGCTCCTCATTTTTTGAGTGGAGTTGATAATTAATGTCAGTTAGTCTAAACAACTTACCTCGAGCTCCTCGTTTTCTGTGAGGAGTTGATTGAGGATTTCCTGAAGATCTTCCTCGTCCTCACTCTCGTAGCTACTGTCGGAGCTGGAGGACATGTCCTCGAGGTCTGAGTCATGTCTCAGGTACTGTAGTTCAGTGATCTCCTGGTCAAGGCGCTCAATCTCATCCCGCTCTGTCTCAATCTTTTTTCTCAGTTCACTCTCTGATAGATAAATTAACAAAATTTTATATTATCTGCTAAAATTTCGGAACATCAGGTAGATAAATATGAAGTGAGGTAACAAACAATTTCTACATTTTAATTTTCCATCACAAGATATATTGATATCTTGAATGAGAATTAGCTAAAGTCATGTCTTAAGAATATTAGAAATTGTGACCAGTCTTTCAATAATACTATATATATGTGAGTATATATTTTACATTGCCTATACGTTCTATCTGTAATTATTTAAATTTATGATTCAGAGGATGCTATTTCAATATTGATAGAAATTTTCTATGAATTCAGCATTCGTGGAAGATTTCAATTTATGAATGGATCTCCTCATGAATGAAGTGAAATAGTTGAATCACGAATTCCTTTCCTAATGCACATCTATATACAATGTATTCCATCTCTTCGTATTGCAGAGTTATCTGCACTTGATAGCAGGTATTGATTGTTACGTCATTTGTTTGTGTGAGTAACGTCATCTTTTTTTGAGAAAAAGACGTAATTTTCTCACATAAACTAATGACGTAACAATCAATAGCTGCTCACAAGAGAAGATAACTCTGCAATATGCAAAGACGGAATATGGTTAAGGAGAAGCTGTCCTTATAAGGATCATTAACAGATGAATGACAGACAGGGTGACTCCTATGCACCCCNCAAAAAACCCATTTGTGTGCTTGGGTATAATAGTGTATACAGACCTATGGCCACCAGTTCCTCCTCCTCCAGTCTCAGGGCGTTCTCCTGGTCCTGTAGCATCAGAATCTCCTCATCTTCTGTAACAGAAGCAGAATAAAAGCGTGAAAAAGCAGAACTTTGGACGAAATTTGTAAACAGATATCACTTTTCGTACATGTTATAATTTCAGAAAAAAAATCCTGTTTCTTTGAGAGAAACATAGAAAATAGAATTTGAATTATATTTTCTTGCCTTTTCAAGGGACTATAAACACAAGGACAAAATTATTCATTACACAAATTGTTAAAACAAAGCTCAGACAAGCCAAATTGAAAGACAGAAAATAAAACCAAACATCCTGTATATTAAACTACAAACCTTCACTCATAACTTCATCCTCCAGGAGGATTACCTCCCTTGGCTGTTCAAATTCTGCGACATCTTCTTTACATCTGTTCATGATTTCCTCCTCTAGAGCTGCAGCCTCTCTCTCAATCTCTTCCTGAGTCTTCGTCACCACAGCTGGTTCATCTGTCTTCGTCAGCTCACCTGTAACCTCCTCACCTGTCTTCGTTATCACACCTGTTGTTTCTTCACCTGCTGTGTCTGCACTTTCATTTTCTTTCAAAGTTGGAGTTATCACGCCTTCATCCTTGATTTCTGTGATGGAGATTTTTATCAAATGATGACATAGTCATGTATCTGAATACACATGTTGGTACTGTGGGCATACGTCCTAAGGAGTATAATACTAAAATACACATGTTGGTGCTGTGGGCATACGTCCTAAGGAATATAATACTAAAATACACATGTTGGTGCTGTGGGCATACGTACTAAGGAGAATAATATTAAAATACACATGTTGGTACTGTGGGCATACGTTACTTCTTATTAAAGCCGTCACAATATAATATTTACATTCTGTGTTCTTTGACCCATTCACGAAAATGACATTCTTTTTTGTATAACACAGATGACCTCATCACTGCGTATTGATACACTTTAATGATGTAGCACAGGGCGTAATTGGTACACGTCCGCTGTGAAACAGCCCTCGATGTAGTTTTGGTATGCTAATATGATTAATATTAAACATGATTTGCTTTGTAAAGACAAGAAATAGTAACAAAAAGTACAATTTTAAAGTAGGAAAATGAGGGTTCGAGTAGATTTTCTCAGAAAGTTAAAACAGAGAGCATTTTTTTTCAAATGCAGTACATACATTTTTTTTCTTTCTGAAAGACTTTTGGACTGGAATAATTTGTGTGCTAATTTGGCGTTAAAATCTGCTTAATTGCCAAAAGTGTGTTTTTATCCCAGAAAAACTGAGGCAATGTATTTATGGGACTCTCACCTGCGTTATCATCAGCATCCGAGTCTGTGTCCTTTTCGCCTTCATCACCTGGATCTATTTTATTTTGATCTTTCACAACAGTGACAGTGACATCCTGATCTTTGAGCTCTGCATCTTTGACCTTTTCAACTTCGACATCCAAAGATGCCATTTCCTCGTCACTAGAATCTCCGGCTCCGCCTTCTTGTTCCAGAATATCTTCCACTTGTTTTTCAAAAGAATCCTCACTATCAGACTTTTCAGTTTGGACAGGAACTGAAGGAAGATTGTCTCCCTTTACATCACTCTCCTGTGTTATAGTGACGACTGTGTCTGTGATCAATCAAAAAATAAAAGCAAATTCTGATTAATAAGAAACAACTCCAACTAAAATTGTAAGCCAAAGGCTAACTAATACCCCCGCTCCTATACAACAAGAAACAACTACAACAACCCAGGTGGAGTATAGAATGGTCTGGGGTGGATGTTGCAGTATCTGTGCTGTAGCATTCAAGTGAGGTGGCACTATAAATGATGCCGTTGGAAGTACGGTCTCACTATAAACAGAACACAATACATCTCCAGCACACACGCAGGTATACACACATAGGGAGATATTAGCCAGGCGGCATAGAACTATTAGTTAGCGCCTGATAAGGCAGCTCCTGTGAATTCCTCGAAATTGTATTGATTTATGTATATATTACTTGTATTGATTGTATAAATTGTATATCTATGTACTGTAAAGCGCTTTAGAGTGGCTTATTCTAGTTAAAACGGTACTATATCAAATGTTGTATATATCATCATTTATTAACAAAGATCAAACAAAAGCATTGTACAGCAGAAATTATGTCAAATTACCAATACAGTATCAATAGCAAAATGACACATAACACTATCTTATAGTTATATCCATTGAATCTTAAACTCCAAAACAAAGATAAATTAGGGATAACTGGCTTATTACCTGGTATGGGTTTAGCATCAGTAAAATATACTGTTTTATCTTATACTTTAAGATTTTCTCTTTGACATATCAATAAATACATCTGTATTATTGTTTCGAGACCATGTTTAAAGTTTTGACACTAGTTAGTTGCCTTTGACCCTGACAGTGGAACCATCACCTACTTGATATTGGAGTTAAAACTCGGGCAAAAATCATCTTACCACGAAAAGTTGAAGTGCTATAAGGAGTTGAATTAAATTTTACCTGTTTGTGGTACCTCAGTAACATTCACAGGCGTTACACTTCCGTCACCTTCCTCCTCCTCCTCCTCATCATCAGGTATTGTAGCTGGGTCCTCAGGGGGTCCACTCTCCTCTATATTAGCAGCCACTTCACTCACAACAGCGGGTCCCTCTTTTTCATGAATTGCCTCACTTACATCGACATCTTTCTCTGCTGTAGGAGGGGCAGGACATTTCTGAATTTCTCCTTCTGGCAAATGAGCCATTTCATTGGCTGTCTCTGTAGATGGAGGATTTTCATTGGCTTTGTCACCATTTGGTGGAAGTGGAGCCTGCTTCTTTATAGGAGCCTCCCTCAGTTCTAGTCGTAAAACCATGTCATCATTTTCGGCATGTGACCTCCGGAGTTCTTCCTTCTCTCGACGCCTCTTCTCAGAATCAGCAGCTTTCTTGGCAAACTTTATCTAACGAAACACAAAGACCAATTATTTACATAATCAAATTCTGTACTTATGTAAGTGGATTTAAGTTTTAGCGTTTTATTTAATTTTAACAGATTAGCACACTAACAATATGTGAAAAAGAAAACAGATAATTCAATTACTACAGATACTTCAACTACTACAGATACTTCAATTACTTCAACTACTACAGATACTTCAATTACTACAACTTCAATTACTACAACTTTAATTACTACAGATACTTCAACTACTACAGATACTTCAACTACTACAGATACTTTAATTACTACAGATACTTCAACTACTACAGATACTTCAATTACTACAGATACTTCAACTACTACAGATACTTCAATTACTACAGATACTTCAATTACTGCAGATACTTCAATTACTACAGATACTTCAACTACTACAGATACTTCAATTACTACAGATACTTCAACTACTACAGATACTTCAATTACTACAGTCATATTTTATTGCAAGATTTAAAGTGTGGAAAAATACTAAAATTAGGATACCGTTAAAATATGTCGCCCACTCCTGGCCCAAATATCATGAAACAATATAAGTATAGAATTGTCTGAAGTTTTGTAATTAGCCAATCACAAATAACATAACGAAAAATGACATCATACATGATTGGCTAAGCAAAAATATCAGTCTAAGATTATTTCCTGATCTCGAGGCCTGGAGTATAGATTCTGATCACAAACTAGACTGAGGATTACCACAAATTCTCATGAATCATAATAGGTCACCTGAGTGTATCAAACAGGTGATGTACATGTATAAGAGAATATGATGACTTCAGGGCAAAACAAAAACGTACCAATTATTTGAAGCTTAAGCATTTAGGTAACTTGGACAGCTGTGGAATAAAGAAATCTAATCTCCAGTATATTGTCTGAAAAGTGTAAAACAAGGCTCAAATTTGAGAAGTAACAATTAAAGTCACACTATACAGTCGGTCAATAGTTGTCCAACCTGTTTCTGTTCCTACTTACTTTTCTCTTTAGCTCCGTGACAACACGCTGAACCTCCCAGAGTTGTTCCTCTTTGTCTGCGTCCTTGACCCCGCTGACCTCTTGGTGAAGGGCGTTAAGGAGTGACTCCTGTTTGGCCAACTCCTCCTCCAGACCAGCAGGGTTGTCGGGGAGCTCCAGTGACCATTTTGACGTTGTTGGACGCAGGGGAGGTTTATACCTGGTCAGGGGAGATAATTCATCTCATTTTTATGACATTGAGAGGATAATGACTTGTCTTTGTTGGACACAGCCGAGGTTTATGTCTAGTCAGGGGAGATAATTCATCTCATTTTTATGACATTGAGAGGATAATGACTTGTCTTTGTTGGACACAGCCGAGGTTTATGCCTGGTCAGTGGTTATAATTCATCTATTTTTTTATGACATTTAGAGGATAATGACTTGACTTTGTTGGACACAGCGGAGGTTTATACCTGGTCAGGGGAGACAATTCATCTCATATTTATATAACATTAAGGGGTAAAGGCTAGACTTTGTTGGACGCACCGTAGATATATATCTAGACAGGGGAGATAACTCATCTCATATCTATAAAATTGAGGGGTAAAGACTTGTAGAATACCTAGTCACTGAGAATATACTGTAAAAGTGGAATTTCTCATAGTGTGGAAATGTTCTCATTTTTCCTTTTGAACAAATTAAAGTATGAAAATATCTACATGCAAATATTTATTTATAGATTTATAGATTAATCAAATGTTGCCTTTACCAAAATTTCCAAAACGTGATTAGTTTAAAGAATCACAACACAAACAAGATTTTGGTAGTCCATTTTGTACATGTATAAGCGATAAGTAAACTTGAGCAAGGGGAGGTAATTATACAAAATTCAAGGAGGTAGGACTGTTCTAAAAACATTTGTACAGGACTCTTAAAGGGAGGGTCGATCAAGCATATAAATGGAAAATTCACACAATCCTTTTACAATTAACAAATAAACCAAAAGTACTAAACACATCAACAGAATCTTCCATTGTTAATCTTGGTTCAATGAAAAAGAAGAAATTAACCTTTAAGGTGAGGAAGTTTTTTTCTTATGAGAAGACTAAAAACTGTGATTGTATGTACCTCTTGAGCTGTATATCCTTGAAGAGCTGTTTGGCCAGAGAGAAGAGGACGTTGAGGACACGATGACTGATCTGCATGGTGGGACTGAGTACAATGGACACGTTCTGTAGCGTCATCTTGTTTTCCTTTTGCTGCAAAACCAACACCAACATTTACTGACAGGAGAACAGTGTGTCTGACACCCCATTGTTTGAGGGTTGTTTGTGATTATGTAACTTGTATGTATTTCTGTATTTCTGTATGTATGTATGTATGTATGTATGTATGTATGTATGTATGTATTAAGTATGTATGCATTTCTGTATGTATGTATGTATGTATGTATGTATGTATTAAGTATGTATATATTTCTGTATGTATGTATGTATTAAGTATGTATGTATGCATGATGAATGAACGAAAGTATGAACTATATAAATAATAATGAATGAAATCCCTCTTGTAAGAGAACAAATATTTGTAAGGTTTACTGAACCCAGAGCCCCAACTCTGGTAGTAACCCTTTCCCTAAAAACTGGAAAATAAAAATGTGTCTTCTTCAAATCTACTGCAAGATATTTATTTTTATTTTTAAGACTTTGCAAGTAAATTTGATTATGAATTCAGTTATCTTATTGATTATAAATAATTATAAATTTTAATTATAAATATAATTTGAACTGCTTTTAAAGATTAAAACTTACACTTGATGTTTCCTGCACAATATATAGGCGTACAAAAATCGATTTCAGGTAAATTTTATGATTTACACTTCATCTGGAGCCTACCTGCAAGACTTATCTCCCTTATTTTTTTTTTTTAATTTAGGATTCCTGTCCAACTGCCCTGTATATTTTCGTACAGACAGTAACATCCCCTTAATTTCATTTATAATATAATGGTAGCAGTTTGGCCAGGGCATTTGGAAATTCCGTTGACCAGTAATTTTAGTCGGTTTGAACAAATGTAAAATAACAATTTGAAGTCAAGGTTTCCAATCCCAGCCTAGCGCCACTGAATTCTTACACTCAGAACACTGGTGTTGATTGTTTTCTTTTACCCTTTTTTTCCCCATAAAGGTCCAGCAATGTATGGTTTTGTTTTCAGAAATGATTTATCAGTATAAAATATACACTCTTAGCATGAGTATAACTTTACCAGAAACAGGGTGCAGAGTCCAGGTTGGCAAAAAAAAATAAAAAAAATCCTGGGCTCCTGCACGGAGGGAACAAAGCTACAGTGTATAGTCATATATGTTTCAGAGAGGACCTGAAATAGGAAAATATTGCCAGGGAACCTTGATCCAGCGTGTGAGAATAACATGTTTAAGTTCCCCATCATGTGATCAATGTAATCTATTCATATTGTTTTATAGATTAAGTGTAACTTACTCGCTCAATGACATGCATCATGTGGACTATGACCCAGGACAGCAGGAGCCTATTACACGTTGGGAGGTCGGACACCAGCTTGCTGAACTGTTCCAGGCGACGGCGCTCATTCTTTATAACTGAAACACACAAACAATCCATCGTGTTATCACCATCATCATTTACACTCTATGACACAATATCCAGTACAGATGTACATGAGCGTATTTTGTAAACAATTTCACAAGCGCAACTTCTGAATACCGGGTAATTTTTGCCCGGTCAAATTTTTCTTCCTTCAACAGTAAAACCTGTTTTCGCCCAATGTTAAATTTGCTATTCACATTTAATTCCTATGTTTATTATGTTGTTTACAAGTGTTTGCTGTAATGATAATTTGGCCCTGACCACGAAGGGCAAAAAAGGCGAAAAATTAAACTGCAGCGAATATTTCCTGGTATACAGTATATGCAAGCACTATGAATGGGATTTTCTATCTAATCCTTTATGTGGTTATCAGAAGATATATACGCATGTATATGTTATGTTGTCCTGATGAAGCCCACACCATTTAAGGAAAATAGTTGACATAATGAAGCTCCTGTCTATCACGTATCTGGGTTGTTTCGCCGAAAATCCTGTTTGCACCAAAAGTCTTAATCCAGCTCACCCAAGGTTGTTCCATCTTTACATGAATATATATTTTTAAATCATAAATATCATTTGAACTGTTAGTTTATATCAAAATATAGTTTATATGTTTCATGCAAAATATATACTAGTAGGTGTATGCAACATTGTATGTGCAGATCTGGTCAACAACATACAAATCTAACAATTCAAGTCTTATGACAAAAAAAGCTAAGGGAAACGTATTTAAACATCAAATGAGAAAGTAATAGCTATACAAAACTAAATACCACTAAATAGTTTTTCCTTAAAAAAATGCTTTTCGGCAAAACAACCTAGTACGAAACAACCAAGGGCAAACATGATTTAGGGTAAAATGACTTGACCCCGTCTGTCACAGTGTAACAGGGTGGGATAAGCCCTATGCCTGCCTCTGTATCTTTGTATTAGATGACTTTTTGCAGATATACCAATGAAAATTAGAAATTGTTTGTAGGACGTTTATGCCCCTTTGGACCTGTGGTTTGCCTATAGATAGCAACAGTGACATTGGTGTTGACCTTAGGACCCTTAAATACAAGCTCATCCAAGGTTTTCACATACTCGACTTTTGCTTAATTTTTTATGAAAATCTGTTAAAAATAAATTTTGTAGGGACATGACATTGAAAAGCAAAGTGGCAAGATGCAACATAACCAAACAGGATGGGACAGATATGGCCAACAATATATGCCGACCCGCCATTAAATGGTGGGAGCTTCATCATATTTAATGACCAATTACCAGTGAAATTCAGTTATGTTATCGAGATACTGACCTGAAGCTTCCTCGAACTTCGGCATCAGACTGGTGGTGAGAACTGGCTCTGGGAGTTCACGCAGAAAAGTCTTCAATAAGCTGGCTACAATGTTTGGTTCGTGTTCCTCGAGGTAGACAGGATTCTGTCTGTTATAGCTGTCCTTCAGCATCTGTACCTTAGACTTCACCCCTGATATCCTGTAGATACCCTCACACAGGAGGCCTGCAACAGGAAATATCAAATATATCAGGTACAATATACCTTATACCTCACCCCCGATATCCTGTAGAAACCCTCACACAGGAGGCCTGCAACAGGGAAATGTCAAATATATCAGGTAAAATATACCTTAGACTTCACCCCCTGATATCCTGTAGATACCCTCACACAGGAGGCCTGCAACAGAAAATATCGAATATATCAGGTACAATATACCTTAGACTTCACCCCTGATATCCTGTAGATACCCTCACACAGGAGGCCTGCAACGGGGAAATGTCAAATATATCAGGTACAATATACCTTAGACATCACCCCTAATATCCTGTAGATACCCTCACACAGGAGGCCTGCAATGGGGAAATGTCAAATATATCAGGTTCAATAAACTTAAGACTTCCTCCCTGATATCCTGTAGATACCCTCACACAGGAGGCCTGCAACGGGGAAATACCAAATTTAGCCATGTAAAAATGAGCCGCGTTTAACAAACTTTATAACCGTAATGTTGTCATGAATAGCGCACATCTGGTTGTGACCATCATCAACATAAGGAGTAATGATGTTTGAAAGCAGGTCGTACATACATCTAATAGTTTTGTTGATGATCTATTTAACAAAATACACTTACTTGTTGTTACTCAATATGCTGTAATAAAGCGTATTAAATGGGCTATTTAACACTTCATACGCCGAGTGTCCAGTCTCTGAGCTAAGATACTGCAAAAATTTAGTTTCTTCACATGTCTAGATCGTGAAATCATATTTTTTTTTAAATAACACACTATACGGTACCTAGTGACTGGAGATCAACTCAAGTCAGTTCCACAAGAGTTATAGGGATTCTAGATGATCACTGTATATCCTGGGTTTAAACCAGTAATTTATACTGTAACACTGTCTCAAGCTTATTACCGTGCTCCTCTATGTAGTCAACACAGTCCCTGAACAGTGCCGGCAACTCTATACCGTCATGGCTACGATTCCTCTCCACGGCAACCGCCAACGGCACACCAAATATGGGCTTCTCCACTTCCACTGTAAAAGACACAATGGTACAATATAATGAATAAATCACAGTTTGGTAAATACATGTAAAATATATTGGAAAAAAAATCGCCCACAAATGTTCGTCCTTCAGCGATTAAATCCATTTTCATCCAATATCAAATTTGCCCTTCACATTTGATAGCTATGTTTATTACATAGTTAACAAATGTTACAAATTCAATTTGGGCCCCGCAAATAATATCTTTGGAATTCAAATCAATTTCTTTTGCTTTAATATACAATTTAAACATAAATTGAATAGCATTGCGTTATTCTCCTGTATGCAATCTCCTACCAGAAGCCTTGGCATAGCAGGGAAACAGGTATATATATATATTTTCGAAAAGATTCATCAGATTGGAAACATGTAATATTTAAGTTTTACTTTATACACAATGTATATATTAAACGTGTCGCAACGTTTTAAGACCGACTGGTCCCATTTTCAAACTATGCTGAGTGAGCGACTTGTATTGTTTACCAGGTACCTGTACAACAAAGTAACAAATTTGTATATTACATATAATGTATGTCACTCAACCCAGCAGGTTTTACTTGTCGATAGAGTATAAACACACTGTCTCAAAATAGGTTATATGTATATGTATACATGGGCACCTATAAATAAACTAAGTCATCTTGTATTTTAATTTAAATAGCAAATGAATTGTGAATCTAAATGTGAACTGAATTTCGGTTTTAATTTCTGTTTTACCAAAAAAACTCCCACATCAGGTAGATTATCTTCAGAGCATTTTGATAATACATCATTGTCTCATTCATCTGTCTATGTATCAAATATTTACGATTTTATTTTGTATCAAAAGAAAAAATCAATGTTACTGGCAGCTTCGTGTGTTGGTTCCTCGTGTACATGTAAATGTTTGGACTTCTTTTTTGTCTTCAGCTTCAGTTTTTTTCCTTCTTTGTCTTCCTTCTTTTTTTCTTTGTCTCTTTCATCCTTTTTGGGTTCCTTTTCTTTCTTTTCATCCTGAAATATTTGCTGCAGTTTAAATTTTGCCTTTTTGCCCTCCGTAATGAGAGCAAATTTATCATTAGAGCGAACATTTAAAAAGAACATAACAAACAAAGAAATTAAATGCAAAGGGCGAATATATAATATTGGGTAAAATGGATTTTACCATCAAAGAGCAAAAATTTGACCAGGCGAAAATTTCCTGGTATACCGATCAAACCTTTGATCAGTTGATGAACAGGTAATGGGTTGGAGGGAAAAACAGTTTGATTTCCCTTATCAGACACCATATCACTGGAGAAAAATAAACTTTCATTCAGTATTTATGTGAGATACAAATAAAGAGAATTATAAGTCAGGAACTGAGCAAGCCGTGTCATTAATATCAAAATATTATGACTTCCTGAATTGAAATTCCTTATCCCACATCACAGTAGATTCTACATGCTTTGTGTTGTACGTCCTATTAAAGGATATGGTCATATGGAATTTGTCTTTAACTCATTCACCCCTGAAATTTCATAATGAACTATTCCAACCTTTGAATTGGAAGGGTTCAAATGTGTCTTCAGGGGTGAATAAGTTAAGGAGGATCCAGGTGTTGGTGGTGGAGGACTTAGCACTCTGCCTTTCCTCCATCACCAAAGTCTCACACATGGAGGCACATTCTTTAACATGACCATTGCTGTTAATAGAATGTAAAACACAAACAAACTAACTGTTTGACATGTTTCTGTTAATTCAGAATGTAAACCGACAAAACAAGTCAAAAATAAAATATTTGAACTGATCATGATCGCACGAAAGCTTGAGACAAGTACGTTCTGGAGTTGTCCACTGTATGTGTCATCATTGTCTGACCCTACTGATGCCAGTTATATTCCGTCTTTGCGTATTGCAGAGTTGTCTTCTCTTGTGAGCGGATGTTGATTGTTGCGTCATTGGTTTGTGTGAGAAAATTGCGTCGTTTTCTCAAAATTTGAGGACATTACTCTCACAAACCAGTGATGTAACAGTCAGTGCCTGCTCACAGGAGAGGACAACTCTGCAATACGCAAAGACGGAATAGATAGCCGAAACTGAGAGTGACAGTATATAGTTGTTTAGTCTTCCTTTTTTTCAAATTTCTATATCGTACCTTTTCTTTCTTCTTTGCAGAAAATCTGAATGCTTTACTTTTCTTCATTTTAGATGGACTTCTGAAAGAAAAAAAACAGAAAAAATCATGTATGGCAAAGTTGAAAACAAAAATTGCACAACTTAGCATATGTAAATACATAAATACATGGGCAACACAAATAATCATCACCAAAACAGATATATATATTGATAAACATCTCACACTCTTACACTAATATATTCATTGAGTAGTAGTGGGGGGCTTATAATTAATTATAAATGAACATTGACCAGTTTGCCATAACCCATTCTGATTATTGATTACAAATTACATAATCAATATAATCTGTTAATTAGAGAAATATGTCAAATGTATACAATGTTAAGTATGTGTCAAATGAATGTAATATATGCATTAACTCATTCACCCCTGAAATTCCAAAATGAACTAGTCCAACTCTAGAATTGGAAGAGTTCAAATGTGTCTTCAGGGGTGAATAAGTTAAAAGTAATTATTTTGCTGATTTTTGCTAAATGATTGATGTAAATGCTGAGAAAAAAATAAAACTGTGTACAAGTTGGCCATGGTTGTAAGAAAACCAGACCTAATGTATAGTAAACCCTGTCTATTGATGTTACAGTAGTGTTGGCACTTTATTTAGGTATTTCATCCCATAAAATTATAAACTGATTATATACAATTGATCATTGATTGGTTGATTACTTCTAATTACAAATCATTTATTGATTATAACTGTCAATCAATTGCCAATCACTTTATTAGACAGACCCATTCTCAATTTCAATTTGTGAAGAGATGTTGGCAAAATAATGGAAGGAAATATGATTCCCTTTTCAATCACATTTCTGGGGGTTTTCTTCATGGTATTTTATCAATTGGGTAAACTTTGTTAGATATATTAAAAGTGATAACATCTTTAAATAATGAATAAAATTTCATATTAGCACAATATCTAAGTACATTGTATTTTCAAGTTTAATTCTTTTGTGATAAGTTTTCCAAACAATTTTAAAACAGGATCTATTTCCACAACACCCTGAAATTTTTTCATGAAATGACACTGAAATAAAATATACACATGAATTATTATCAAAATAAAATGTATTTATACCTGTGTGTAAAATAGTCAGCCATGTTTGATATTTTTTGTCCTTTGATTTTAAGTTGTTTTAACAGATATTTTTTTAATCCAGAGAGCAGATCTACACATAAACAGGAAGTAGATATTGCTGACAAGTATATATGTATACAAATGTAGGTAGAGAGATATTACTGTCTGGTACAGGAAATGATGCATGACAGATATATAAACAAGTATTATACATACTGATTAGGCTCGGGTATTGCAAGCAATTTTCATATTGTAACGTATCACATTATATTAAACTCCTAGAAATTTAGTACATTTACAATGGTTTCATTTATACACGGGTAAGACCACGAATAGTGAGCTTCAGGTCAGCAATGAAAGTTGGAAAATTATTTTATATATTTTTTGTAATATATCAAACTAAGCATGCTGCATTTACATTAGTCTGCTTCAATCTTAATGTTACTTCTACTATTTCATAACTTTGTTTAAACCCCAAAACAATTAATTGAAAAAAAATGCAATATATTGTCATTTCAAAATCATATTGCAATATATACATATTGCCAGACAAATATTGCAATATATTGGTACTGCGATATTATTGCCGATCCCTTATACTGATGTATATACAGTAACTGATGTTTTGATCAATTTCTATTAACCCTTTCACTACTGTAGACCATAATGGACTCATCCAGATAAATGCATGGTAGAGTCTACTAAAGTTACATAGGGGTGAAAGGGTTAAACTTCTTTGAATATCAATTATTTACAAGGTTTGTGTTTACATAGTCTCTATATTGTTTGAGGCATAGAATTTCAAAAGGACTCCACATCTTGCCTGTATTTCCATATAAATTATGCAAAAAGACCCTGTTTAATTTGAGAATGAAAATGACACTAATTGTGATGCCTGCAGTGCTAAAACTAGTTAATATTAATAAAATATGAAGTTAATACATATTCAATATTACATCTAATTAAAGGAAGTTTTATTAAAATTATTATTATATTTGCCAGAGTTGTAATAATTTCAGTTGCAGAAACATTTTTTGTCACTATCAGGGCAGGGCAGCGCTGTTAAGTGAAATCAAAATTAAAAATTAAAAAAAATGGAATGTCACTTTTCACAATCATTTGATGTCATCTAACATTACATTTGTGCACTAAATATCAATACAAAAGCATTGAATCTTTTTTTTAATGAAGCTATTCCATATTAGAGGAAAGTGTGTATGTGTGTGTGTGGGGGGGGGGGGGGGGGGGGGGGGGTCTTTACTGGGGGGGGGGGGGGGGGGGGGGGGAGGGGGAGGGGAGGATGGATCTATACTGGATGGTCTGGGGAGGGAGGGGTAGCGGGTGGACACTATATATACACAGTCAGTGAGTATTGCTATAGCAATAGATGGAGCTATCCTTGTAAGATGTGGACTGTATTGACTACCTAACAACATCTCAGATTTAATCATTTAATGTGACATAATCTAATCCTGTTTCCACATATCTGAATCTGTATCTGATAAACAACCCAAAAAGGAAATTGAAAAGTGTGTACAAGTACAAATGTATAAAGTATCGAGATCATTAGCCATTAACATATGTGTAGATAATATTGACAGCACTAGTAACAGCCCAGCATGTATCACAGCACTAGTGTTAAGACACATATTGTACCAATGTAGTGCTTTATTTACACATGTGTACATAAAACTCAATTTACAAATGCACAGAAAAAATGGAAAGAAAATAAATTAATATACATGTATACTCACTGTTTATTTGAACAACATACCAACAGAGTAGGCCAGGTTGGGTGACATAGTTAATTTATATAATACACGAAGTAAAAAAAACTGGTGGTACACACAGTGGATCTGATCAAAAATTCTAAGATTTGTTAGCTTCACCAGAAATTAGCCAAAAAAAGTAAAAACAGTTGTTTTGAAATTCTTTCAATTTTACAAATAATTCTTTTACTGTCAACAGATGATCACTTTTTCCATGTAAGTTTATCGACAATTTTATAATATTTAAAAAAGAATTTGAAGTAAAACACTTGTGTCACACTTTTAAATAAGATAACCAGACTTGCTATGACTGGTCCCAGATGTGTGACGGCCGACAGCTGGTGTACTATATGTACGATACACACAAACAAGGACTTCCTGTCGTGTATCAACATCAATATCTTACACTCTGTAGTAACAGTGAAGTTCATTTTGTAAATCTATAAGTTTTAAAATCAAAAATCCTTCTCCTTCCCTCTGTCTATCGATCTTTTACTGTATCTCGATGCTTTCTCCCCTCTCTTTCTCTGTCCATCTTTCCACCTGTTTGTCTCTATATCTAACTAAAATCTATATTTTATGAACAGCACAATTTCTTTTAATTGAATTTCCCCCCTCTGGTCTCTATATAAAACTAGAACCTGTATTTTTCAACAGTGCATTTTCTTTCATTTGAATCCCCCCCCCCCCTCTCTCTCTTCCTTTCCATCTTTCCATCTGTCTGTCTCTATATCTAACTATAATCTGTACTTTATGAACAGTGCATTTTTATTTTAATTCCTTCTATACAATCACTCGTATGTGTACGTATAAACAGTCTGAATATCTTCCTTACTTTATATCCTCCGATACTATAGATGATTCATCCGAGTCTTCTTCATCAAACATTACATAGCGACCTTGACCTTTCTTGCTCTCCCGTTTCTTCCCCAAGAGGAGATCTGTTCGACGACTCTTCTTCTCATGGTCGTCATCGCCTGGAATAAAAAAAAAACTTTTATTATTGGGCATGAAAAATATAAATGATTTAATGTATCTGTACCATATATGCATCTTGGAATATGTTTGAATGGAATTGTGTTGCGTACCATCAGAAATGTTTTAAAAAGATGAAACCTAATTGTTATGTTCATGTTCAAAACAAATCAAAATCTATTTTGTCTTCCTCATCAGTTTTGATTTCTATTCATAATATTTGTCACCCTGGTAGAATACTAGGTGCTACTTACAGACTCGGCTAGGGAGAATTTCTCTTTAGCTCGTTTGGTAGAGCATAAGACTATATATACAGTTGTAGCTAGTAAGCTAGAGGTCCCGAGTCCGACTCCTGGTGGAGGCATTCATTTTGTTTTTACAGGGATCCTTAAGGAAGTAAAGGGAAGGTTACTCTATATAAGAAAACCACAGAGTAGAGGTACAGGGATCCTTAAGGAAGTAAACGGGAGGTTACTGTATATAGGAAAACCACAGAGTAGAGGGACAGGGATCCTTAAGGAAGTAAAGGGAAGGTTACTCTATATAAGAAAACCACAGAGTAGAGGTACAGGGATCCTTAAGGAAGTAAACAGGAGGTTACTGTATATAGGAAAACCACAGAGTAGTGGGACAGGGATCCTTAAGGAAGTAAACGGGAAGGTTACTGTATATATAAACCACAGTGTAGTAGGACAGGGATCCTTAAGGAAGTAAACAGGAGGTTACTCTATATATAAACCACAGTGTAGTGGGACAGGGATCCTTAAGGAAGTAAATTAAAGGGGAGGTTACTATGTACAGGAAAACCACAGTGTAGTGGGACAGGGATCCTTAAAACTGTATATATCATATGTACATTGTATTATATCTGTACTTGGTCAACCATACTCGGCTCTACACCCTGTACAATATTACACCTGGTTTATTGTGTACAAACAAAGCCGTCTGGTTTATTGTTGATTGAGAGATTAGCCATATTGAAATGCTGGTCCTCTGTCAGATCTGTGATTATATCAAGTTACCAGGATATGATAATATGTCCTAAAGTTCATTTTAATTGGCTATATTTTCAGGAGTTATGAGTGGTTGTTGTCAGTATAATAAAACGGTTGAAGTTATAATGGGATTTAACATGGGATATCCGGTTTCACTAGACCAGGTTTAGTTCCTTACGCAAATCGCAACAAGAAGGTCACCATCAGTAAATAATAGTCTACAGGTTTAGTTTGAGTTGATGTTGTGGCAGATTTTAATTGTACATAGGATTACGGTCGCCTTCTAGCTTTGCGCTACAGGGGATTTCCCTTTAGATAGATAGAGCATGCACATCCAACTTGGAAGTATGGAACTGTCTCCGGTTTGATTCCCAGGGGAAAGTTTCGAGAAATTGTTGTTTTGGTTACAGCATGGATCCTTGCAGAAGACCAAAATCAGGAGTTTAGTCCTCAAACAAAACATTGCCTACAAGTAGTTTCAATCAGGATTGCTTCCTGTCCTTCAAATCAAACTGAATTACGGAAAGTGCATCAGCTGATATACCATGATCTCATATTCTATGTGCTTGCTTGATTAATGCTTCATGACAAAGGACATGAAATACAGAGAAGATATCCAGCAACACTAGAACTAGAGACTATTTACTGTCCATGCAAGGCCATGGCACTGCCATCAGGGTATAGCTAGCCCAAGTTTCATTTGGCCCTGACACAAGAGTTAGACATTTCAACAGATAAATCCCATGCCAGACATCTTTCTGTCAAAATGTGTTAGTCTGGTGTTGGAGCCAAATGAAGCTCGGGCTAACATAAGGGGTATAAGGGTGGTATTTTTTCAAGATACTAGCCCCGTGACGAGTAGACAGTAATAATCCACTAGCCGAAACATAAATCTGCTAGCCCGACAATTACTATAAGGATCAAGCTGACAATCTAACCATTAATAATCCACTAGCCGAAACATAAATCTGCTAGCCCGACAATTACAATAACAGGCTGACAATCTTAACATTAATAATCCACTAGCCGAAACATAAATCTGCTAGCCCGACAATTACAATAACAGGCTGACAATCTAAACATTAATAATCCACTAGCCAAAACATAAATCTGCTAGCCCGACAATTACAATAAGGATCAAGCTGACAATCTAAACATATCATATTAACAAATGGTGATGTTGTCCTTTAAAAAGTCAACTACATTTTATAATATTACTCAACACACCATATTCCCTTGAAAACTATTAAATTTTGTATGAAAAAAATAAAATGTTATCTGCACCTGAACTATTGATGTTGTTACTAGTGTCTACTAGCACTGTTAGGCCTAACACACAGAAAAACCACAGGACATTTTGCATCATCAATCCACATAGATTTTCACTTCCCTGGTCATTTAGTGCTCTGATCAGAAGAGCAGTCTCTATCAATTGGTACCAATACAGAAAGATGTAGAAAAAATATCATTTAGAGGTTTCTAAAAGAACTGCAATCTGTTGCCACATAAATTATAAATGTATATATATGGTAATCAGGCAGAAACTAATCAATTTTCTATTTATTTTATTTTAACCCTTTCACCCCTATGTAACTTTAGTAGACTCTACCATGCATTGATGTCACCACCGTGGCTTAATTTTTAATGGCAACATTTGTATGAGACCCTTTTTTTGGCAACTGGATAAAATAATAAGTCTGATTGCTGCAGTGTGTTTAGGAAAATGGCCCATTATTTAAAAGAAATATTATATTTTATTCAGATTATATACGTGTGGTGTATAAACACAATTTCACTAAACTCAATCTTAATGCCTGTATCATCCACGCCTCATCAAATCACCAAGTGACTGACTTTTGTTATCACCATCATTGTCTAAAGAACTCGTTCACATTCACTAGCACAGATACTGAATATAGGACGAAAGATATATGTTTATCATCTAGAAACACAAAAATTGTGTATTATAGTTTTTTTTTAAATATCTAGTCTTTTGAATGACTCCTTTACACATACATATGCTATATCACAAGTTTAGTTTTGATCACCAACATTAAATTTACATACCCGACCAGCATACAAAAAAATCCCTGCGTACCTGTAATACTGTCTACCTCACCTGAACATTACACAGGTGTGTAGCGTACCTGGAAGTCGGGCAGACACACATACTAGTCTATTACTGTAAACAGCCAATAAACAGCCCCTATCAGGATACAGACGTCGGACAGGCCTGGTGGGCTTAACGTCAAACATAACTCTCATAAACATTAAATTTACAACAAACTACACACAATAAAATCTTAAATGATTAGAAAAAGATCATACAGAGGAAAATGCTGATAAAATTATTTGACAACTCAGAAACAGAAGGGTTCTTAACATTTGATTTATACCTTGTGAGGCTACAGGTAAATAAAAAATAATGCTACCTTTGTCCTCGGTCAGGATTTTGAAAGCTTGAACCTGTCAGCTTAATTTTAGATTTACAATTTTTTTTTTGAAGTTTCATCAACAAAATTGACAAACATTTCTTGTAATTATTTTTTTTAACTTACCGATAGATAATAATTAATATCTGTTTACAGTTTAAATATAATTTTAATGTTCAAATTAAAATACTTTTGAAAATATATACAAGATGAAAGATTTACATGAAGCAAACCAGCACTGAATGGCTTGCCCAGTCAATGTGTGTGTAAAATCCTATATTGAGACACAATATCCCAACGTAAACATGGTGTAATGTAGCGTAACGCATCAGCAAATTACTATATAACAATAGAAGGCACTGTAATAGGTTTATCTGATTACAAATAGGAACGGCAAAGACACAACCAAAATAACTTACTGCTTGTTTTTGTATTGTTTTACGGCTGATTGACAATTCAGGGCAAACAAAAGTTATATATATATAATATATCTAAAGAATATCCTTGAAGAGATGAAAGCGCTGAAGACGTGTTGTTATGATGTTTAATTTTCTTTTTATATTATTTCTCCATCCATAACCCTTTCATCACTGGAGACCATAATGGACTCATCCAGATCAATACATGGTAGAGTCTACTAAAGTTACATAGGGGTGAAAGGGTTAAGGATCAATTTACCGCTGTAATTATATATATATAAACAGGGTATGTTAGCCTTCGGTTACAAGCTGACCCAGCTATAGGGGATATACAGGATTACAGCAGCATATTTCAAAAGGGATGATTACTGGTTTCTGTTCCTGTATTTTATGTTGTAGTATTGTTTCATTATAAGTAAGTGTTTGTTTTTGCTATATGTTGTATGTAAGTACTCATATTTCTTTCCTGAGAAAGGGGAAGATTGGCATGAAACTTTTGTATTCAAGACAAATTTTGTACAATATTTAGCTTTCGGTCACAGCTGACCGAGGGGATATACAGGATTACAGCAGCATATTTCAAAAGCGATGATTACTGGTTTCTGTTTATGTATTTTATGCTTAAGTGTTATTTCATAGTGACTGGTTATCTTTCTGATACCTTTTGATGTGTAATTGTGTTCATGTTTCTGTCCTGAAAATAGAGACAGATTGCCATGAACATTTTCTAATCAAGGTGAATTTTGTTCTTCGGTAACAGCTGATTGACCAAGGGGATAAATGTGATTACAGCAGCATATTTCAAAACTGATTACCGCTTTTTTGTCTATGTTTTTTATGCTGAAGTATTATTTCATAGCGACTGCTTATCTTTGTTATACATGTTATGATATATTGTAAGTGTTCAAGTATCTGTCTTGAAAAGCTGTTATCAATTCTTTGCCATATATAGGGTATCTCCTGTACATACATTTTTTGTACGTGTAAGGCCATTCAAAAATGACTACACTTCACATTAGTTTTGGGACTCATCATATTTTTACAGAAAATTCTGGTTATCACCAAAAAGCAGAGAGGGGTCTGTGATAGAAATTTTCATTTTGTATGGCTTGAAAGATAGCCAGTAGAATCAGGACTCATGCTTAAAATTACTAAAGATCATGAAAATGTTAAAAGAATATCAGTGTACATTTCCATCTAGCAGAACATTCATGTTGGGCTGGTTTTCATTAAATTATCCTCATGCCTTCTGCGCATAGTATTACTTTAATTAAGCAGTCATGCTTTAATAAGATCATCCCTCCCATCTATATATATACATGCAAGATGTTACAGCGGTCATTATGTTTAATTAGATGCCTCTGTTAAGAGTCAAACCTGGGACCTCTGGTTTACTAGTCTTTATGCTCTACCGAATAAGGTAAAGAGGAATAATTAATTCTCTTTAGTCGAGTCTGTAGGAAGCGGCTAGTATATTTAACAGGGTGACATACATTTCATCATAATATATGCTTAATATCAGACAAAGAAATCTTACATGGTGTAAAACGCGAGATTTGTGACAATATATATATATATTATATAGGTTTCATGTGAATTCAAAACTAACCTTGGAAACTCTTGTCAGCATCTGTGTTATCGTAATTCATGGTGGTGACAGGTGATCAGCTTCAGCCAATGAAATGTTACAACCTTCAGACAACAGCCTTGTTAACAGATCCTCGTGAATCACAGCATTTCTGACACTTCACAACCCTCTAGTCTCACAACCTTTGTAGATCCATCTAGAAGTACTATTAAAAGAAACAAGTATATTAATATAGTTATTATATCAGCAGTGATCCAGATGAAGAGGTCTGTAGAAATAGAGACATTTCAGAACCAACATTTAAGAAAAAAAAAAAAATCGAGATTTTTCACATTTACCGGGCCAGATTCCAACATGCACATGTTCCACATTTTAGATATCTCGTCCCTTCTTTCTGGTGCTTATCTCTCGTTGACTCACTTTATGTGATAGTGCATCTTGCGCAAGAATAGGTCCTCTACATCAGCGTTCCTTGTCCGCGATGTTCTCAGCTTAATTGCTGCCTTCGGCTGTCTTTAGCCGAAGGGACTATTGGTTTTTTTTTATATAATAGCTATATTTTCAATTATAGTATAGTATATCACTTCTATCTTCTTGTAATATAACGTTTATGTACATGTAACTGTTCTGTTTCACTGTGTCTTGATAAAGGAGCAGATCGCTTCGAAAATTTGACAACCCACACTGTTGAATTACTTCTTTGCCCCATACAGTGTATATATATATATACTACTCACATTTTGCTAAGGATCACTTTTATTTTTGGGCATATATGTGAAAATAAATATTTTATTTGGTTTATACTGAGATTATTTTTGAAAAAGTGATTGCTCTTTTAATTCATCAACATGCAAAAAATCCAAAAGTCATAAGTACAGTCGGAAAATGAGTCACGGGAAAATGGTTACCCTTAAAATTGGTAACAATGAGGTATATTCACTAAAAATGAAGACAGTTCCTAACTGTCTAGGTGGCTACCCAGGTACCAGAAGCATTTAGGAGGCCATTTCGAAAAGCTGTTACAGTCTGGAACCTGTGACGCTGTGCCTGTATGAGCAAAGATTGGTCTAAAATGGCACAGCTTTGTAGCCCTAGTACGACCTCCAGTATGACGTCTGGAGGGATTGCCTTTAGTTTGGAACCGATTCCACATTCCTGCCACCACACTTTGAGACACCCCAAGGGCTGCTGCAACCTGACATTGAGACATGCTAGCTTGCAGCATTCAGATGCCCCTATTCATTTCACCGTCATTTAACCGTTGTCTGGTACGTCTTTATTGTCATATTAAAACACATGCAAAGAATATTCATCAAATTGATTTCCTTAACAATTTGAACAATGCCTTACTTAGCCTATATAGCTAGCTTAGCTTTTGAAAGGTTGTTCATGTGGAAAAGCGTGCACACACTTTTATGGTTGACTGAACACACCCACATAGGACAATTTGGAAGTCTAACTTATTCGCCCAAAACAGTACGAAAGAAAAATATGATATCCTTTCTAACATTATGATTTTTTTCTTCAAAATATAGGTGATCCTTAGCAATGTGAGTAGTATAAATAGATCTTTTCAACTTTATGATTATGGTAAGTACATGTAAGTAGCTTATTGTGAATTGCTATAAAAGTGAATCATGTACATATTTTTGATATTTAACAGGAGAAAGAGAAATGCCATACTTCGGCTACGAACCCAGAACCCTTGGGCCTCTAGACGGACGCTCTAGTGACCCAGTCCAATTCCACTACATTCCCCCTGTGGATATCACCTTGACACTAGCAATCACATACCCAGTGCATGAAACAAGGGTAGGACACTCACTTGAGCTACCTGGTCTCTACCGATCGATCCAATCCAGTTCCGCTACAGATATTTTGGTCTATCCAACCCCAAGTCTAATGGTTCTGTTTAATTGATTTCAGTTTCTTGAATATGTACAAAATGTTCGTAGATGTATATTTTCGGACCAGACGCTGTAATTCTGAAGCACTTCATTGAAGCTGAGAAGCAGGCTGGTCCTGTATTGTCAACTAATTATCATTTTTACTTAGTACAATGTTACGTACATACGATTTGTTGAATGAACTCCAGGGGATTGGAGGGGACCTGGCAACGCCCACAACTTTCACAAGCATGTTGGCAGTTGTGATTTGGGGCGACATAGTCACTTCTAAGTTTCATATTTTACATTTTAAACTGTAGAATCATGCATTGTAAATAATAACAACGTCTAAACGGTATTATATTACTATTGCAATTATGGAAATAGGGTATTAATGACATTTTGCCGAATCGGAAAAATCATGAACCCAGACTTTCCACCAAATCTGTGCTGTATTTTGATCTCTAAGTACAGCATGGACAAGGTTGCGCGCATGCAAACTTTGGAACTGCCCTGTTTGACTCAATATCACTGCACTTTGTAGATAAACAGTGTGTACACATTATCCAATAACCTTAAAAAAAAGATTAACTTACCCAACTCACGTTCCCGATTTTTTTCCTTCTGTGACCGGATATTATTGTCAGTAAACTAAATGGTGAAACGACTGAGCGGGCACAGGTTCCGGAAAAGTGTCACATTTTTGTTTGTGTATTTAGGGCCACGGTGATTTTTTACTGTTAAACAAACAAGTGAGTAGCGAAGATAAACTCATATAAAAATGAACATTTTTAAAAGTGTTTGCATGATATGTGTAAATAATTAAAATAATAAGAGAGATAATGAATAGATTATATCATGGAATTAGATTCTATCTAAGTCTGTGATTATATGGAATATGTGATATAAAAATAACGTCAAAGAGGGTAAGGTGGGCTTAAAGACATCAGAGTCTAGAATAGACCGGTGTCTTTCAAATAAGGCCAAATAAAAAAATAAAAAATCATGCCGACCCTAATACTTTGGCTCGTGGTCAGTGTCAGTTTTATTTGAAGATAGTGGCCATAGTGATATAGGTTGGGATCTTCAGATAAGTGTGATCATCTGTAGTCTAGGAGTGGGTCTGTGATGTCAGAGTTAGCTGATACATATTTTTAACATTCACAGAGGTAATCAGGAGATTTTCTTCACCAGAAAACAAAATAAAATAAAAAAAAAAATAAAAAAAAAAGTTTTTTCCTCCCTACCTACCGTATGTTTTTGGAGCCGAAACAGGAAACACGGCCCACCCCCTGTCCCCATTGGGGGCGTTTAACAGTATATTGAATTATACTGGTACCTACTGGTCAAACATCATGGACCTAGGTCCTCCAGTCCTTAAAAATGAATTGTTATGGAGGTTTTGAAACACCATAAGAGTATATGAAACACATGCTGTTGTTGTTGTTGCTGTTGTATGCAGGGTATACACTAAGGGAAAAAAGGATCTCCATATATACAACGTATTTGCATTACTCGTTGAGCATCAGGCCCAAAACGTCATAAAAAAAATGATGACCTCAGGGAAAACAGAGGCATGCTCACTTAAGATTTTTATTTAAGCGTCTATGTACCTTTATAGTGTCTCAACGTACCGCTACCAAAAATAAAGCCCTGGGGATTTTTTTTTATCCGTGCGGCAATAGCTTTATAAACACTTCTGGAAATAAAACAAAACATTATCTTCATTTTTCTTTTAATGAAAAGATGGTAAAGATAGAATAAACAAACAGAAATCAACAAGTGTTTAGAGAAACAATGTAACCCATGGATTCGAACCCATGGACCTCCGAACACAATTGATACAGTTGCTCTAGTTCTGACCAAATGAGCAGCCTGATGTGCGAAAGTTCCACGCCCATTCCCACTACAGGGGCCTGATCGTGGAACAGTCCGCGGTTTGTATGTTTTTTAATACATAAATACTGGCGGACCAGCACACACTAAATATGCTGGCCTTGCACGACTTTGTCAAGGCTCGCATGAAAGCAGCATCAGATTACTACATGAAGGTCCGACCTTATTTCATAAACAAACAACCTAATTTGGTCCAACCGGTTCAACCGTTTGGATCGCGACAAACGAAAGCGGCCCAGGGCCCGTATTCATGAAATCGTTCTCGTGCTCAAGCATGGATTTTGTGCTCAAACCAACTTTCTTGTAACTCGCTAAAACCCTGTCAAACGATCAAAAAACCAAATATATACATTTAAAACAGTTTTCTGCCCCAAGTCTCTTCAATGTTTTCCAAAATCATTGAGCAAATAAGAATTTCTTATAAAGTTATAGCCGGAATGAGCACAAAATCCATGCTTGAGCCTGAGAACGGTTTCATGAATACGGACCCAGGTATATCCGTAACGAAATTAAGGGGAAGTAAGGCACGAACAAACTACAATGACACTAACCGAGGGATCATTTAGGAGCCCCGAACCACTGTCAAAATCTATAACTACGCATTGGAAACTGCTTCATCCGACATGACTATAGCTTTGATAAATCATTTCTGAAAAGATAGACGTACCTCGAGCTCGCGCAGAGACGTATATACGGCTTGATATGTCCCTGCCTTATGCGGGACTTTTATAAAGAAAATAGGAAGATGAAATAACAAATTTCAATTTACAAAAGTGTTTTGAATGTAAATAAAAATCTGCGAGACTATAGGCCTGGATTCGAACCATGGACTTCAGGTTGGTATACTATCGTGATGATAACGTGTGTTTACAATTAACTTGCAACACTTGTTGGCTTCGATGGGCTATCCCAGGGTTAGGCAAAACACGTAAACTAAAGATATCATCTTTGTAGATTACCTACTAACATAAAATTGTTTTGTTGTGTATGCCTTTTCCTGAATAGATATTATTATCATTAACTGGCCTGCTATAGATGAAGTGGTAAAGTACTTATTTCCCCCTGTTATCGATATGACACGTTTTTAGCACACACATGTAGTTGTATTATAATGCCCGTATAGGACACAGGCGGTCGATAGAAGGAAGTTCTGTACATTTTATGACTGACGGCTGCGTGTACAAAATTGCTCTAGCAGGATTAATCGTGTACTTATAACTCTCTGCATGCTTATCTTTAACCCAGTTTGTTTGTCTATTTTGTTTCTTTTTAGGTGATGCTTTCTGCATGAATTATTGAAGTGGGTTTTTTTTTGTCTTTCACGCCATTTCAGATTTTTGACAATGTGACTCTTTCTGTTAAAAAATAATTTTCAATTGTTAAATGTTATTATTCCAGTGAGGTTTTTGATAATGTGTTATGTCACATTTTGATATGTTTGTAGTTGCAGTTACCAACACATTAAAAACCAAGAAGGAAAATAAGCAGATGCAGTAGAAAAGTCCAAAAACCTCCAAGAATCACCATCGTCTGCCTTTACAGTACGGCAGTCAAATTACAGCTCATGATATCAAAATTGTTGGAAGGATTCAAGATGGCAAATGCTAGATTGGTGATAACTGTTAACGACTCCTAGGACCAGAAGATCAGGAATAGCGGGATCGAAAATGGCACAGGGCGGAAATGGTCAGCAAACTAAGACACGGCGATATTGTTGGTACAACGTGCATCGGCAGAGATGGACTCGGCACCACACAGGTACAACAATTGGAAATAACAGATCGTATTGGTAAAGAGAAGTTGGTCAAGATAGCATAACAAATATGGAAGATGATATCAGGAAAGTGGTGCAAGGACTAGATGGGTCCAAACAGATAGACGACTTACACGGCGTCACATATCTGGAAGAAAGAACCGTGCAGAATTAATTTCCTTCTACGATCGGTGTAAAACGTATTACCAACACGTTCAAACCAACATCAATGGGGTTGGAGAGAGAAAAAACTATTGCCCCTCTGTGTGACAGACCAGGTCACCAGAAGTCAAAGATGATGTCGTTGTGCAGCACTGCTTTGACCAAGGGGCGATGTACGTGAAGACATTACCAAGGTTTTAACAGGAGCCACGATGTAGCACGCGCGCTCCGTGGAACTTTAAGACGTAAGAAGCGGAGAAGTATGGAAGAACGGCCCTACACAAACTGTGCAAGATCCCCAAAGAGGGCCAAGACGACAACAGCGGAACATTATATACAGCTCATGACGGAGAAAGGTCTTCGCAGATATCGTCTAAACTAATTTCCGCCAAACTTTCTACTTCGGACACTGCAAGAGAACAGAATGGCCATGGTGAAACTGACCTGGGAAGAGCGGTGAGAGTTGTAGGAGCATAAGAAAGGAATGTACATCAGCTTTGCTGAAAAAAGCGAGGGCCAATTTGTAGCGTATGTAGGTCTTTCCTGTACGGATGGTATGCAGGGGTTCCGGGCACAATCCGCTTAAAGGATGATTGTTGCAAAAACTTCAGGGTAAGAAACCGAAAGACAGCTGTTCTATTGAACAACGACTGTCAACAACAGAACAGAAATCGTGCAGCTGAACTTGGTGGAGAAAAGGGGGCAAGAGCCGGAAGCCGTCAACAAACAGGCAATGGTCTTGCCAAGCACTGTCGACTTGCCATCTTTTACAGTGTTCCAGATATGAGAAAAACACTCATTGAGAGGTGTTCCTGGCTAATGACATCGGTTTATTCAATCATGCGATTTTTGAAGGTATATGTCATGAAATGCTGTATACAGGAACATTTTCGCGCAATAAAAACAGGAACATTTTTGCCCTTCTCCCATAAATTCAATTTTCGACCAGTGAAAATTCACCCTTCACATAGAACTACTGTATATTATATTGTCAACCCATATTCGCTGTTATGACGAATTCGCCCTCATTAAGGAGGACAAATAAGGCAAAGATTAAAAATGCGGCAAAAAATCACGGTATACAGTATTGTTGAAGTAAACAATTATTCAGGGTTGATATGATTATGGTATGTTAACACTGACTTTAACAACTTGAAAATTGGTGTCGCTACTGAAATAATGCCGGGCCATTTCCTAACTATAAATTCAAACATTTTCACAATAATTGTTGCGCTCATAACGTTCAATTTTGATTAAAAAAAGTGAAATTGTCAATTCAACCCAAAACCATAAAATCCACCGATTAGACGTAACGAGCGATCCAAGGGGTTGTGTCGCTCACGCGTTATTAAATAAAGTTTGCTAGAACATTTTAGGTAAACGTTTTCGGGGAGAACAAATATTTCCTTAATGCTATAAGTTACCGTACTGATAACATTGGAACTAAGACAGCCTTTTTGAAAATTTGCATCCATAGCACCCCATGTCAGCAAGCGACTGGTTAAGTATACCGTGTTATTTAATCTCCAGAAAAGTAGTTTTAAGAGTTTTGACAATTTTGACCCGTGTGACCTTCAATATAGCCAAAGGTCATTCATTGGTTGATGTTTTTTATCATGCTCATCCGCGTACCCTGTGGTTTTGTTGTCACAACCAGAGTTCTGAATGCGAGGATTCGACTTAGAATTACGTGTCGTCGATGAAACAGAAGACGCTGATATTACAATTCCTGAACACACAGTCTTATTCTCTTTGTACTTTTTAAAGGTTAGTTTTATTAGTTTTGAGTTTGAATGGTTGTCTTGACTTGTCTTTCATTGGGTACCCGCCCCCCCCCCCCCCCCCCCAAAAAAACCCCACTTTGAGACTTGTAGTGCCTTAAGGTAACATGCCTAAAACAATCTTTAAAAAAAGACATACAAGTGTTGTGTTTCAACAGATTTGAGCTCTCTGGGACCTTGAGTGTAAATCAAGGTGTTGCATCTCATGACCTCAATTATTTTTCTCAGTTCATTGCATCACCACCTACATGTACCATATCCAAATGCGATATTCAAGTAATTGCAAGTATCACCACAACAAACAAAATTACTGACATGAATGAAGTTCAAGTTTCTGAATGTTGAAGTTTTGAACACAGTCAAAAATAGTTTCATTTAAGTGAATTGGTAGTTAAGGATAGTTTTCATGACATATATCAAATATTTGTTTCTAAAACTTATGAGACCTTTCCCTCTGACCTCAAGACTGAACATTTTCTGACAATTTTTGCATCAAAATGTACGATATTGTAACGCAAGTAAAAAAGAATGCAAATAATGATGTCAATGATAATCAGTCTGACATTCAAATATGGTATTACAAACTGTCCCAATAAAAGAGACAACATAATCTACAGATGCTGTATAATGAACATTCTAATATATCATTGCATATTTCCTGGTATTGTATCCCACCGCTGTCACCAAATGTAACCTGTGAAATCCAGCCACTGGCCATGCATGATATTGAATTTCTTAAAGATTAAAGATTAAAGAATCACAGGCTTTTACTGCATTGCTGGAAAAGCTCGCTTGCTGGTAAGGCAGTTTTTCTCTCATATTCCTACGCTGCTGCCTTATTGCAAAGTGTCCTCGGTGTTATGAGTATATCACGTTTCACATAAAATACCAAGATATTTAATATATTTTAATAATTTACAATAAAAGACACAAACCACATTTTTTTAAAAGTACCATAGTTTTATTTATATCAAGACGTATGCTGTTCCGTGTCTGTGTGAGATAGCATCGGGCGGAGGGCTGACATTGTGATCAGTATGGCTTCCTGAAAATAGGAAAAAATATGCAAACTTTATATTGATATTATCATTAACCAAGACATCAATTGTAACATTATCATTGTCATTGAATGACAAAGTTAAAACTAAATGACTTTTACAAATTTTGTTACATTTCAAATGGAAGAATCAAGACATGAACATCAAAAATAATAATTTTATTACTAGCAGGTGCAGGGGCTAGTGATTTTACTTGAGCTAGTTCAATTTACAAATTGTCTGTGGTCTAGCTTTGGGAATAAGAATGTGTACACCCTTGACATCTTGGCCCATATTCATGAAACCATTCTCATGCTCAAACTCAGACCTTGTGGTCAAGCCAAATTCTTGATCAAGTGATAAATAAAAAAATATTTTTTTTTACTTTTTCAAAATGATTTGAATTTCGGAGAGAACTGAAGCAGAATATTGTTTTCAAGATTTACACATGACCTTTTTACCTGTAACAGTGTCGTTTGATTTAAGCGAGTTTCAAGAAAGTTGGTCTGAGCTCAGAATCCATGCTTGAGCATGAGAATGGTTTGATGAATATGGCCCTGGTGTATTTGCTCACCTCAGTACGTATGGTTCCACTCCCCTGACAGGGACACGTGTTGATGTAGTGTTGGAAGAGTGCACTAGGATCATCCTCACCCAACGCCTCGTCAGCCTCCAAGCTACACTCCAGTCCCTTTACACCACCAAACACCACCAGGGCATGTCTACAAAGATCAAATATACAATCAGCACCTATACCCACCAAATAGGGCACATCTACAAGGAAAAAGTACAGGGTGTCATGGTTACAAATTGTCTTCCCTGGGTACCAGAAATTTGAAACTGACCAATACTATGTTACATGAAATGTTTTCTATGCACAACACATCACTGTTCAGATGGGTTTAAACCTGTATGTAAATATATTGATCACCTGAAAGACAATTAAATTTATGGAATATAATAAAACTTTGCTGATGGAAGTATCAATTTTTTTGTAGATTTTTTTCTGAAAAACGATAAATCAAACCCACGTATGCACGTAAAAGTGTAGGAAGTTGTAACTTTCCTTTTAAACTACAACCTAATTAGCATGTTTACAAAATTACTGCACATGTGCAACAGGAAGAAAGACATAAACGAATTATTTTTGCTGACTCAAGTGTCATGGTTTCTTATCAGCATGCTCTATAGCAACACAGTCACTTAGAGCTGCAACCACAAAGTCAAAGCTCAGGACATTGCACTGCTTAAAACCAATGGTCAAGTTGTGTAACACTAGTCCTGCCAAAGTCATTTCTTCATATGTCCAACATGACTGAAAGTGTTCGAGGAGAAATACAGCCTCGAGAAACAAAATCCTAATAATGTTGCTTTTGAACACAAAAAAAATGGTAGAATGTCCTTTGTCAGTTAAAACAAAACAAATGGCTGGGATATTGAAATAATAATAATAATATACAACATTTATATAGCGCCCTATATAATTTGTAAAATTACTCTAAAGCGCTTTACAACATATATGGATCATAGTATTAGTTATAATTGTGAAACCATAAAAAAGGCTTACAATCACCTTTTTATATTAAGCAAGCAGATAATCATCGCAATGTGCACATAAATGAATAAATAAACATTACATTCCTTTTCTTTGTTGATACTGTCAATGACAAACAGCTACCTATTTTGACGGATACCCGCGTACAAAGTTTCAGACCCAGGTTCCAAACAAACCTGAAGAATAGCTGGAGTTCCTGAGAAAATAGTTACAAGAAGGAAAGAATGGTCGAGGTTCCTGAGAGACAGAGATACAGTGTATCTGGCTACGCTCGACAGCCCTAAAACATTAAAATCTTAAAACATGTTGTCAATCGAGGTGTAGAGCCAAGAGTCTAGTATAGGTTCTGTAGGTTCCGTTATCCCTTGCCTGGATACCAAGTATGCAGGGCGATTGAGGAATAGGGGAAAAATAAAAGTAATATTCAATCGCAACAAGCTCGGGATAGGTAGGTATTCTTCAGGACCTGGTCATGAAACATGTTGAGTACAGAAAAGTCTGGTCTATAGTGTCTACATACCTGTATTGTGTCTTTGTCATTCCATCAACACACTGGCCTTTCTCTGACGTACCAATGGTCAAGTCGTATCCCTCCTTATATGGGCAGTCTGTAAATACGGACCCTATAGAGCTAGCCAGTCGCACTTGGTAACCCCAGTAAATCCCCGCCTCCAGCTTCGGCAGAGACGGAGCAACCACCTTCCCCTTCAAGTTCTTTTTCTCTACAAAACATATTGAAATAGCAACTTTATTAATTGATTTACTTTTTAAAGAATAAATTTCCTATCCTTGTCTTAGGAAAAGTATGAACAAGCTTTTCTGTTTTTCTCTTTACTCATTCACCCCTGAAATTTCCAAACTTACAATTTGAAGAGTTCAAATGTGTCTTCTGGGGAGAATGACTTAATCAACATTGATAAGTCTGTTGCTAAATACATTATGAAGAGTGTTTGGAGACCAATGAGTGTGAACAGAATGACTATTCCAAAGCCAATATTCCTCTCCCATAGATGCCTACATGTAGAATCACTCCCAGTCCCACAAACTTATCTAAAACATTAGAGACTTGGACTGTGACCTGTGCTGGTTTTCATGTGGGAGTCAAGGAGGCTACAATATGTTTACCGCTGTCTCCATACTGGACCTTAACCAGGACAGAAGACACCACACCCTGCCTACACCCTTTGATAGACTTGTGTGACCGCACAACACACCAAAAAATAGCGTGTGCATACATCGTTCACACACCGTCCGCACATCGTCCAAACATGGCGCACACAACTGTGTGATTTAACAATCGCTCGCCCCGCTTCTCTCTGCACAACTTGGCGATTTGGTACAGTTCGTAGATCAATATTGCGGCCATTTGCGGAACGATAAAAAAATATGGAAAGCTTGTATGCAATAATGTACACTGTATATATTACTGTAATTTCTCATCACAATGATTAAGATTCTGTATAATTTTACAATGCGTGTTACACAGCATTACAGCGACAGTTAGACTGTCAAGAATGTGTTTTTAGTTTTTATACTGGCCATACAATATCTGAACTTACCTGTCTCTAAACTTGGAAAGTCTGTTACAGGTTAGTACCTCACATCCTGACAAGGGCCTTTTTTCTATTTGGACTAACTTGTCTCTTAACTGGGAAAGTTTGTCATCTCACATCCCGATAAAGTATTTCTGCTGTCATCCTCAGAAAAAATAGGGTAGGTAGGTAGGTAGACAATTTTTTGGGAATGTTTTTTACTATGCTTATGCTGGAGTTCTGACTTTACCAGTGCATATCACTAAAAGCCAATAAAAAACCTGTAGAGTTGGCACAAAATCCAGGGTAGGTAGGGTTAGCGGAATCACAATATTTTTTATTTGTCCTTACCTGTCTCTGTCTCTGAAAGTTTGACAGTTACTCTTACACCTGGTTGTAGTTGTTTGTCTATCTGAACTTCCTGTAAGATAAATAGAATACATCATACTTATGCTATAGTAGATATACCTACGCATATTGAGAATTAAGAGGGTATTGTAGGGCAATTTGCATATCACATGCCTCATCAACAAGGGGTCGGAGTATGGTCAAGTTCAAACACAATACTGATCATTTACACAATACTCAAACAAATTCCAACAGAAATAAGCATTTGTGAAATTACCTTCTCCTTATTTTAGCTAGGCTGACTGCTTCAATCTTACCACAATTATTGCGCTTTGCGGTATATTGAACGAGTTTATAAAGATAACTATTACTTCAATTTTACCACAATTATTGAGCTTTGCGGTATATTGAACGAGTTTATAAAGATAACTATTACTTCATTCTTACGACAAGTATTGTGCTTTGCGGTATATTGAGCGAGTTTATAAAGATACCTTTTACTTCAATCTTACCACAATTATTGCGCTTTGCGTTATATTGAACGAGTTTATAAAGATAACTATTACTTCAATCTGACCGCAATTATTGTGCTTTGTAGTATATTGAATAAGTTCATAAAGATAACTATTACTTCAATCTTACCACAATTATTGTGCGTTGCGGTATGTTGAATAAGATTATAAAGATAACTATTACGTCAATCTTACCACAATTATTGTGCTTTGCGCTTATGTTGAATAAGTTTATAAAGATAACTATTACTTCAATCTTACCACAATTATTTTGCTTTGTAGTATATTGAATAAGTTCATAAAGATAACTATTACTTCAATCTTAACACAATTATTGTGCTTTGTAGTATGTCAAACAAATTTATAAAGATAACTATTACTTCAATCTTAACACAATTATTGTGCTTTGTAGTATGTCAAACAAATTTATAAAGATAACTATTACTTCAATCTTACCACAATTATTTTGCTTTGTAGTATATTGAATAAGTTCATAAAGATAACTATTACTTCAATCTTACCACAATTATTGTGCTTTGTAGTATGTCAAACAAATTTATAAAGATAACTGTTACTTCAATCTTCCAACAATTATTGTGCTTTGCGGTTTATTGAACAAGTTTATAAAGATAACTGTTTAATTTACAAGGGACAATGAGATCCAACGTCCAGTAGTGGATGTTCAGTGAAGATCTGTATACCCCATTGTCCGGCCACAATAGTAATAGAAATTCAAAAGAAGAGATGACCAGACATCATCAGATGGGGAGTCTTGGAGAATTTAATCTAGTTTACATGTTCCAGCCCTCTAGGGTGGTCGTCATCAGGGTTCTGATGACAGCCTAGTGGGCCGAAACATGTAAAGTGGATTAGAGTCGAGACTCCCCATCTGATGTTGCCTGGTCAACCCTTCTGTAACAGAACTGGACTGGGTCGATCGTCGGCGACCAGATAGCCCAATTGGTTGAGCGTCCGTCTAGAGTTTGGAAGGTCCCTGGTTCGAACCCCCGGTCTGGCCGTGCATTTTTCCTCTCCTGTTACATTTGGCGCCCAATGTTTGTTGAAACATTATGTACGTTGAAACATTACGTATCACTCAAATGAGGTATACATGTATCATATAATTCTTCTGACTTATTATTTTAATATTTAATAAACAGGAATAATAATAGAAACATTACAAACTAGACAAAAGTTGTTACCTTCAGGAGACCCACGTTAACAAAGGAACCCTTTCCTGTAGTGACCGGCTTGTTTACTACCACTCCTTCACGATAGTAACTCTTCTGGTCCGCCCTCATGTGATGTGGAGAATCCAACGGATTCAGTAAACCTGAAATAAGAAAAATATTATCTTAAGTGACAGAACTTGGGTAAACACTTTCAAACGTGAATTACAAGTAACTCCCAAGAGTTGTAATGATTTATGTATTTTACAAGGCAAGGGTAGAGCCAACGCCGTGGTTTTCTTAATGGTGGAATCATTTGGTCCTTTGCTCCTCGTCTGGATACCCGAAAGTATGCAGGGGATTGAGTAAAAGTGAGAACATCATAAAATAGATTCAATCACAACAGGTGTATTTTTATTCAAATGACATTATGAATTTTTCAGGGTTTTTTCTCCATTTTATGTGTAAATTTTGTATTTTATTTCCTATAAGTACAAAATAAGTATCATACAAAATAGTTACTGAACAAAACAGTTCATCCATTTTAAGGTTTTTAGTTGACACTTTAAAGATGTTTACAAAATTGAACAGTCAATTAAAATTAATTAAAAATTTTCCTGAAGTTTGGAAGATCAAAACAAATGTCAAATCAGGGGCATAGTTAAACCTTGTTTGGAACAAATTCACTTAGGAGTGGGTCCAGGGCAGGGACTTGGTAGGAGGACAAACGGATGCGAAAAAGCATTAAGCAGTGTTTTTGTTTTGTTTTGATTTTCTGAAGAGCAAAATAAACAATGAAATAAAGGCCCGGATTATTAAATATAATGTGAAAGGCTGACTCAGAAATAATGTCAACCACTTACCAGCATACTGTAGATCTTTGTGCTGGGGGAAGAAGGATTTACGTAGGTACTGTGGACACTCGAGGTACTGCAGGATTCTCGCCAACTGGACGTTGGCCTGTCCTTTCTTACCGACTCCATCATACTGACCTTCCACTGACCTAAACAGTAAAACACTTTACATTATGTCTTAGTTTTCCATTTGAAAATCAAATTTTAAATAACAAAATTCAAATTTCAAATATTTAAATATATTTAAATCAAGAAAAAAATATCTTATTTCACTGACCAGGAAAAAGGAAAGGCACAGTTCTATCCCTGTCCCACCGTACGCAAAATACTGAAGAATTCCACTGTAGTTTTTGTATATACAGTAACCTCCCCTTTTAACACTTTGGATATAACTTTAGTGTGACTGGGCCAGGAACCGTCTGTTTACTGGGTAGCTTAGTTGGCTAAAGTGACAGTAACATCATCTGAAAGTCAGGGTTAATCCTGGTCTAGCAGCCCCAGTGAATTTTCACTCTTGGAGCACTGTGTTGTATTTTTATTTCATCTTACTTATTTTTTTCATAAAAGTCCTGCAATGTACGGGTTTCTTTTCAGAAATTATTTGTTAAAACTATAGTCATGCAGGTGGAAGCTATTTCCAATGGATAGCTACGTATACCTATTTTGACAGTGGTACAGCTGGGATCCTTTACTGGATCACATTATTTGTTATTGGGTTGTCTCCCTTTACCTATATTAACATTGCACATCAAGTTGTAAGCATTTACCATGGGCGTTTCCGTTTAAAAGGTTCAACCGGTCGGACCACAGTTGTTGGTTTATTAAATAATGTCGGACCTAGTAATCTGCTGCTGTTTCCAGACGAGCCTTGACAAAGCCTTGCAAGGCCTGCATAAACATTTCCAGGTCCATCAGGATTTATACCCAGAAATGTTAAGTTTAAAAGTGGACGTACCAGTTGTTCTGCATAAACATTTTATGATGTGTGAATCTTTACATGGTTTGGAAAGCTTGATAATCCATATGCTGTGAAGTGCTTCTGACAGGCCTACATAAAACTTATTTGTTTCTTTTACACAATATATCAAACCAATTGTAATAAAGTGTTTTTTTGTTTCAAATATTTTTTTTAAATGGGATTTTAAACAATTTTGCCTCCCCATATCTCACATTGTTTTGAACTTACCTACAAGTTGAGCCAGTCTCATCAAAAATCACAATTTCATCAACATTGAATATGACAGCAGCCCTAGCAATCTGTGAAACAAGGAACACAAATTAATAGAAAGAATACAATACAATGCTATAGATAAGTTATTATGCATCTAACATTTATAAATGATTACAATCAAACAAGCTTTGCTGGAAATGCTAGCTTGCCAGTATGGCAGTGTTTTCCACCTCAAATTCCTTAGATGTTACACATCTTCTTGCGACTAGACACTGTCCTGACTTATTCTCAAGCCAAGTAAGTACCGATGTCCAGTGTTTTACAACATCTCTCACCTGTCCTGCCAAGTAAGTGTGTAGCTCCGGAGACTGGACGTTATGTTACGATATATCTCACCTGTCCTGCCAAGTAAGTGTGTAGCTCCGGAGACTGGACGTTATGTTACGACATATCTTACCTGTCCTGCCAAGTAAGTGCGTAACTCCGGAGACTGAGCATTGTCAAGTATTGATCCAGGTAATGCTATGGAGATGGTCTGCTGGGCTCCTGAAATGTAAAGGACATAACGATGATTTTTCATGTTCCCTCTCTGATTTCTTTGGACAGAGAAGATAATCAAACTGAAAGAGTTGTCGGGACAGAGAAGATAATCAAACTGAAACAGTTGTCGGGACAGGGGAGATAATCAAACTGATAGAGTTGTCTTGACAGGGGAGATAATCGAAATGAAAAGAGCATTAGGAGACACGTTTTGGAAGTCACCACTGGGTGTTTAATTCTGTTTGCTTTTTTTAAATTAAACATTTTACAAACAGGTATATTTTTTTTTTTTAACTTAATTAGTCTGGCATTCTTTTTGACAAATATACAAAATTACAAACAAATTATACAAATGTTAGTACCCAGTTGTCCAAAGGTAATTAGAATAATCACTATTAAACAATATTTTTCAACCTCTAATCATTTCATCAATATAGATTACAAGGTTAAACCTCATAAATATGTTTGCAATTTTACTCTAAAAAAATATTTGGCAAGCTTCAATTCAGTTAATGGTTGTGTTTTAAAGATACACAAAAAATAAAATCTGGCTAATCACTAACTAAGCTAATCACCGACTAAGCTAATCACCTTCTTAACAACTTGGCCAAGATTGTACTAAAGAGTTTAGCACCAAATGTAATAGGTGTGATAAAATGCAGGGCATACTTGTCAACATTTTAAAATTTCTGTGGGGAATATTACACGTTCTCAGAATTAAAACCATAAATAAAATGAGTGTATGTACACCAAAGAGAACAAATAGCACTTTTAAATGGCATCTATTGAGCTGTTCTTCCAGATGAATTCATTAGGTCTTTAAAAATAGGAATAGTTTAGTAAATTCACTGGATGAAAATGATAAATTTAAGGGCCCAAAATTGGGAGTCTCCCTCCTAAATAGGGAGAGTTTGCATTGGCAAGTATAAGCTTAAGGGCAATATCAGAATTTAAATGCATGACCTCTGAATTGTTATTTAGTTATAGTAATAGCTGCTTCACCGCCCAGCAAGGGTAAAGTCATATCAGGCCAATATGCTCAAACCATTCAGGCACTTGATCAACTACAACTAATGCAACCCAATGTGTTCTCTAACATTTATACCTAATCTTTCTTTCACTTTCTCCTCTTCAATGGCCTTTGTTTTATTTTCCTCTTCATTTCTCTGTCTTTGTTGTTCTTTCTCCAACTTTTTTATTAATGCTTCTTCCTTCCATTTTCTTTTCTGTCGTTTTTCTGTAAGTTTTAATGTGACATGTAATATTTGAATTAACAGAATCTCACGATTATGTTTCATCACTCTTAATAAAGCCAATTTATATATAGATCAAATGGTGTTTTTTTTAAATATGTTCACAAGGATTCAATATGCACGAATAAGCACCAAAAATATTAACTGCTTTCGTTGAAAATTTGTATGTAATGCAGATTAAGGAAAATCTATAAATCATTATGCATAATATTCCCTACAGAAATCTGAGTACAAATGTATTATGGTTACATAAACACAACGATAAAATTTCACATTGCAGTACATTTACTGGACTTTTGAAAATTAATATCATTCAACTTACTTTCTTCTTTCAATTTCTTCCAATCTTTGGGCTGAAAACAGATTGTAGGAAAATGATGATTAAAAGCCCTATGTTGACATTATATGATAATTATTAGGTCCAGTACACTCTGCCGATTGAGCTATATAGCTGTAAAGACCTATGATAGCTCTATTGACCTATCTGAAATAGATCTTTTGAGCTATTTTCAAGTGATTTCCTTATTTAAGGAAAACGAAACAAAGTCCCTTTTAAAAGAAGATTTTATCATTAGGTTGATAACAAAAGACATTAAATATAAGTATTCTTCTTAAAAAATAATGATGTAAAAAAGCGAAAAAATCTCATTTATGAAAAATGTAAATAAACATCTGTTTACTTTTTATAGTCAACATTACCATAAACCTTATTGTTTATGTGACTTTGCTCTAATTTAATGAAAATTGAAAACTGAGAAAATATAGCTCAATACAGCTATAATGTATAGTACCCCAACAGTGTTAGAGGTTTACACGACGAGATACTTTTGACAGACGCCGTGTCGCAGTCGGCAAAATCATATCCGATAGAAAAAAAAGTCCGACCAGCAGCCTCTGAACACAAGATTTGTCGGGACTTAATAAAGTTGTTTCGGGACATATTCAACTTTCATTTATAAATTACAATTCGCTCCCATTTCATAAAAAGTCCTGTAAATACACAAGTATGGTTTTAGACTATGACCTGCGTCACCACCTACCCGTGCCTGGGATCATTAGTGTTACCTGATTGCTAAAGCTAGAGGGGATACCTACCAACATTTACCCGATTGACAGTGTGTTGTTACCTGGTGAAACTAATCTCATTATTAAATACAGATCTAGAGGAACTTATGAAATTCAACATTCAATTTCTTTCATTATTGATAGGTTGATTCCTTGTTTGATATTGTAATACATGTAATATGTTTTCAATTCACTATATTCTCCATAATTGACATTAAGAGACGAATTGATTCTAACAATGTTTAAGCATTTTATTTTTGCTATATATATTGAAATTAAATTTCACGAAAGTAAAAACGTGAAACACGCAGACTATATTTTAGACATGTGAATTATTTTATCAAATCCGGGTATATATTTTGAACGATATGAAAAAAGGTGTCTGTTGAGGGTTCCCGACTGACCCTAGCTTTTTAACCCCGACCCAAAACTTTTTGATGAAAAAAAAACATTCTGATTTTCGAATTTTAGAAGGTTCCTTGCCTTTCAAAATGGCTTCAAGCTCCGTGTTCGTGCTAAATGTCATAATATGGAGCACAATTTGCCTCCAAATGAACCTTGTTTATGAAATTCTTTGTTTTACATACAATAGTAGGGTCATAATCACATGACCAAAAATATACAAAAAAAAAAACAAAAAAAAACCCCAACCTACCGTAGTTTTTTTGCCAATGCAACCCTAAACAGACTATATTTTTTTGGGGCCTAATGGTAAATGTATGACGGGAGAAGGCTATGATAGGTTGTAATAACTTTTATCCAATCGATTGTTTAAACTTTTAAAAAAATATGAAAAATCCTGAAACTACTTTCGACATGTCCCGAAACGACCCGGAAAAAGTCCTGAAATGACTTTTTACCAAAATGACCTGACACCCGGCCTCTTATGTTATATATATATATTAAAGGAGTATAATGTTAGATGAATAGAGCTATATAGGTCTTCATAGCTATATAGCTAAATCGACAGTGTACTGGACCAAATTATCATTATTAATTTTTCCATTGTTTCTTCTTTCCTATTGCACTACCTTTTTCTTTTTACTGAGGCCATACAAATCTTACCTAGACTCCATATATCTGATTCAAGATCTGACCACGGAATTAAATGTTATCCAAGTCTGTGATCTGACCAAAATAATAATATTCTGGGGTTTTCTTACAACAAATAATTATGAGCCTTCTCTAGCAAATAAATGCACCGTTGTACACAAATGTTTCCAATTTGTTCATTTGTTCATTACGATTTTGACACACCTGACATATATTTGTCAAAATGTTAAAAGTCTTACATATTACTGTACGGTACTAGTACTAGAACAGCCTACAGGAAACCCGATCAGTCACTGGATTCTTGTATCTAGTGATAAATTCATCAATATGATCGATTGACCAGCAGCCCATATAAGTTATTCTTACATTTGAAGGTATATCCTTTTCGTATGATGATTTCTTTTCAACTATTTTAGGCATGTTGACTTTTCACTCCTTTTCACGTGTTGCCTATTCCACAACCGGAAGTGTTTGGTAATTTTACAATTTAGAAACGGTTTTCCGGAAGAAAATATCCGGATTTATAATACATGAACCTGCAAAATATACAATATAGGTTACGAAGAGATTGTACTTCAACATAACGACAATAATTGATTAACACTAAAATTTAAACAAGAAAAGAAAGAAAGATATCACGGAAAGATTAAGAAACAAAATTATAATAAGAAACATTTGACAGTAGCACAACGGACATCTTCTTCTTTAGGTTATCAGTAGTCCTTCAATGATCTGAAGATTATGCACTGTTTTGCGCAGCGTGGCCTATACATATATATATATTTTCAAGAATACAAAAATAATGAAAATTAATTTGGAGTGCATACATTTTAAATTGTGATTAAAACTATGTACATAATACCTACATGAATATTCCAGTTTTTGTCGAACTAACGCCAAATGTGCCCGAATCTTGATGTTCTGACATGAGGTTTTTAAATTACTTTTTATGAAGCCTAAATATTTGTTGCCATTAGCTATGATGTTGTCTGTATGTTTTGACCGTTTTAAGTTTGCTTGTAGTGTAATGCCCAGATATTTAACTGAAGAGACCAGCTCAAGTTTGTGATTGTGGAGGATATAGTCATGTTTAGACTGGTTTTTTTCTTTTGTGAAACTGCAAGGACTGTGCATTTGTCTGGATGGCAAGCCATCAACCAGTCTTGCTCCCACCTAACAGCTGCATCTACATCCAACTGTAGTGCATCACAGTCACTTTGGGATTTGATGGTTTTGTAGATGATACAGTAATCGTCAAACAGACTGAGCTTACTGGATGATAAGTATTCTGGTAGATCATTAATGTATACCAAGAATAATACTGGGCCCAGAACTGTGCCTTGAGGGACACCTGAGGTGACTGGAGCCAGGTCAGATGACTCTCCATCCAGGACAACTGTTTGTGTTCCGTTACTTAAGAAGGCAGATACCCAGTTTAGTGTTTCGTTTTGGATACCGTAATAGTTTAATTTATAGAGCAATCTTTTATGAGGAACTTTGTCAAAGGCTTTGACAAAGTCCATTATAATTGAGTCTGTTTGTGTGTTGCTGTTATTATTTGCTGCGAGTTCTTAAATGAATGAAATGAGTTGCGTTTCGCAGGATCTAGACTAATGGAAGCCATGCTGGAGGTCATACAGTATATTGTTCTTTTCAAGATGGTTTATGATGTGTTTGGTGATGATACGTTCCACAAGTTTACAAGAAATACATGTCAATGTAGATGACTTTGCTGTATTTTCGCTTGATTTTTTCACTTTATATAACGTTGACCTTATACAACTGTCATCAAGCACATGGCATGCGTAAACATTTCCAAATTGACAAAATGCAAGTAAGATCTAAAAATGTGTTACCGACAAAAGAAGACGTAAATTTAACACAAATGTTCTCACTCCCTGTTGGATATATCCAAAGAAAACCTCTATTCCTCACAAAAGCCGCCTGCAAACTACATGTCAGACATTAATATCAAAATTTCTGGTGTTTCTAAACTTCTAAAAACCTGAACCCCAAGAAAGCCACAGGCCCTGATAAAATTTCTCCAAATTTCCTTAAACATGTCTTTGTTGAAATAACTCCAATTATTACAGATCTCTCTCAAGCGGTGTAGTTCCCTCAGACTGGAAAACTGCCATTGTAGCATCTGTATTTAAAAAAGGGACCAAAAAACAAACCGCAAAATTACCGTCCAATCTCGCTAACCTGAATCCTCAGTAAATTGATGGAACACATCCTTACCAGAAGCATCATGACTCACGCCGACAACTATAATCTTGTCAGCCCTCTCCAGCATGGTTTTCGCTCCAAACGTAGCTGCGAAACACAACTTCTTGCTTTTACCTCAGACATCTTTAATAATCTAGCACTAGGTCATCAAACAGATGTAGCCGTTATGGATTTTTCAAAGGCGTTCGACAAAGTCGACCGTGCCCGACTCATTCTAAAACTCACTCGTTTCAGCATACACAGCAAAATCATTGCTTGGGTCCAACATTTTCTCCTTGACCGTAGTCAGATAGTTGTTGTAAGTAACACCATATCTCCGTCCTGTCCTGTCCTCTCTGGAGTCCCCCAAGGCTCAGTCATGGAGCCCTGCCTTTTTCTAATCTATATAAATGATCTACCAGACTCTATCACAAGCCAAGTTAGACTTTTTGCAGACGACACTATTGTCTATGTAACTGTTTCATCCGACTCTGATGCAGAAACACTACAACAAGACTTAAATTTTCTGGAAAAGTGGGAACAAAATTGGTTAATGTCATTCAACCCTGATAAATGTGAAATTCTACATGCTCAAAGAAAAGACTAACACAAACTTAACTATATTCTCCATGGACAAATTCTAAAGCAAGCAGATTCGGCTAAATACCTGGGCTTAACGATCAGTAAAATCTTTTCATGGAACACCCACATCAATAACATTACCAACAAGGCAAATGCATCCCTATGATTCATTCGGATAAATATTAAAACCACCAATGTAAAAACAAAAGAGTTAGTTTATAAAACTTATGTCCGCCACACATTGAATACTGTAGCCAGGCGCGTAACAACCTATGTAGCAAAAAAGCCCGGGCTTACACATCATTTTTGACAAAATAATAAAAAAAAAAAAAAACACAACATAGACTATATGATATAAAATATTAAAAAGCAATGACAGGTGTTTTGTATCTGCTATAAAGACCGCCAACTAAAATGCTTCGTTGCAATCAAAGTCTCTAACAAATGTAGAACTGAGGTTAGCATATTCATTCGGCATGGTAATCGCGCCAGTGGAACTCTAGCCTTGCTAATTATCGGTGTACCCAAACACTAACTCTAGTTTTCCCTGTGAAATAAAGTGTTTCTAAGGGTTTTTTTTACCGCTTTTATACATATAAAGGGAACAATATGGTTGGTAGCCTGGCTTCAATCATTCGACATGGTAACCGTGTCAGTGCAACTCTAGCTATGCAAATTATTGGTATACACACAGTACTCACTAGCCCCCCGCCCCCCGTAAAATAAACAGTTCCTATGATTTTTATCCCCTTTATTAATACAAAATATATATGGAATGGTCATTAACCATGGCTTTATATTTTACATTGACCAGTATATCGGTTCTTATGTACATAATGTTAAACTATTCCTAGTGATGGCTTGTGATACTAGTCTCATGTCCCTGCGCAACCAGAGTCACAGTCGCGAGGAGAAACTCTTACAACAACTATCCCAAAATCCACATGATTTAATTTTTTCTTTTCCGTGGAATAATGTTACCGAACTCCAAAACAGAATTGGCGTAGATGAGTACCAATCCCTACGAACCCAAAAAGAAGCAAAATATTTATAAAATAATATAGGGGAAAACGATATTTTCTTGCTTCAAAATGGCCATTGAAACTGACGCCAGAACACGGGAGAACGCATCTCAGGCGTTATAGAAAACAAATTCTCCTGGGGGAGACCCCCAGACCCCCACCAATGAGGTGTGTGTGTGGGGGGGGGGGACCATACCTGCCTTCGGCAGCACACTTCATCATTGGGCTTACACATTGAAAACCCGTTTGTTACGCCCCTGTTAGCCCCATCTGGGATCCATGGCAGGCAAACCTTACCCATAAAGTTGAAATGGTGCAGAGAAGAGGCGCCAGGTACACCCTTGGGTGCTATAACTACACCAGTAGTGTTACAGAAATGCTCCAAACCCTGAACTGGCAATCCCTTGAACAACGCTGTAAAATGACCTCCACCATATTACTGTATAAAATCATAAACGGCCTTGTGGCATATGATGGCAACCTCCAAATTCTCCAGCGAACCCGACAACATAATTCCACACAGCTCCACAAATTAACATGCAAATTCATTCTTTCCTAGAGCAATTCGTACCTGGAACAGCCTCCCAACCTTCATCGCCGACAGTGCAGACCTCTCAACACTAAAGGCAAATCTCCTCTCTCAAAAATTCTAAGCGTACATGTTGTTTTTATCATATAGTTCTAAAAAATAAAAATAAAAATACTTGTTTTTAACCGATCTCTCTGACGCCTCTAACTAATGTTCAATATATTGAACGTTTTAGAGTTTCCTGTTGAAGTTACCGTGAAGTGTCATAATCCTTTGCAAATAGGGATTTGTTTTTGCGAACGCTGTTTGTGCTTTCCCTTAAACAAATCACAGTCATTCGTTAAATGTGTATATTAACGCAACATTCGCCAGTAGTTAAGTACATGTATACAATTCGATGTGTGACGTGTACCCTGTCTCGGATTCGGCCAGTAAAAACAGCTTTGGTCCCCAGCGATGCGTCTTTTTCCATGACAGTTCTCTACAATGCTGTTCCCACCCATGAAGCATGTGGTGTTCACCAAGTTCAGTACAGGACGAACTATATGTGCGAGGTATTGACCACGGGTCCCTCTCGGCACGGCAGTGGCATTGTCATTACAATGCAAGTATTGCAACAACAGCTGAACCTAGCTATTACGTTTCATGACTGATGAAAAGCTTGGTGTATGACGTAGCCAGGTGCTGCTGACGTCACTCCAGTATGCTTGTGTTTTTTCCTAAAAAGGCCGACCTTTCGACAGGATTAGTGTCCATCCATTCGTAAGATCTGGAATAAGGACCTAAAACAGCACCGTTCAGTTGTTGTGAAGCATATCTGTTAGTCTCTGAAACTAAAATGTCAAATAGATTGTCTACTACTTCGGTTGTAATGCGGTTGTCAAAATACCGCAAAGGAGAGGAACCGCGTGGAGGTGGATTGACCGGGCCGTTATGCTGCTGAAACTCTATGACTTGGTATGGTCGGAAGTAATTAATGTTCCGTGTCCGACACATTAGTCCAAATCATTGGCTATACCGCGGGCTCCTGTTGAAGATCTACATCATCATCGCCACCGCAAATGATACATTGTATGTAACATAAATACCCGTTTGTTTCTACGTTAAACTCGTACATATTTCATTACATAATAAATT